GTAGTCAATCAAAGACATTCAATCTGTATGCTATTCACGCCGCGCCATCTTCTTCCTACATTAAGTATTCCGCTATTTCACATCTTGTCGATGTTCCCGTGCTGGGGCGGACTTGTTCCCCACCTGACGTGGTGGGACTCACCGGTTACATTCCGAGGAAACTGGCCGAGGCCAAAACGGGCCCATTGCAGCGAAACCCGGACCTATGACAGCGCCTGCTTTTGGCCAATCTGTTCATACATTCTATCTCTGTAGGTCAGCTGTGATTCTGAGTCGTGCATTGCCATCATTATGTGTTGGTTATGAGCGTTGTTTGAGATGCGTCTCGGCGTTCTAGTCGTCGTTAGCAGAATTGCACACTCACATGTTATCGCTGCTACTCCTTCTGCTCAAATATTGTATCGATCGTATTGAAGTAACAATTGGCATGATATATCACGAGCAGATCGCTTTTGTCTGACCGCACGACTGAACCAATCAGGAGTATTCATTCAGTCGAATGACCGAAGTGTAGGAAATGCGACAGACGAGCATAAATAAGACTCATTACGGTAATTTTAAATCTTAGCTCAAACGATATATGATGTGCTCTATCTTGATGCTACCTTCAGTGTCAACATTCAAGCATTCTCAGGTTGCGACAACCAATAATCAAACCATCCAACAATTCCCGAAAGACTCTGTTCCTTGACCCAGCCTGTTATGTAAATTTCATTAGCAGTCTGGAAACTACAGAAAATCGGCATACATACGCTGATAAGGGTCATCGGGATTTCCCCGTAAGGCAAAACCATGTTCAACACCAGAAAATAGTTGATAGTGAAACGTTTTGCTTCCTTCTTGTAGAATATCTAGTGCGCGTCGCCTACTAGGAACATCGAAGGTATGGTCTCTCTCAGAACAGGAAAGGAACAAAGGCTCTAGATTTCAATCCGTCAGTTGCTGCTATGTATTTCAGAAACTGGTGTTGAAACTTACTCTCTATATTCTGGAAGTGGTGCTCTTTCAAAAAAGCTGGATGAGCAAAAGCACCAACAGTGACTCGGTCTTTAGCTAACTCGTCGCATACGTATGGCGCACCAAAACAATACCCGACACATGCAAACTTGGTCTGTGGATTCTCTTTCCTGTATCGATCAACGACAGTAGAAACCCATTCTGGCACCGCCTCGTCGGCGAACGCAGTGTGTTTTCGCTTCCAAGCTTCGTAGTCGAAACCTGGATTCGTTTTATCATGTCGATTCTTGCGATGTTTCCAGACGGGATCCTAAAAACGATTCTCAATCAGACCCCGAAAACAAAAACAAAACAATCGGGATGGAAAAAAAGGGCGGGAAATGCGAAGTCGTACACCTCTGAAATAGTCGAGTCCCAGAACTGTATATCCTACACTTGCAAAAGCGTCCATGACGAGCAGTCCGTTGGGAAACATACCCCATACATCGGGAAAATACAGGAGCACGTTTCCGTTGGCTTTGCTGGCTGGTGGCACTGATATGTACGTCTCGACATTTGCAATCGTTTCCCACCTGCCACGCCCTTCGCCTTTGTGAATAGTGCCTTTGAGACAGCAACTGCCGCTTGGTTTGGCCAGGTATGCATCTGTACTAGATTTGGACTCCTCGAGGCCCGGAGAAATTAATTTTGACCTCGATTGAGATTTGTGTTTTGAAAATAATTGCCCCATGGTTGCTATGATGGAAACAAAATGGATGAGTGGGGAGTCAAGAGCAAAAACGGATGAGGTTTGTAGTGCAACAACAAATAAAGTTGATCTTTATTTCCAAACATTTCTATGCTTAGCGGTATAAATCTTGTAGTTGTTAGCAGACTACGACACTGAGCGTAAGGCAACCGGGGGGGTTGGAGAGGGTGGCGCTAACGCCATGATGACAGGCGAGTTTCCGCGGAAAATTGCCATGGGGAAATGTTCTTGTCTCCATGCAGGGGGGCAAGACTAGACTCAATAGCGCTACCCAACCCCAGCTGTACGGCCTACATGAGTCGTGATTCCTGCGGGGTGTTTAAAGAAAGGGTCGTCTTTGGATATTGTTATTTTCATGACTTGCTTGTCCCATTCAGTCCCATATTTTGAGTCTTTGCATCATGGCTGCGGAAACCAATAAACCCGAAATTGAGGTCATGGAACAGTGCAACAACGCCAAACATGTTGGAGGCGCGACGGGAATGGAGATGGAGAATGCCGTGGGTTATAAGGAGTACCTTGAGGCGAGCAATATTGAGGGTTCAGACAAGGAGGTTCGTTTTTTGCTGCTACTATGTTTGTCTTGTGCCTCCCTGATGGTTCAATTCTAGATGAAGAGACTCAGGTGGAAAATTGATTTGATCATCCTTCCCATGTTTTTGGTCACACAGGCTCTGCAGTTCATGGACAAGACATCGTTGAACTACGCAAACTTGTTCGGGTATCAAAAGGCACTGAGTCTCAAGGGCAAGGAGTTCAATTACCTCTCTGCAAGTAAGCGTTGCATCTGCCAAATTAGATGTCTCTTGCCACTGACGATACATCTTAGTGGTCTACGCTGGCTATTTTTTCGGCCAGTATCCATGTGGATGGCTCATTGGACGCTTTCCAGCTCAAAAGGTTCTCGCTATTAGCATATTTTGCTGGGGTTTTACCGTCATCATAATGACTCAAGCGCGCACTTATTCTACCGCATGTACGTATGCCCTCTTGGATGAATCGTCTTGGATAGGGCGTATCCTAACTTTGATGTGCAGTGTTCGTCCGATGTAAGCTGATTTCCTGTCCTCGGAGATATCCTGGTTTACATACTTATACACACTGTAGTTATTATGGGCTTGTTCGAAGCTGCAGTTACTCCGTAAGTTTCTTTCAAAAACATGATGATTAATGGCTATACTCATGCTCTATTTCATAGAGGTTTGACATTGATGACCGGATTTTGGTACACGCGACGAGAAATTCCGCTCCGTCAATGCATCTGGTAGTAAGTACTAACCTCTGATGGTTTGTAAAATCAAACTAACGCAATTACTTAGCTCATCGCTTGGCTGGGGTGGTATTGTAGGTTCATCAGCGTCCCTGTTGCGTAGAAAATACAGCTGACTTTATCTAGATTGGTTCCTACATCTCCATGGGTATTTCCAAACTCCCCGTAGACATGAGTCCTGAAAGATGGGAACTCATCTTCTACATTGTACGTATCACCTGCTATATCCTCCAAAATGAAAAAAAAATAACCAGAGATAGCTTGGAGGGGCAACCTGCCTCTGGGCCATCGTAATTTGGATATTCATGGCCGATTCTCCATCCAACGCCCATTTTCTCAACCACCGCGAGCGCCTTCTCGCCGTCAAACGCGTTTCCGGCAACCAGACTGGAATTAAGAACAAGCATTTTGACAAGGGCCAGATCGTTGCCGGCTTCACGGATCCAAAGACGATACTTCTTTTCATTAGCGTCTTCGCAGCGTATGTGTCATTCTTTCCTGCCGTTCAAATATCTGTACTCATGTCTTCAACTGTGCTAACCAAGACGTGCAGTGCTATCCCCAACGGTGTAGTGAATTCATTCTCCACAATCATCATCCGCGATATGGGCTTCAGCACGACTAAGACCACGGAGCTGAAATCGGTCGGAGATGCCGTACAAATTATTGCACTGATAATCGGAGGATCTGTCATTCTCAACGTTCCAAATTGTAAGTTGGCATTTATTACCACATCAACGCCAAAAAATGATTCTACTTGATCAAAAATGCTAAATACATCTATCCAGCGCGCCTGTTGACAGCAACCGTGGCAAACATCCTCTGTACCATTGCCGCAGCCTGCATGGCCTACCTCCCCCGATCCAATACCTGGGGCCGACTGATCAGTTTCTGGCTGGTAAACGCGCAATCCGTCGGCTTCACTGTATCCCTCACCACACTCTCCTCCAACATGGCTGGATACACGCATCGCTCGCTAGCCAGCGCCCTAGTTTTCACCGCGTACTGCTGGGGCAACTTTGCCGGTCCGTTTGTTGTGGATGCAAAGGAAGCGCCCAGGTACGAGGGTGCGACAATCGGGTTGTTGGTTGGTTATAGTATTAAGACTGGATGTCACCTTGCTTTGCTTGGTAAGAGACACATGTACTTAATACAATTAGACTCTTGTTCAATTTCTAACACTCGTGTTCTATAGGTTACATGTTCTTCACTAACAAGCGTCGCACCCGAGTATATGGCCCGCCGAATAAGGAAGCAAGTGACGAGGCCGGAATGCGGGATCAAACTGAGTTTGTAAACAAAGACTTTAGATACGTACTTTAGTTTATCAAGACAGTAGGAAGCTTTTTTAATTTCTCCTCGGTTGACCGCTGCACCACTTCTGAGCCAAAAATGCTGTATCTAGCCACTCCCGAGATCCACTGTATAGTCAATACAATGAATTACCGTACATAACGCCACCTACACGGATTATTCTATTTGTTTTTTTGTTGAGGGGATGCGAGCGCGGTGAAATCTAGCCGTCGCTTGGCGTTTGTACGACGTCATGCCCCGCTAGGCTTCAAACTTACTGCATGTTCTAATTTCAAAGGGTAGTAGACTATGTACGTCGCACGGGTCGATTATAATAGACTATCTGCCTGTTCGCATTCTGTTCAGTGCCAGCAGCCCATCATACTGACGCGTATAACTCTCTGCAGAATGACGTACTATATTGTTGGCAAAGTGTTGCAAAGAGGACCATGGACGTACATGGTCTACACAGCCTCAAGATGCACAACACAAAACGCCACAAGTACCTCAGAACATGCATGCTCAACGTGCTCGCAGCCGCAAAAACTTGGCCGTTGGCCTGGCCCCTGGCGAATTTTCGCCGTTGCTCCAGCCAAGGATCCTCACTGGCACGCGCTGCACGGAAGTGGAGCGGCTTGGCAAGGCCCTCCGCCCGCCTATTCGTCCCGTGGTATACAACTACGACTGTAGGATCATGCACGTATGTAAATATTGTCTCGACCTGCGCATTTACAGAGTGGGAACCCTCGAAAAGAAAGCAACTAGGCCCGGGGACTTCCAAATCTAGTCAGTGGCATCACTACAATCACTGTGCTGCGCCCCGATCACAACCTCTCGAGAAGGAACAACAGCATCGGTTACAGAGTCGTAGATGTCATTCTCTCAGCACCATGTACCACTTGAGATTGCAGGCGTTGGTAGGATTGGTGTTGTATATTTTATAGTTAGCGGATGAACAAAACATGTATATAAAGGAGAAGCAGCAGCATCACCAAGAACCTCACACACCAGTACACAACCAAACAATCAAGCTTTCTCTTCTCTCCACTACCAATCACTTTTCTTCTCCCTTCCCCATACTCTAACTATCCCTATAAACCCTCAACCATGCGCTCATCCCGCATCTGGGCCTCCGCCCTCACTCTCAGCACCACCCTCGCCCAAGGCGACCTCGCCGCCCTCCTCTCCTCCCAACCCGACCTCAGCGAACTTCTCACCCTCGTCTCCCTCATCGATGGCCTCGCACCCACCCTCTCCTCCGCCACAAACATCACCATCTTCGCCCCTACAAATGCCGCTTTCGCTGCCGTCCCTCGCGACATCCCTGAGGGCCAGGCCATCGAGTTCAAAAACGACACTGCGGCTATTGGGGCGCTGCTTGCGAATCACGTCTTCAAGGGGGTGTATCCGGCAGAAGTGATAGGGGAGATCCCGACGTTTGCGCAGACGCTGCTGAATGGCTCATATGTTAATGCTATTCAACCTTTTTCAGATTTTACGGGCGGAGCGTATAATGGGCTTGTGAAGAATGGGGAGGAGGTGTGTGTGTTGAGTGGGGAGCAGACGGTTTCGACCGTGACTGAAGCAGTAAGTCCTTTTTTATTTCCCCCCAAATTTGAATTGAGTAAAGCGGGTATGGAAAATGGGTGGGATGAAGGGAGAGCTGATGGTGGGAACTAGGATATTAAACTCGGCGAAGGCATTACGATTCATAAGGTTGATACGGTACTTTCCTTTGGCGCCCCCTTCCAACTCTTCACCTACCGCGCTGGCTACACCGCCATGAACAGCGCACTCCAAGCAGCCCAGCTCGCCATCGACTTTGGGCTCAACGGGCCCGATCAAGTCGGGCTGAACATCTCCGACTTTACAATTTTCGTCCCGGATAACGCAGCGTTTGAAAATATCGGATCCATTCTCGCCACCGCAGACAAAGAGACGCTGCAGACGGTGCTGAAACACCACATCATACCCAAAAACGTCATCTTCTCGCCTAGCCTGGGTAATGTGACGGTGAAGAGTATGGCGGACGAGGACTTGGTGTTTACGGTGCTGCCGGATGGCAGTGCGTGGGTGAATGGAGCCAAGATTACGTTTGTGAATACGATCTTGTATAATGGGGTGGCGCATGTGATTGATGGGTTAGTATTCTCTCTCCCTTTCCCATTTCCCCTTTGTCTTCTATTGCTTCTTGGGTGGAGGTGAATAGGTGAGGAGAAAACTGACAGAAATCTAAAATAGTGTCCTAAATCCCCTCGCGCCATTCGACCGCGCATCACTTCACCCAGAAGCGCCAGCAGCTGAACGCACAGCGTTTCTCAGTGCAACCCGTGTATCTCCCCTTCCGATACCGAGTGCGTCGCTGGCGTTTTTCGGGGATGCAATGACGTATACGACTACGCCTGAGTTGCTGAAGACGCTGGCGCCGCTGGCGGTTCCTACGCCGACGAGTGCGAGTGCTGCTACGACAAGTAGCTCTCCATCCATGGTGACGAGTGTGGGTGTGAGCGGTACGGCTACGGGTACTTCTCCGCCTATGGAGATGTTTACGGGTGCTGCGGCAGGTGGATTGGCACCAGCGGCTGGTATGGCGGTCGTTGGGGCGGCGGGCCTAGCTGCTATGTTTTTCTAAGATATGGATGTGCGAAGGGGAGGGTGTGGGGTATAATGAGCGGAATGGTGGTGGTATATACATGGGCATGGTTAACGAGCATTATCTACTGCGTTCCTTTCAGCTTTTTTCTTCTTCCCTACTTTGTAATAATTAATCATAGATACATTATTCGTTACAATATCATGTTTTCTAGCATCACGATATTACACTCTCTTCTTCTCTCAGTACATTCCAATTATATTATAGGAGAAACTTTGGTTGTGCTTTTGGGGGTGGCGGTGAGGAGGAGGGAGTCGATAGGTCTGGATGTGTTACACGTTGCATAGGAATAACAACCTGTATGCCGCAAATTATGACGGTCCCCGTTAGAGGTATTGATATGGATGAGGCTAGATTCTCCAAGTTACATTGGAGAGCCAATAGTCCTATCTCAACTCCTTCAGACATGCAGTTTAGATTCCAGGTACAAAGCCAATGTCGCTACACTCGTCAATGTCATGGCCACACCAACTAAGACCACATGATTGGACTTGGAGAACTAGCAGGTGGAGGACTGACGTTCGTCTTGTGATGTCAGGAACAAAGGGCGGGGAATGCTCACTTACAAGCGGCGTCGGTTTGGCGGTGATCGGTAGGCATAGCTGGCATATCACTAGTGGTGTGGGTGAGTTGAGAGAGGGGGAATGCGTGATGGTAGTCGCTGAGCATTCGACGTGCTGTTCTGGTGGCTTACCTGTTGAAGTGCACTTAATCGAGACATGTTTATCAAAATCAACCAATCAAGCGCCGAGCAAACCCTAGATAACAAGGCCGGAATTACATCCCCCCAGAGGCCGGAAGTCGAGCGCGCACTTGCGGGGTCTCTTCGGCGCTACGCTGGTTGGCTGTGTTGCCGAGAGGAGCCGCCCTTCCTATATTAGTACTGTATGACAGGGTTAGGGAACTTTGAACCGGGGTGAGTGAGTTGGGAAGTTGTGAAAGAGAGATGCGGGTGCGAAGAGAGGTATGGTTTTTTTGTGATGGTGTAGGTTTGGTGCAGATGGTTTTGGATAGTAGAAGGGAGTGGGTGTGGTGTGGATTTGGTTGGTAGGAGTCGGGCCGAGGCGTGGAAGGTGTACAGAAGGCATGGCGGATGGCATTGTTGATGGGGAGGAGTGGGTGGTGATAGAATGATAGAAAAATAGGTATGATATGTAGAAGATGACGTTTGAATGTGCATCGGAATGATGGCTGAGTTGGATGTATGATGCACTTTGATTCATCTTTTGGCTCTTGGGGCTGCATCGCGAAAACAGTGAATGAGATTGATACTGCGCTGTCACTCGCGCCCCTCTGTTCAATATCCGTTTTTTCTCGAAATAAAACATCTATGAGGCAGTCTCTTCCTCTCATCTACAAGAAATGTAGCTAAAGCCTCATTGCCGCCCTAACCCTCCCCTCCAACATCCCCATGTCTTGGCGACGACGAATCGACGATAAAAAATTGGTCTTGTGTGCTCTGGGGAACATGGGGAAACTCAAGCGGGCAGCAGAGAAAGCGTCCGGGTCAAAGTCTGCAAATGGAGACAAGTGATCCAGTCATTACGTACTTCTTATCTTGGTGAGGCCGGTACGTTTCCGTGGCCGGTTTTGATTCCGGCCACGAGATATAAGCGTGCGTTGAGCCCGCCTTTTGACATGTTCCTCTTCAGCACCAACAACAACCATCGGTTCCCGGTCCAGGTCTCTTGTGACTGACACCTGTTCATCTCAAACATCTTTTTTTCTTCATTATCTTTTGTCTCGGCCATCATGTCTCCCACTTTTGACTTTCCTATCCTCAAGGACACCCGTCCTGAGGACCACTCCCTTCCTGCCTTTATGGTGTCAACAACACGAGGCTTCCTCCCTCGTCAAGAGCCTGTTGTCGAGCTTCCAAAAGAGTTTGCACCTCTTGAGTCGCTCCTGCAACGCATGCCTATCAAGACACTGTCAGGGGAGCCGGGTCTCCTCGCCAACTTTACCTTTGGCGAGACCCTGCTCAAGGAGCTACCTGATCTCTCTCCTGAGGTTGAAAAGTATCGCGATGACCTTGTTGTCATGAACGCACTGTATCGAGACTACTCTTTCCTGGCCTCTGCCTACCTGTTTGAGCCATGCCATGAGAGGCATGTCAAGGGTGAAGCATATGGCCTGGGTCGCCAGTTGCTGCCGAGATGCATTGCTCTGCCTATTGTCAAGGTAGCTGAGATGTAGGTTGACCTTTATTTTTTTGAATCTTCCTGTACTTGTGGCTAATGCAAGAGTGTAGCGCTGGCTTCAAGCCGTTCATGGAGTACGCAGGCTCATATGCCCTCTTCAACTATCGCCTCGAAGACCCTTCTCGTGGTCTCGAGTATGATAACCTACGGCTGATTCGTGCTTTTGAGCACGGCTTAGACCCTACTTCATCAGAGGCTGGCTTCGTACTCGTCCACATTGCCATGGTCAAAGAGTCTGGTGCTCTTGTCAAGGGAGCTGCGGACATGATTGAGAGCTGCATGACGCGTGATCGAGAGGCCTTCAACGATGGCCTACGGACACTCGTCAGTGGACTGAGTAAAGTCAACGGGGTCATGAACAGTAAGTGACATGCTCTAACTGGTTTATGTGTTTCTGACAATGGTAGCAATGTGGAACCGTAGCAAACCTCAGGGATACACAAACTTCCGCACATTCATTTTTGGCATCACGTCGCAGTCCATGTTCCCTAACGGAGTCATCTACGAAGGTGTGAGCGAAGAGCCAATGTCCTTCCGCGGCGAGTCTGGAGCCAACGACAGCATGATCCCCATGTGTGACAATCTGCTGCAAGTGCAGATGCCGGAGACACCTCTAACGGATATTCTTCGGGACTTTCGCCAGTACCGCCCTGGCAACCATCGCGAGTTTCTTGAGGCAGTACGCGACTCGGCTGAAGAAGCCGGAGTGCGGGAGTTTGCAAAGGGCGACTCTATCTCAGCTGCACTCTATCTTCAAGCTCTTGACCAGGTCCGCGACTTCCGCTGGCGGCACTGGTGCTTCACACGCGAGTATATTCTCAAGCACACATCGCACCCCACTGCCACGGGTGGTAGTCCGATTGTGACAGTAAGTTTTTGTCCCCATTTCTACTTGGATGTTTGCTGACTGGCGATAGTGGCTACCAAACCAGCTCACGGCAGTACTCATGCAGATGGCAGATACCTTTGAGTACTGCAAGGCGGTCAATGGTGTCAGTGATATTATGGAGGTTGCCAACAACCAGCGCGAGACATTGCAGAAAGAAGTGGCCAAGTATTGCGGCGAGCGGGGGGTCACGGCCACGGCGGCCGCCTCGTGAAGAGTCAATGGGGTTGTATGTAAGTACGCAGTATGTAAGATTAGATGCACCAACACGTCACATGACTATTTTTCTCCCATGTCGTCTGTGATGCCGTGATACAGATATGCCTCAGCTGCTAGCGGTGAAGGTCGTGTCGTGTCCTGTCGTGTTCGTGTTTGCGCCCTTCTTGGCGGTGGCCAGAGTCTGGAGCACGACCAGGATCCGCAATTCATTGAGGGCGCAACTCTAGTGTACATGACTGCGATGAAGATCACGACGGTGGTAGCCTTATGGGTGGCGTTGAGGGCTGAGGGTGAGTCAATGGGCGGGTGTCAGCGTCATGGCCTCTATCGATAGCAGCTTAAGTGCCCGTCCGCCCCCGGATTTCCTAGCATCATGCACTTTCCAGCGTCATCCAGCACACGCCACCCTTCATTCCTCACGGCACAACGACTCATGGAACTTCGACTCTCGGCCCGCATATCGCGAATACCAACCGTCTTGTTAATACGGCGAACCCTTTGTATACTACACAACACAACCTGACATCGACTACTATCACTCCACCGTCCACTACTATCCCCATCTCCACATACCCAATGGCTTCACGGCACGAGCCCAAACAGAGCCCAGCAGAACGGCGCAAGGGCGAGTCGGTGCGTAGCCATCCTGCGACTTATGCGCGGAATCTGACTTGTCGCCACAGGCCCTGAGCGAATTCGCAGACTATGTCGAGAAGCAACAGGCGCTGCGACGCCCCCCGGGCCTTTCCCCCGCCACTCTCGACGACCACGACGAGCTGAGCGTCCTGGACGAATTGGGCCTTTCTGACGACAGCAAACCGCATATTCGCCTAAAGACGCTTCTCTCCGACCCTGCAGAGGACAATGTCGCTGCCCTCGCTGAGCATATCAAGGACCGCCTTGCCGAAGGCCATGGCGAGGTTCTGTTTGACGTGGGGTTGGAGGATACAGGCGACTCCATGGGCTTCACAAAAGATGTCTGGGACGCAGCTGTGGACAGAATAGGCATTGTATGTGAGCAGATCAAGGCCGACTACAAGATGCTCCTGACGAGGAACGTTGGTGGTGACATTGAAGTCGGCCCTCGCGATGCCAAAGACACAAGCTGTAGTGGCAAGATGATATTGCGCAAGCGGCCAGAGAGCGTCGACGATGTCATTGAGACGAGAATAGCTGTTGTAGGAAATGGTGAGCTGGTTGGATCATATTCAATTGCACAATTGCTGACAGTGCCCAGTTGATGCTGGCAAAAGCACCATGTTGGGCGTCTTAGTTAAAGGCGATCTCGATGATGGCCGTGGAAAGGCGCGCGTCAATCTCTTCCGACATAAACACGAGATTGAGAGTGGCCGTACGAGCTCCGTTGGTATGGAGATTATGGGCTTCGATAGCAAGAGCGAGGTAGTCGTCTCGAACGTCCCCGGTCGAAAGCTCACATGGGAGGAAATTGGTCGGCGATCGGTAAGTTTTATCAGTCGCCATGTACAAATCAGCTCTGACATCCACAGGCCAAAGTCATTAGCTTTTCTGATCTCGCAGGACACGAGCGGTACCTGCGCACCACGGTGTTTGGCCTGTTGTCGAGCGAGCCTAACTACTGTTTGCTGATGATAGCAGCGAATAATGGACTTGTTGGTATGAGCAAGTAAGTTTACCCCGCGCCCTTCTGTTTCCATTCACTAACCGGTACAGGGAGCATCTCGGCATTGCACTTGCCATGAAAGTGCCAGTCATGGTTGTCATCACTAAAATCGATATCTGTCCACCCCAAATTCTCGAGCAGACCATTACGCAACTGACGAAAATTCTCAAATCTCCTGGTGCGCACAAGATACCAATCTTCGTTAAAAACAGGGAGGAGTGCATAAACACTGCGACCCAGTTTGTGTCCAGCCGCATATGTCCCATCTTCCAGGTGTCCAACGTCACTGGCCACAATATTGACCTGGTTCGCATGTTCCTTAACGCACTCCCGCACCATGGCAACTACGACAGCTCTGCGCCTCTCGAGTTCCACGTCAATGACACATTCTCCGTCCCCTTTGTCGGCACCGTTGTGTCAGGCGTTGTCAAGTCTGGCGTCATACACACGGGTGACACCGTCCTAATTGGCCCAGACAGTCTAGGCCAATTCCAAACCACGAAAGTGCGTTCTATCGAGCGCAAACGAATACAAGTCCCCGGATGTTCCGCCGGCCAATCAGCCAGTCTCGCTCTCCGCAACGTCCGCCGAAAAGACGTCCGCAAAGGCATGGTCGTCCTCCACAAACCCGACAAACCCGACCCCACAACCGGCATTCTGCCCAACCCCAAAGTCTACCGCGAGTTCGTTGCCGAAGTCCTCATTCTCTCCCACGCAACCACCATCAAAACAAAATACCAAGCCATGCTCCACGTAGGACCCGTCTCTCAGACCTGCGCCATCATCGACATTGATCGCCAGTACATTCGCACCGGTGACCGCGCTCAAGTCGCTTTCCGATTTGTCCAGCGCCCGGAGTATCTTACTGTTGGTGATCGCATTCTTTTCCGTGAGGGAAGGACGAAAGGTCTGGGTATTGTGAAGAGAGTAGGATATGATCCCAAACATCCGCTCAATCCGGAATTGCATAAGGAGAAGGAAAAGGAGAAGGAGAATCAGCGTGAGGCGATCAAGACGTGAGGGGGTTGCAGAGAAAGACGTAATTAGTTCGCAAGTCATTGAGTAGCTAGTTAATCACGATCGAATCGCTTGAACAAGTTATAATATCAGATTGCCATTTTTGAGCCTTTTCTAATCCATCTATACATACCAAGGAAATTAAAAAAGCTTTCGACTTCTCTCACCACTACACGTCCTCTTTTTCCCGCTTCCATTCGAAAACTTAAATCTCAATGTATAACACAGCAGAACCGTGATAACATGATATGGATTTCCGCCTCCCCGAAGTTCTACGTACAACGAGGGACTAGTTAAATGATTTACAAAAAAAGTGTTAGAAAAAAGAAAAGAATGGTATCCCATCCCACCCCATCTATATACCTTGCACCTCGCACTCCCCCCAAACCCCTTCGCACCCTTTTATGATTTGAAAAGAGAGATAGAGAAAAGTTCCAACGCTATAGAAAAAAAAAGAAAGTCAGAAACATTTGCTTTCAAGAAAAAGAGATGGAAAGAAAAGGAAGAAAAGAGAAAGGGAACCCCACACTCCTCCTAACATTATCCACCCCTACCAAGCAACTTCTTCCCGAGCGCCTTCGCCTTCTTCGTCCTCGGCCCATCACCTGCACCTAACTCCTCTTCCCCATCATCCTCTCTATCCTTCCCATTGCTTAACGCCGTCGCCACACTCCCCGCCTTCGTACTCGCCGCTCCGCTATTCGCCCTCGCACGCATATGCCCCGCAAACGGTGAACTAACCCCCGCAATATGGCGACTAAGACTATGAATCAGATTCGCATGGATCGGCTCTGTGTTATCGACGCGTGACAGCTCGTCAGCAAAGGCGCGCCCGTCTTCGACGTCGACGGCGGGGCTGTGGTGGGTCGAGAGGCCGCCCATGATGGAGCCGTGGGTGGAGCGGGCTTGGGATGTTGAGGGTGGTTTGGAGGCGGAGAAGTAGGAAGAGGCTTCTTCAGAGACGGTACTGATAGTGCTGCCTGCGCGGCCAGATGCGAAGGAGCGGCGGCCGACGATACGGTCGTCAGAGGAGATGTCTGAAACGGCGCCGGGGGATTGGTCGAGTGGTGAGTTTGATTCAGTGACGGATTGGTCGGGGGAGGAGGTGAGGAGCGTGCTGCTGTTTGCGATTTGGCGGAGGCGCGATTGCGCTTTGGCTGAGGGCCGGTGGTGCGATATCTTGTTACCGACAATGGTACCTGCATGCGAAAGGAGCGCCCGCAACACATCTTTCTTAAGTTGCGTGACGAGGTCCAAGTTCGACCATGTCTTGTTGCGGTACTCAATTGTGGGCATGCGGAAAACGAGATTGTGAACGTCTTCCAAGTTGCGAGAACTCTTGCCTTTATATGAGAGACAAAGTACCATAGATGGCACCTTAATATAGGCAAAGGTCATGAATTCACTTGCACGATTCATCATCTCCGTCAGGTCGTCGTTTCTGGCTTCCTTCTTGTTGGCTTTCCTCTCACCCATACCCACCATACTCATGCCGGTGCCGGTACGGTAGAGTGCAAAGCGTTTTCCACTGCGCTCGGATTCGTTCAATGTTATACTGGAGTTGGTCGTGCTAGATCGGACGGAGCTTGGTCTGGTGGTGGACAAAGAAGAGTTACTGCCTGGCGTGGGCATGTTCAGCGCCGAGTTTGGATGCAGATTCCGGCGGAACTCAGTTCCACTACGAGATGGATTATCGCGGAAGAAACGGAAGTAGTGGTTGCTAGGTCTCTTTGGTGGGCTTCTCTTCTTGACATCATTCTTCTGGGAGGGGGCAGGCAGTTGCAGCGTCGGAGTAAGCCGTCGCTTGAGAGATTCCACGGCGCCTTCGTCGGTTGATAGCGATGCTCCCATGTTATGAGGTACACTTGAAAGAAGGACATCATCATCATCCCCCTGATCCTGGATCGGCAGGGTATGTTTGAGCAAGAGAGGAGAAGGTGTAGTCGTATCGCTGTCTCCAGATGTCGGGAAGACGTATTGAAGTAGCTTCTTGCCTATTTGGTACTCCAACTGGACTTTGAGAGGATAGAGCTCAACCTCGAAATGCTCCACAACAGGTATTCCGGCAATTGATTCCAGGGCTACAAGGTATACCTTGAGACATTTTGCGTTTTCCGGCAGCGTTTGGTCTTTCTCCAAAAAGGGCGAGATCATTTCGGGGTATAGTGCGTTTGGTAGCAGGTTCAGACCACGGACCTGCTCAATCTCCATCGAATTTGCGTTTGACCCGTCGTTGTTGTCAGTTCGATCAAACACCACATTCTTGAGTTGGAACTCTGCCAGAGACTCAGCGCCCTCGCGGAGAAGGTGCCATACGATGTCAGAGGCTGCGACACAAATTCTCAAGAGACCTGTTGACTCTCTTGTTTGCGAGCGATCGTCTTGCTTGCGCTGTGCAGTAGTGATGGCTTTCATGACGAAGAATAGCTCGTCCTCATACACAGCCAGGTCCTTCTCCACTTCAATGCGATCTTCCCATCCTTGCTTGTCCAAGTACTTTTCATGGATCTGGAAGACAGCCTTGATCTCCTCAAGTTGCTGAATACGCTCCTGAAGACCCATGACCAGTTTCGGCGCACCAGCAAGATCGGTGAAATCAGATGCCAGCATAATCTTCTCAAGACGTTCATTGCGCGTCTTTTCCAGTGGCTCATGGTATAGCAAGAGGTCAAGCACAATAACATACATGGCGTAGTATTGCCTCGAATCGCACATCGCTCGAACATGTGGAAAGTCTACCCAGAGGTGATCGATCCTGCTTTCTACGTGGTCGGTGGACGATGCGGAATCAGCTGCCGAGACATCGTCATTGTACTTCAGGCGCAGCGCATTGTACTTGTCATATCGCATACTGGCCGAGGTACGCTGCACGACTCGCTGGAAACCGAACGGATTGGTGTGGAACTCAAACATGACTTCAAATGGTACCCATGGAGGCCATGCTGAGCCAGCAGGTGATCCGTAGCTGCTTCCAGAGTACATGTGAATGTCTTCAGTACTACTGAATGTCTTGGAATTTGTCACAAAGATCTGCAGGCTGTCCATGGCAGTAATAAATCTTCGCTGGACAAGGCCAGAGACCTCATCCATTACTCGATCCTTGTCCATGATCGAAAGCACCTTGAGTTGAATGCCCTTGGCCGTAACAAGGACAGCAGATTTTGTGTCTTTCTCGCTTTGCAGCTGTATCTGAGGTGCGATGAGACGCACAAGATACGAGTTCTGGGATACGTAGTCGTCTGCAACATCTTCATCCGTTTTGGACGCATTGGCTTGCACGGTTTCTGGCACTGCTCCAGCTCCAGAAGAAGATTCGTTTTTGGCGTCTTCCTCGTCGGCATTGACAAACTTCTTGCCATCATCCAGCAGTTGTGCGATGGCTTCATCAATATTCAGGCCAGCTTCGGTTTCGACAGTCACAGGAGCCTCTTGAGTCGAACGATTTGATGGTCCTCGATTTCTCTCTTGCTCTTCTACAACGTCCAGGATGAACTTTACAGCCCTTCGAGACATGTAATAGACAAAACCGCGACGCTGGCTGACTTGATGGATGTAACGTAGTATGATGTTGCGCAGTGAGTTGCTCCATTTCAAATGTATATTGTGGATAATGAAGCGGTTATTAAACTCGTTTGTTGAGTCGGTGATCGGGTTCGGAGGAACGTTCGAATCTTTGCTGTTCCTGTCCGCGGCATCTGGGTCCTCATCTGCCTCAAAGTATTCGTCCTCTCCATCTGCCTCTGGATCCCGGGCAGTACTATCCGAAGATGCTCCTCCTAACCGTTCCAACAAACTCGCATGCATTGTGGATAAGAATTCGAGTTTCCGCTGAAGGAACTGCGTATGGTTCTTTAACGTCACAAGGCGTTGTTTTGTCTCTTGCTGCTCATCTGATGTTACACGTATAAGTTTGAGCTCGTGATCGTCGACAGTGCGTTGGTTGTGAGCAATTTGCTCTTTTACACGCTCGATACGTTGTTCAATCAAGTGGCACTGCACTCGTCGTGGATCATTGCGTGCTGAAATGACGCAATGGTGTGTAGGTTCGTTTCCGAAGGCACTTTTCCTATTCTCGTCGCCTGAAATGTTGTTGTTGTGATCGGTCTGGCGGAAGTATGTGAAGCGTGGTGCAAATGCGAGCGGTAGGATTTGAGTTTCTGGGTGTCGACGCGAAGGCAAGATCCAGCCCAGTTCGATGAAGTCGTCCATGTCTACCCATCCAAGATCGTTGTCTGGTATATTGAACTTCGAAAGATCGGCTGTGAGGTGTTCTTGATTGTGACTACTGAAGTCATCTGGGGCCAGATTGTCCAGATCGTCCGATCCAGTTCCAGCGATACTTGCAGACACGGCACGGATGTCTGTTCGAATAAAGTCAAGCTGGACCTGGTTTATTCGCATGCCAGTGGTTTGATTTTGTCGACTATCCTGTTGACCCTCTGGTGCTTGAACCAAGGTCCGGAACTCTTCTCGTCGCTGATGCAAGTCAAACATGAAGCTGTCCAGACGAGCTTTGAGTCCAGTGGCGGAAACACCACCTGTGCTGTGGTCCTCCATATCCTTGTGCTTATATATGTGGCTCATGTACAATGGCGACAATAAGAGATTATACTTGATGGTCGCAAGGTGTCGCCCAAACTTCTTGCTCGACTTTTCTACTCCGGGCCAAAGCTTGCCTTGACGCACGGGCAATGACATGGCCCCAGAGAACATGGACCACCAGCTGTAGAAATGAGTGAAGAAACGAGGAGAGAGGTGGACGCTGTTGTATGTCCTCGATGGCTCCAAATTAGCAACGGACCATTCTCGATCATGGGGAGCAGCGATAGCGATGGACATGTGAATGTGGTGACTACGGAACCCTCGGAAAGCGTCGTATTCCTAGTTCTTGTTAGTATTTTCTATCAGAGGAAGCGATGCAATCTTTACCTTTCCATCAGATGACTTTGCATACTCGGGATTCTTCAGAGTGACCTCGTAATGAGGTATGAACTTGAAGGAGCGTTCGCCGTCATCCAAGTTGCGCTCGAATACCAATCCTGCAACCCATCGCACGTTGCCATTCAGTTTCATGATTGTTTTCTTAAATACGGCACGCTTCTTTTGACTCGAGGCACTCGAGGCTGTGTCCGGACGGATATTAATTTCAGTCTCGGTCTCCTGGCGAGCATAATGGGTCAGGTCTGGAATGGCAAGTACGTAACCTCCGCTGTTGACAACCATGAAATTTCTTGGGTCTTCGTCTTCAGCCAAGCTGAGCTGGACATCGTTCTGCCAGCACATGACAAAACCCGCACCGTGGCCAGTGACCATGTAAGGGTCCCGCGAACCTTTGAGAATGAGATGAACATCCCCATCGCCTTTCCACGAGACATTGATTCGAGAGTGAAATGTCAGTCTGATCTTGTCCCAGAATCCAACACGCTCCGAAGGATCCACAGGAGGTTTCGTGAAGTTTTCGATGATTTGCATCATGTCCTGAATTGCAGGCTGATACGATGTTCCCCAGGTGATCCTGGTTGGGTATGCAGAATTGATGTCAATCGCCATGTCAGAGTAAGTCTTCACAGGCGCCACAGTGCGGCGAACATCGACTGCATAGCCACCTGTAAGCTCTCCTGCTGAGTTCCGCTCTGGTGGTACAACGACAACTCGACTGACACGTGAAGATTCGATATCCCTGAACTCCTCAGCAATCACAAAATCTGTTCTCATCGACACACTCGGGAGGCGTGATGATTGTATGTTGCCGATGGCAGGGAAGTGTATCAAAGGCAGTGGGTAGTCTCGAAGGTGTATTTTGGCTTCCCCCATTTGGAGTTGGACATGCATTGGTATCAACAAAGCATACTGTGTATCGAATGGCATGCCTTTACCAACCCGGTTCAAGAAGCGAGGGTACTCTGAAATGGGGAAAGAGGGTTTATCAATAACAATCTCCAAATCACTCACAGCTAGTGACATGAGAGCGGGACGTTGAGGAACAGCTAGTATGGTTTCCTTTTGTTCAATGTCGTCAGGCAATTCGTCCAAGCCCCAAAACGTTGAGTGAAGATCACTCATTGCTCGGTGCTCACCCGACATTGCAGAGTCGATGCGCTTCTTCCAAGTCTGGGCGTTCAAACGATTGAGCTTTATCCGCGCATCTTGGATGGAGGTCCGGTGTGATCCACTTAATTCACTAAACCCGTCTTTATTATATCGCATAGGATGGTCTGAACGACCACGCTCTGGCGAACTGCTGCCATTGGATTCTGCACTCTTGGTGCGCCGATGGAACCTTAGGTCCTTTTCTTTCTTCTTCAATTTGCCTCTTGAAGGGTCGTGGGATGACTTTGCACGATAACGCGAGTTGCCGCGTTGCTCCTCCTGTAACTTTCGTACTTTCAAGTCAAAAGCATGCTCACGAGCAAGCCTCTGTTTCTGCTCCATCAGCCCAATACGGTATATGGTGCCGAGTTTCCATTCAAAAGCATTGTCTTCTAGCTCGAATAGTACCGCACGGCTCCGCAATGAGATCTTTGGCACCACCTTGGGCCCTTCGGCTTCTTTCTCCAGAACATATTCGTTGGTACCAGTTCTGAAGCGGTGATGCAGTTGCTTGCCGGTCTTCATGACATTAGCAATGTTGTCAAAGACTTTGTGCATGACCAGCTGATGAGGCACGCCCATCCTGATTGCGTCCGTTGCAATGTCGAACAATTTCTCATCCGTGACGGTATGGCCATATCTCAGCTTCGACTGTCGATAGTCCATACGCAATGACTTGACACTAAAAATTCGACTCCAAGCCTTCTTGATGGCTGGATTCTCGGCAAAGAGTCGAACCAGACGCGACCTGAGGAATGGACTCGACCAGCGATGCTTGCCTGCTTCTAATCCATAAACTTGAAGCATTAGAGGTGGATCAGCAGGCATATCCGCTTTGATTTGAAGGAAGTGAGTTTTAATGTCGACCGTTACGATCTCGCGGTTGATTTTACTCATGGGATCGATAAGATCGTCACCAAGGGAGGGTACGGACAAATGCCGCGGTGACCTTAAAGGCGTAGTAGGCTCTGCCGCCTTCTTTGACCCACCCAGATCGAAGGATTGCTGTAGCACTTGTATCGCCATGCACAAAGCGAAGTGGCGGTACAAGGAGTAGCGCAGAAACAAGCTCTGACAATACATGTGAACGTGGAAAATCGGGCCTTGCTTGTCAGAGAGGGCATTGAAAGCAATCTCCATCTGGGGTAATGACAATGTTGGCTCCTGTTCCGATTGGTCGTCTTCCTCGATGACGACTCCTTCCAGGCCGTTGAAATGTATAGCAACACGTCTGCCATCAGTTGGATTGCCCGAAGATCTCTTGGGTGATTTCGGGGTAGCAGGAGGTGATCGAAGTATATGATCATCTCGATTGATTGTTCGACTTGGAGCACGCCGTCTAATAGGCTTAAGATCCATGTCATCTCCTCGATCTTGCTTGTACTCTGTTGTCCACGATTCCAAATGCAGAGCGATTCCACGGCTGTGTTTTGATACCGCGGGGTCTACACCGGCTACTTCGACATTGAAGTCTGATCCTTGAAGATGCACGTAGGCCATCCACATGGGCAACCTTCGCAGCACGTTCAATTCTCTCTGCTTGAGTCCGTTACGCCTACTGCCCATATTTTTCTGCATCTGTGTGACGATCTGGCGCAGTCCCTCACTGATTTCAGGCCGGACTAAACAGAGAGAGAATGTTTGCGCTGTGCCCCATACTTCAACCACTGGATCCGGAGCAGCGCTCATTTGTACCTTCACTTCAAGATAGTCCGTCAATAGCAGGTCATGTTTCTCGACAGCGGCTGTTTGATAATACAACTGCTGCGCATTCATGCGGAAAGTCGAGCTGAGCGCATAGTGCAAGTCGCCGCCTGCAGCATGGGATGACTCCATGTCCAGAGATATGGAAGATGACGCTGAGATGAGAAGGTCGAACTCGTCAGTGTCGCGCTTACTGATGTCCATCGGTGGAAGAGTGACTCGAATGACGGGCTCGTGAATCGAAATTTTGATGTTTGCTTTTGGTAGAAGACGACGGAACAAGAAGGGCTTGCGACTCCTCACTCTTTGCGGCTTTCGACGTGACTCGTAGTTGTGGAAAATAGCCACAAGGAGCGGGAGATGTTTAGGGTCAAGGTCTAGCGATGGGGATGTGACGACTAGATTAGCAAATAAAATATTGGTATTGCGCTCTGCACTGTCCTTGTCATTGGAGAGATGGATGGTTTTAGAAGGTAAAGTTGTGTTCAGCGTAGTCGTCGCCATGGGAATGTAGAGAAGACGATCGCACTGACCGTCACTATTGTCGATGCCGATGGATATGGATATGGCAGCAAGGAGAGCTTGATGTGCAATGTCATTGGGGGAAAAGTACATGCGATGTGCAGGGCTGCGAGGGTCTAAGCGAAGCAGGTCCATGCCGACTTCTTTCATGGAGAGGTTGAGATAAACAGGAGGCTCTGATTTTTGGCCAGTCTCAATCTCTTTTGTAAGGCCGAGGAAGCCAACGGCGAACTGAAACTCGTGTATGCCGCGAAGAATGGAGCTGGCGAATTCACGAGAGTCAGAAACGGTACGGGCTAGCGTTTCTTCGCGGTTGCCAGGGCCATCACTTTCTTCGGTAACATGCATGAGGGCAGTGTCTGTTGGACTGACACGGGACGGTTTCTGGGCGGTAGTGGCGCGGCACTTTTGGGCTCTGTCCACGCACAGCTTGATATCGTCGTACGGGATGTTGAGACGGCCGAGTTTGAGAGCGATGGAGGCATCACGCAGACCTTCAAGCTCCTTCTTAAGGAAGCCATGGATGTTCAGGGTGAAGCCATCGAGCAACTCTATTGATTCTCTGCCCTCGGGGGTAAAGAGTATACTGCGAGCAGTCAAGAGCCATTCAGCAGGTCTTTGTTCTTTATCGGGCTTGGCTTTGTGGTGATTGAAAAGCCTATTGCGGTCGACAGTCTTGCGTCTGGTGTCGACGGCCAAGTGCAAGCCCCCGACGTGTACCGATCCCACGTCGACAATGACAAGAGAGGACGCATTGGCTACCAAATCAACCTGGCACAGCCAATGAATGTTGCGATGGAGACGCTTGATCTTCTCCTTGGCATCCGTCAACCGCTTCCACGTCAGGCTTCTTGGTGTCTCGTCGTCGGTCGTATCGCCAGGGGTGGCTTCGTCGGAGGGGGGATGACCGTTCTTGCCCGTATTTGTAGTCCCGTTGGTCCACTGTGTCCAACCCGCCCTCTTCCGTGGCCTCTCACCAAGCGCTTTCAGGTCAACAGTTACTTTGAGCTCGTCCAGGACGATGCTGGCAATGGTTGGCCGGGCAAAGGTGGGCCGGTGGAGGCTAAAGCCAAGGCCACGAATCTCGATGCGCAGACCATCCTTGGGGGTAAAAGCGATGCGTCGCAAGCCTCTAGGGCCTAGCCGTTGGATAGAGATGCCCGTGGCGATGCGTATAAAGGCGAAAAGAACAAAGGAGAGAAGGTATATTAGGAGCAAGAGCCCCGCGAGGAACTGAAGAGTGGGTAGGGCCATTGTGGTGCTTCAACCGGGGGCCATTGACCGGCTCGAGTGTTATTGGGATATTTGGTCGCAAGTACACGCCATGTGCTGAGGGATCAGAAAACTCGTGCGGGCAAACATAATCGAGGGAAGCGCAGGGCTACGAGAGGGAGGGCATCGAGGGCGTCGTGGGCGAGCGTGAAAGTGCGCGGCGGCAGTGGATTCGGGACGGGTGGGCTAGCTCGCGGGAGCGGATGGAACGATGGCGTGATGGAACGGACGATCCGGACGTAGACTGAGGAGGAGGCGATTTTGGCACTGCCAGTCGAAGGAAGGCCTCGTCTAGAGTGGTCGCGGGGCTGTAGAATGCCTCTGTGGTATCCTGCTGCGATGCACGTCAGAATCCAGAATGCCAGGTTCCCACGCCTCCCACGTCTCCCACTCCCTGTCCCCTGTCCGCCAAGCTTGACCCGCATGCCTTCTGGAAGGAGTCCTGTCCCCACCTACCGCTAGCCTAATCTCACGCCCCCCCGACCATCCTCAATTTGCTCTCGGCGCCGACAATACGTATAGGTAATTATTCAAGAGACAATTCTGCGTCGAGGTACGAAGCCCTTCGCCCTCTATCTCGACTGGTATCTTCTCTTTCATGCTGGAAAGACTGGCAAGGCAATCGAATGCAGTATTCAGCAGGAACGAAAAAGGTGCATATTTCGTAGCACACTAATTTGGAGACGCAGATCTATTAGTACGCAAAGCAACACTAAAGAAGAAATTCCGCTGGCACCGCGAGTACTGCATGGCTTTTGGTCGGCTAGGTACTAAAAGCAGGCAGTGGATTATGCATGTACAAGTTGGCCTGCCACTCTGTGATGATAGTAGTTGGCGAAGTTCCTGATCGCGTGATATTTGCCAAGGCGCTATACCTAAACAGGATACCGGCCATCCTTGCATACACAATCGACTGCCATAGCAAATCCCCTTTTCCCTTCACGTGACATGCTGACAGTATGCATATTGACTTAATTAGGATGATGGTCAGCTCGCGTCTTCCACAGAAATGACCTTAACTCAAGGAATTCGTCACAGATGTTATGTTACAGATTCAAATTTTTTTCACTCCTAAGCATTACACCACGGTGTATATGATGTATGCTGTCGCAGCATGCACTCAAGACATGCCGTTCCATCTTGCAATATCAATTTTATGGGGAAAAATACATCAATCTTCATAAGGAAAACAGGTCCGTAGATTGTCTAATCTCTCTGATCCTGAAATGCTTTACAATTTCAACTCATAAACTGTAGGATGTCTCTCATCTTGAACAAATCTACACCCATGTTCATTTGAGCCAATAATGAAACTTACATTTAGCTCAATATATGCTCTCATCCAAATTGTAGAAATGATTGCAGTCTGAATATCCATTAGGAAGTTATGCTCCACTGATACGATATCACAACAAGACCTACAGCTTCCCTCAACATAGCCGAATCCGTGATTCTCTTATAAGTTCAACATGAGCTTCTCCTCATTAACCTCAACCCTATCATTCCTAAATAATCGCCGCCCTTATCAACTTCCAACCCCTGCCAGAAATATCCCTTCCGGGCCCCATTACACGTCCGCCCCATTCCGCTAGCCGGGATTCCGAACCCCCCAGGAATACAAGCCGCTTATATCACAAATGCTAGCGTAAATTCTTGCCGCTCCCCCATCCATCCCTGTAAAACACCCGCTTCCCCACTTCCCGAACGTCAGCAAATATCACCCACCCGCTCCGTGAATTTCAGCAATTCTCGCTTCCCCACCCCTTGCATGTAATCGGTAGTCACTTACATATTGGACAACGATCAAGCGTGCAAAGGAAGGAAGTAAGTGTTCGACGTGCTGCTACCCAGAAAGAACCACAACAAAAGATCAAGATTAGGCGCGGAAGGCTCCCCAATAACTTCTGATCAACGCACAAGCGACACAGCCTGACTCCCCAACAACGACCCCATCTTTTGAAGCATCGTATCTCGCGTCTCCAAGCTACAAACCTACAATTCCCTTCTCAACCCACGAAACCGCTTCCAAACTCACAGCCCTCATTTCGTGAATACATATTCCCTGGAATATCCAGAGTCTGACACAAAGTCCTGCGTCCGGCGGAAATTCTAGTCACAGACTCGAGGAGCTAGCGTTGATGTCACAACCCCAGAGGCAACGAGCGTATAAGTAGTTACAACCCGACCCCCAAAGAAACCTTGCGTAAGCCAGCACCTAGGTATACAAGATCTAGTACCAGCATTTCACAAAAACCCCCTTCCTCGGTCCGGCCCAAATACCTCGTTCGTCCAGTGTGATGTTTTTTTCAGTATCCCAGAAATCAAACTCATAGGAGTCAAGTTTTCAACGTCATCCTTCATTGTCTCGTAACCTAGTGGTATTTATTCTGCGTATTATACGGGTTTGGAATACAACTACGTATATCCTGGGCTTAACCCTGCCAGTTCCAAAAGTTAAGTAGGTATGTAGTACGTTTCGGTTTTGGATAATGAAGCCTGCGTCGGACCGCAGTAATCCCAACATAGAATCGAACCCGCTTCGTAGGAATTTTGCTAGCAATCTAGCCGAGGTAGGATCGTAGCGGCTTGACGGCATGCCAGAGTTGCTTCCTGGAGGACGAATCGCAGTATATTGAGGCTCTGCCAAGACAGCATCATGTTGGGACAGTGTATATGGGCTTGCAGGCAGGTAATCGGCGTGTGCCTCTAGATGAGAATGCTGTTACAGTCTGATCTAGTCATTCTGAAAGACAGTAGAAAGATCCCGTTGTGATGGGGGGAGGGCATTCTTGGTAACAAATGTGTATTTATCCCACCTACAAAGAAGTAACCACAGTACTCTGCATCAAACGAAGAGGAAGCGATGAGTACACTCACTTGTCTGTATTTATCTCTGAATCGTAAAAGCGCGGTGCATCTGTCACCACATGTACATGCAGTGTGTACGGTGATACTCTTGAGTAACATACAAGTCGAGCTCTCCTTGCAACGCAACGTCTCTGGAAACGGATGACGTGCCTTCTGGATCTCGGTAGAATGCCCAATCTTTCTCGGCTAGGAACTCTTCCATGAGCTTTGCGTTATAGCACTCTGGTAACTGCCACGCGAAGCTGAGAATGTCGAACTTGCATCCTCGACTCTTCGCTTCTGCTGGTGTGAAACCACACTTTGGCCAACTCTCGTCATGAGATGGAGATGAATTTCCGCGAGGTGCAGAGGCTTCTTGGTAAGGTGAAGATTCGTCTTTATACGGTGAAGAGGTATCTTTGTAAGGCGACTCGTTCCCCATTGTAGTTGCGTGTGATATATGGGAATTGGGCGCATTTTTAAGCTGCAGAAGGGTGACAATGAGCAATGGTGTTGTGATCATCCAGCGGATTACTCCAAGGATCGTTTTGATATGTCCAGTCCAAAAAGCGGATCGTTGACGGTGGTCTTCGCGACGCTCTTCGCCATCTCCACAAGAATCATATTCTGTAGATGATATGCGTCCGTAATCATAGTCCTTAACTTCAGACATGCTTCGGTGATGAGATTAACCTTTAATAAGGGTTACGTAGGGTGTTAGTTGTGAATACATACGTAGTGTGGTAGTGTTGGTTAGGAGAGAATCAAACTGCTTGATTGATGTAAAGTGTAGCGAGGTTCAAGTGAATCTAACTTGTAGGGCTGGCATGCCTAGACCCTAACTGCATCGCAACTATCATCGTTTCATGGCCTTGCATACTATACTTGGTAAAATCGCTGTTGCGCTTATGAAAACCAAGAAATCTAGCAAGGTGTTGATCCGATGCGATCCTACTTCAGATATTTGTCTCAATGCATGGCGCCTTAAGACAGACGGACACCAATCATGAGTACTGTGGTGGTAACCCAAAGTTTTATGTATGGGCCACTAGCAAGGGGATAACACAGGCCGGGGTAGAGAGTAAGAGCTATACTATGTATGTATATGGAGTGTGGCCTCCGTTGAGATTATCAAGAACAGCTTAGTGTTCTTCTGTAATGCATCAGGTATAGAGTTATCTAAAGAAGAGCCTAATCATCATTTAGTGCCTCCACAAGACACAACTTTTGCATAGTAGGACAGTATACGTGACGTATTACGCAGATAGGCACAGAGTATATTAGCTAGAGTGAATTAAGACGAATCATCAAGGAGTTAATCAAGGTTCGAACAAGACTGTACACTCTCTGCACGCGACTGTGGCTTCATTGGCCCGAAGGATACCCGATGAATCTCCAAGGGTTGGCCTTCCTGGGCCTCCAGTTCAGAGTATCAAGACAGTATGTTGGCCACTAGGTCTACTGGGAAGACTTGGGAATAATCGAATCAAATCAAGAACCACTAATCTGGGAACCTGTTAGCCGATGTTGTTTTTCTTGGTTTGGTCGTTCCCAAGCCTGCTACTGGGATATCTCCATGGAATAGTGTGCAGAGCTACCTTTATCATGCGGCATAAAATATTCCAATTTTCTACGTAAACTCAATTAAACTCTTGTCTCTATCAGCGGAAGCTGACTCGATCACGCTCTAGAGACTCACTGCGAAGTTGGAATGAAGAAAGGGTTCACCGTGCGAACACAATGTACCGAAACAACTACGACCCGGTACAACTCCGGCGTACGGACGTCAGCGATGTGTTAGGTTGCTCTACTAACTGGGTTTTTTGGGTACTCGGAGAAAGTATGAAGGGTACTGGGTACTCTTATTCTCCATATCCAATACTTTTCCCCTGAGACGTCAGGGTCAGATATAGGATAATTTCAATTAAGCGGAATTTCCAAAGAACGTAGAAGGGACCTCAGGTACTTAGCTGAGTTAAATATAACCGAGGCGATTCAGTACTTACTTAGTATTTATGAGACGAGGAATTAGTGTTTTATGATTCAAGTAATGCTTTCCTAGGATTTTGAGTAGGCTGAGGAGTCACATCGATCGCGCTGGAGAGGGATGCATCTGAAGCAAACACAATCACAACCGAGAAACCCAATAGAAAGAAAAAAGAAATCGGTCCAAAGATTCATATTGACAATTATCGAGGCCTCTCATATTTAGTACATGCACAAAGTCTCAGGATGAGTTATCTACAACAAGACTTTTGTTTCATCCGCATTAACAAACAGTCGTAACTTCCCCCTCCTAACAATCCAGGTAGTACAAGAAAAAGAAAATACATTCCCTCCTAGTCTCTCATCTTACAACGGGGGCGCATTAGGATCCATCATGCACTGGTCCACACGCATAAGCTGCTTTCCAGTCTTCTTAGCAATCTGGATGAACTCCCTGAGGTAGCTGACAGTGCTAGGGTAAAGGTAGTGCAGCACAACCAAGTTACCGCCCTTGTTCACGTCACGCTGGAAGGCAACCTTCTGCTGCTCGGGGGTATCGGTCTCGGCCCACAGCCAGTCCTCGACGTCGACGCTCCAGTTGACAATGTGGGCGTCCTTGCCGACGGCCTTTGTGAGACGCGAGCGCATGCGGGCACCCTCGTTACCGAAAGGAGGACGGAAGTACTTGGATTGGTAGCCGTTGAATTGCGATTTCATAGCCTTAATGTCCTCGTTGTACTCCCAGTCGATGGAGGCGTAGTCGGGGAGACCCTCCATCTTGGGGTGAGTGAAGGAGTGGAGGGCGAGCTGGTGGCCGGCGGCGCTCATCTCCTTGTAGACGTTGGTCAGGTTGGTGGATGCATCGAGGAGAGGAGCGCCAACGGTGAAGAAGGTGACCTTTATGTTCTCCTCGCGGATGATCTTGAGGACCTCCTGGGCGAGGTCAGGCTGGCCGTCATCAATGGCAAAGGCGAAGGAGTTGGGGCGCTTGCAGGCGAAAACAAGGTTGCCAGTCTCATCCTTGCTGGGGATCTTGACGGTGGATGGGACGGATGACACAATCTCAATGAGGGAGAGAGTGACGGACTCCTTCGTGTGGAAACCCTTGAGGGCGAAACCGACAACACGGCTGAGGTTGATGTTGAAGTGGTTGATGGGAATATAGATGTGACCGTTCTTAGCATAGCGCTTGGCCTCAGCAGAGTCCCAGGTCTCAGGGTAAGGGGCAATAGCGGAGTCACACTTGCTGTTGTGCTGCTGGAAGGCGATAGTGAAGTCGGTGGTACCAGAGTAAGCAATGTGAAGGTAAGAGCCCTTGTACTTGGTGAAGTCGGAGCATCCACCGGACACCTGAGTGTAGAAAGCATAGTCAGCATCAGGCGAGGTGATGGTGAGCTTGTTGCTTTCGTATTTGAGAGTCATGCCCTCGTCACCACCGTGCCAGTTGCCCATGGCGTTGGTGTTGGCGTTGGCGAACCTGTCGATGACGAGGCCAGTAGCAGCAGCATTACTGGGTGCAGGGACAGTGGCGGTAGAACCAGAGTCGGAAGGAGTGGGTGGAGGAATGAACTCTCCAGAGTTGCCACAGTAGAATGCCATGGGGCCAAACGAAGTGGTACCAGTGAAGCCAGAGAAAAGGACGGTGGTAAGCTTGGCAGTGTTGAGACCTGGGAACTTGCTGAAGGGAATGGTGTAGAGCTTCTCAGAGCCGTTGAACTCCCAGCCCAGATCCTTGGAGGAGGCATAGAACGACTTGGCCTTGGTCGGGTCGCAGTCGTCGGAAGAGTCAAGCTGGATGTTGAGCGAGGCGCCCTGGGGAGCCGTGATGCGGAGAGAAATGCCGTTGTATCCCTTGGCCTTGGCGTCAACACAGCGGAACTGGCTGTAGAAGTAAGAGCCAGCCTTGGGAACAAACTCAACACGGTTCTTGGCTGGCTTTCCAACGGTGATAGAGGTCATGGTGCTATCGTCGGAGGTGGGGAACCCCATGGCGTTGTAGAACAGGAAAGTCAGACGGGATTGGGAAACCCAGTCATCGATTACCAAGGGGGCGCAGGTGCCAGTGGCAGTGGGGACGGGGACGGTCTGCATGGTAGTGCGAGTCGCGCTCGTCGAGGTGGGGTTGCCTCCAGAAGAGCTGCACCCGAAAGCAATCTTGCTGATTTGCCATGTGGTGCTTGAGGAAGAAAAGGTAGACCAGACGAATCCAGTAATGGCATTGGCATTGGCACCGGAGAACTGGGTCAGAGGGATAGTGATGGTCTGGGTGTTTCCAGTCAGACCAGTCAGAGTGACCCACTTGGACGAGTATGCAGCATCTGAGCAGCTGCCCTTGGTCTGGATCTCCAGGGTTGCAGAGCCCTGGGCGGGGCCCTTGATCTGGAAGGTGATTGAGTTGTATCCATTGGAAGAGGCAGCCTGGCATGGGAGAGTCTCGTAGAAGTAGGAAGTGGCGTTGGGCCTGAAGGAGAGAACACCGTTGGCGGCTGAGATTGAGGGCATGGAAGAATCATCTGTGATAATGAGTAAATGTGTGAATTGTTTTGGGGACAAAATAAAAACGAACCGCTGGTCCAGGTGCCCAAGCTGTTCTGCTTGGAAGACCACTTTGAGAAGTCGTCAATCTGAAGGGGTCCGCTGCAGGCTGCATTGACAGCGTGGGTAGCAAGTCCGGCCGCGAGGCCTATTAATGTAGTAAGATACATGATTGGTGAAGGTAAGCGAGTGTGATGCAAAAGCGAATGTACAGAAGTCTAGGACTTCCAGGGACGGAGAGTCGCGATGCCCTTGGGATTGAAGGAAGGGCAATGAGAGCAGACGATAACTCGTAAAGATCGCTTTCGGCGCGAGGCTCCTATACATATATCTTCAGCTCCGACACGGCGGTAGCAGAGATTGGACTAGCGAGCTGGGCATGCAAGCCCTTTCCTGGGCAGCCCTGGCGTAGCAGGAACGGCACGAGCTATTTCGGGTAGACTTTTTCTAGGCGAATGCAGATCATGGGTGGAACGGGCGTATGGGCGCTGGCGGTTTGCTGCGATGCGCGACTGGGGCGTACGGATGTGGACGCCATGCACCTATTGCCTGCTGGGCGTTTGTGGGGCACAACATCGATATCACTTTTCCATACATGTGCAGTCTACATGGGCATCCAGAGCGCCGTCATCCGAGTAGTATACTTCCACATGTACATCTGTGACGGCGCCTCAACGGTACGACCTTGTCTTGTCCAAAGCACATGGCGATGGAAATGCTCCATCATGGCGTTCTCGACTTTCCGACAGACTGCTTGCCGGCCCCGGATGCGATGGCCATGGCTGAAACCATCCACATCTGTTCTCTACTTTAGTCACGGCAAAGATACGAGAAGCCATACCTTGGCTTTGAACAGAGGCGAGCGGAAAGACTTGGCCATGACGTTCGGTTGGGATGTTGTGTGTGAGAGAGCACAATTGGGGGGCTGCTGTTGGCGAGACGCATGTCGGCATTCTAATTACCATTTCCTTTCTTTTTTTTCGACCTGCTGCGGTAACAACACGTGAGATTTCAGTATGTGCCTTGTCAAAACGGCCTCGTCTCTGCGGAAGCAACGGTGCCTGTGCCCGGCAGGGTGGTGGGCGTTTGGTGCACCTGTCGGACCCGCACACAATACGATGGTCGCCTGACAGAACAGCGCATTGCCGGTACCAGGCGGAGCGGGGATGGCGCATAAAGTATACGTCGATATAGCGTTTTCCCCAAGTGGTGCAATCTGCCGACAATAATGGTGTGCTGCTGCGAGTCGTCCTCATCAACAGCACACTGGGCCAAACCCGCGCCTCTCCCGTCTTACCGCGACGCCCGCCGAACCAGCCGTCGGCTCTGTCGGCTGCGTGCACGCAACCAGCTGCTTGCCTCTGTCGAAATCCATCTCTTGCATCGTATGCGCAATGGTGACATAGTGTTGCCGACGAGCAATCTGTCGCTGACCGAGCAATCTTCTTCCGCTCCCCCTGCCAAGGCGAGGCAGCCAAATAGCGCATCCAGCCCGGCTCTGCATGTTTCGTCCTTCTCCGCCGCCGCCCAAAGGGGCTAGCGTATTGCCAAGAGCGGCTCCATCCCAATCTCTCAATGGCGGCTGTGCTGGAGTAAGGCCCAGGATGCGACTCAAGGCTGGCCGACTAATGCTTGCTTCTCTCGATACGGCAACCCTTTCCAAGGCCATCTCCCATCCCCAATCCATGGTTCATTGCACGCTCCCACCGCCAACATCATCATACCGCGGAAGAAAAAGCAGAAGCAACGACAATTTCTCGAGCCCTGCAGTGGACACCCAACACAGGGCTCAAGTCCCAACCATCCAGCATAAAAAAGCAGATACTTCCCAACAGCAGTTGGCTATGACGCCGTCCTCTACCCCCCAAAATTAGCTTTGACCACACAAGTCTTCTATACGTGACGACAAGCGAGAATGGTCCGCCAAAGATGATTGTCCAACACAGTCATAGATAGATGGATTTTGCTATCGATATTGCTACACCCAGGCCCTCCCCAGACACCGAACTGTGTTTCAAGTACAGCGGCTATCGGCTCATATCTTGGTATAAACGCAAATAGCAGCGGGACATGACTGACATGATTTTCCCCCAGGACCACAAATTAACGTTTGAATGATGGCAAAGACAAGACATCTAGCATGTGCCAAATATATTGTTACATGGCCGTCCAATCAAAATAGAGTTTTAAAGAACCGATCGTGCGATATTCGCAAAAAAAAGCATGTTGGTTTTCCAGGCTACAAGACTACGGGTTTGGTCGTACGTAGATACCCTGAAAATCCCTTTATCCCTTTATCCAGACTTTCTGTTGAAAGCTATATCTGGGTAACGGTAATGGCGATCAGGTTGCCCAATCTTCCCCAGATAACCCTTATCCAATGCACTACTCACCAATAAATCACCTCGAACTCTCACCCTTTTTAACTACTACCGCCCCTCCTTCACCCCATCAACCCACACATCCACCGCCTCATTATAAAAGCATAGATATCCCGCAATCAACCCGCTCTCCATCGTCGGATACCGATAGTACCACACCAAATCTTTGTACAACTTGCCATTGATATTAACGTGATAGTACTCTGCCTGTCCCTTATACGGACACAACGTCGTCGTATCGCTGGGAATCAGATACTCCCATTGCACGCTGGTAGGCGGAACGTAGTACCGCGTTCTCAGCGTTGTTTCTAGTAAAAATAGCGCACTGGTGGTCTCGGCCAGCGTCACGCCGCCGAGCGCTACTTTGATGCTGCGGTATGACGGCAAAATGTCAATGCGTTTGTAGGGGTCCTTAGGGTGACAGTAGATGCGCGTGTCTTCTTCGAACCACTGGTCCATGGCGGGAAAATCTACCTTGACGAGGTCTTGGAGTGCGCCGGAATGGAAAACAAGCATGCGGTTTGTGCTGCGCGTGCCGCTGGTTAGCTTGTAGAGGTGTGCGGTTCCGGAGGTGTAGTCGATAACTGCGTCCGCGAACAGTTTTGCGTCTCTGGTGAAGTCTTCAATGGGGACATAGTATCTTGACTGTATTAGTTGAGTGTAGTCTTCCGCATGGAGAGGGCGCTGGAGGTGTACTGTGGGTATCGTAGGTCAAGTTCCCACACGTGACGTGCCTTGGTAGTATCGAACACATATTTCCCGTTAAAAAGGCCGCGGACACGTCGACTTGTTGGCTCGATCCTCTTTGGCCCATCGCGAATAAGCGTCTGAGCTAGCTTTACCAAACTATATTCGTTAGTGACGACCCCTTGTAATGTGTGCTCTGGTGAAGTTACTCAGCGGTTGAAGAAGCCATTGCTAGTCCTTGGTTCTAGACCAACGCGAGTTGTCTTGCAGAAACAATTCCTCCTTTTTAAAGTAAATAGGAATGAAAACCAATGCTGTTTATGTATTCGGACTGGGAGTGGTGATGTCGCCATGGAAGCGGGGAAAGGTGCAGGTCCGGCAGGAATAGCCGAATGTGCTTACAAAACCATAACGGCTACATGGCGCGTATATCGTCATTGATGGTGAGCGTTCAACCTATTTCTAACATGTTTTGGGAAAAATTGTGTCGTGGGATCTTAATATCTGGGTTAAACTTGATGTGATTTCGGTAACATCTGTAGAGATTACTCCTAGTCTAAGATGGATATGAAGTACTTCACATTCAGATGCCCCGGACCAATGTACTGCATCGGTACACGTTCTCTCCCACAAGTTGCCATTATTTTCTGAGGCTGCTAACTCGGATGGATATTCGAAATGATGTGCTTGTGCATGTTTCGGGTAGATGATCGCACAGTGATGTAAGGCGATTCCTGGCGTTATGGAGTTTATGTGCCTGATAACCCACTTTTCAAAACGGCACATCTATTTTCTTAGATTGCGTGGATGGTGTCTGGGAATGCGACAGAAGATTTTTGAGATTGCTAGAATGCGATGATTGAATGGGGTGCATTCATATTCGTGTATATCTAAAGATCGATTTTGTTAATTGATATCCTCTAGTTCAAATAGATTCCCGTTTCCCGTTTCCATTTAGTATTTTACTTTTATAACATCTTTCTAACTAGTCAGTAATAGTTTGGAGTTGACGGTACTCTCAATAATCTTCATTTTCATTGTTCAAAGCTTATCGAGTTTGACATCTTCCGCCATCGTTTCTTGCTCCATCAGTGTTGTATATCTGACCCTAAGGCGTGTCAAACATCTCAAGTGATGCAAAACTTTAGTTACTTCAGTACAATGGTAGTGAAGGATGGGTGTATGCTCTTTTGTTTGTAATGTAAAGGAAGTTGTAATTATGTGTTAATCTACTAGTACAAAAGCACTACGACTCGCGGATAAAAGTTCATCGATGACTAACAGTGATCTGTAATCCCGCAGCAAACTTAGAAGATTTTTTTACATGTAAAAACTATTTCTGTCATACTGGATCCTCAAATGCCTCGATTTCAATATTAGAGAACAAGGCGAAGACTCGTATTTCGGAGTTTTTTTTTTGGAAAAGCTCCTTGGAAAGTAAATTCAGCAATGAAACTATAGTTATACAAGAACCAGAGGGGGTGAGTTTCTTTGCGTCTTCTTCAACTTACATAACTAACCAAATACTTGTGGGAAGTAATTCCCCGCTGATGCCATCAATCTTCAATCAATTTTCAGTGACGAGTTTTATATCTTTGAAGTTGCTTTGCATATATCGGTGCCAGAAAAACCTTAGCAGCCAGCAAAACTATATCTTCGGCATGAACATGCCCCGTTTTCTTGCTCGACGCATCCTTCAGCATTTGTTATGAAGTATTCTTACATCAGCAAGCAACGGTCGGATCTCTTGCCGGCTTGTTATCTTACCACACGTGGGCATCACTACAAAACAGGGGTGCCCCTGCCAAGTCAGCGTCTCCCTCAGGTCTCGTATGTGTGTATGGGCCTGTAAAGAGATTCTTTCTACAAAGGCCCCTGGGGTTGATGTTGAGCAGCAGCGGGAGACGTGGGGAAAGGATTAGCGCGCCGGCGGCCTTACCGCTTGTGGACTAGCCATTCGCGTGTTGGGCCCGACAGACTCAGGGAGCCGGGCTGGACTGGCGCAGGACGACAACCGACGTGTGGACCAATGCGCCCTCAACGCTGCCTGCAACTACATACACCACCTTTACCACCACCACAGACCAAAGGGCTGTCCAATGTGCCACGGCGACGTCGCCCGCCCATCCAGTGCCCGCCCCACGTCATAATCCAGCCCCTCTAACTTGTCCATTGACCGCCATCTCTTCGCCCCCGCGACGACGGTGCCTTGAGGGGGCTATAGCGATAACAGGATGCTGAGAACAGTGGCTGGCCGCCTGGCGCGACGGCCTTGGAGATTTGTCTTGCCCGGCTTGCTATTCATCTTCTTCTTTTACTCCCTCCCGCACCACACAGGGTCGCGTACACAGGGGCCCGTACACAAGGCCAAGACTAAGTCGTTTTTTCCGCCTCTGGAGACAAAAGCCGCCAACTCGATTGAGCTCGACTACTGCAAGAATTTCCCAACCAAGCTGCTCGAAGAAGTGCAGGTCGTACTCAAGGTGGCCTCGGACGGCGCACACGAAACAAAAGCGCACCTCAACACGGTTTCGAGCTGCATCACCAACCTGATCATAGTCGGCGACAGGGACGAGCGACTAGGCGACCGGCAAGTCATTGATATTTTAGCGGAGCTGCCTAAGAGCTACCAAAAGGATAACCTCGATTTTGAGGCTTATGTCGCGCAGAAGAAGGCACACGAAGGGGGCGAGACAGTCAAGGGACAACAGCGGTCGTTCAAGCTCGACCGTTTCAAGTACCTGCCCATGGTGGACAAGGCGTACATCACCAACCCAACCGCAAAGTGGTTTGTCTTTGTCGAGTCAGACGTCTACCTTTTCTGGGATACGCTATTCCGGCTGTTAAGCCAGCTGGATCCCTCTGAGCCTCATTACATGGGCGAACCACACAAAGGCTCTGAAGGCCGGCAATTCGCCTACGGTGGGGCGGGCATCGTCCTCTCACAGGGACTGGTAAGGAAACTTATCCCCGCAAAAACTGTTGGATCGACAGAAATCCCGCGCGAAAATCGCCTGAGCGTCCGATATGAGAACTGGGTCAAGGAAGAGCAGCGCGGTGACGCTGTGCTAGCCTATGCCATCCAAAACGCGACAGGACATAAGATAGCGCCCATGCATCCCACGTTTGCAAGCGACAAGATCAAAAATGTCGTCACTACAAAGGAAAGGTGGTGTGTCCCCATGCTTTCGCTGCACCAGGTCAAGCCGCAGCAGATGGAGGATCTTTGGAAGTGGGAGCGGACCCGACCATACAACACTGTGGGTCTTTTGTCCCGTACGCGCTGATGCACTCTGCTAACATGATGGTCACAGAAACCGTTTACCTACTCATCATTCCTCTCATACACACACGCCTTCCTCTCCCAAGGTCCCAGCCGCGAATGGTGGGACAATCTCTCGACCGCGCCCGTTCCCAACGACCGCCCTGCGCACTACAACGCTGGTTCTTGTGGTTCCGAATGCGCCAATGACAACAATTGTTTACAATGGTCATATTCGCAGACGGTCTGCCGCCATGCCGACTACATCAAGCTCGGAGACGCGGTAAATCGAGAGAATGGTGGACAGGGTGAATTCGTCAGCGGTTGGGATAGTGCAAAGCTGCGCGCAATGGGATTTGGAGTTGAGGGAGAAAACGGACAACGAGAGTTCTACGCAGGGTGTGAGGAAGCTACCTGGCTTACTCCAAAGGCAGGTTAGACTGGACGAGGGAGTATACTGGGGACATAGAGTACATAATGTTCAGGCCGTGTATAGGGAGGCGTTTGCGGTTGCTTGTCAGCACGTTCATGCATGGCGTTTTAGGTTGGCACACGATTTGGGTATGCGAAGCACGGTAAGCAGCGCGTTGGCGGAACACGATACCGCATATGACTGGGACAAAGACGGCAATTAGGACATGTTGTTGTGAACGTCGAGATTGGGGACGCGTAGATGAGCATGTATTGAACACGGCTTGACCACCTGCTCCCCTTGGCGCAATCTAGAATCCGCTCTTGTCCGGATCATATCAGATAGTAGAAGACAAATGTAGCTCGACTATAAGCTGGTATACGCCAGGTATTACAGCTGCCGCCCACGCTTTGGAGCCCTAGTAGAGCTTTGTGACCATGAAGCCGCGACTGCGAGCGGTTAGCGGCGCACAACTTGGAGCTCGGAGTGCGGGCCTCTCCCCCATTTGGAGCAACGGGACGTGTGGAAACTTTTGCATCCGGAAGCTATATGTCGGCTTCCCTGCTGAATTCATGAGTGACATCGCCAGCAATCGCACGCAACGCGCATCCCGTTCGTCGAACCGCTTGTCACCTTCACTGAACGAAGCGCTTGGTCGTCTTCGCGGCCCTTGCTTACTCTTGGCGACGCTGGCGTGTTTTACGGTGCTATTCGGGAGTTCCCTGGACAATTTTGCTGGCGGAGCAGGCCCAGTCCATGATACTCTGACCAGGGCGATGAGGAATCCAGTGTGTCAAGGGCAAGAGTAGGACGCATGCTGTTACATTTAGTACACACGCACACACACAGCTAAGCTCATGCGCAGGAGTAACAAGCAACGCGCAGGAATTGCCCTCTCCGCAACCATGGTCACCTGCGCGGAGCAGTGCTTCATCTCCACTTGTACACTACGTATACACGTTAGTCGATATTAAATGGGCTTCTCGAAAGCCTTGGCCCCAAGCAGCGGGTGGCCGGACCGCTTGTCAGTGCACTAAAAGCTACACACTAAGTGGTGTTGACTTTACCCCACAGCCCAGCGACAAGCCGTGGTAAGGCGAGGATTCACCCTTCCCATATTAATGCGGCCCTACTCTGACGTTGCCGGACATACTGTGGAACGCGCAAGGTGCATGAGTCCCCTGTTTTCATAGGCTAGCGATCCCGTTGAGTCGACTACCTGCAGATGAAAGGTACAATGAAACCCTCTATTTCGGCGAGCAAAAGGCGCCGCGGCGGACGCATGCTGTGCTTACAGGCAATATCGAAGGTAAAAGTATATTCACTAGGATAATTGCAACATAGCTTGGTATTCCATCGACTGCTATAAAGCGAAAGCTCAGCCCAGTGAAACCGTCTCCACAACACCAACTGCATCCACAGTCTCGACGACACTTCTATTCTCAGCAATCATCATGTTCACTAAGACACTCTTTTCCATCGCCCTAGCGGCCTCTGCTGCTCTTGCTGCCCCCGCCTCAGGTGGCGCTGTTCCCAAGTGCCCCATCGTTTTCGATGGCCGTGTTCCTCTCAACGCCACTCTCGAGTCTTTCGATTCCGCTGCTACCAACACCCTCTTCAACGCTGGCTTCGTCAAGGGCAACAACTTGACCTGGTCTCAGATTCTCAAGTTCCCAAACGTTGGGGCCTCGCGCTTCGATTGCGGCTTCAAGCCTCTTGAGCTCACCATCTCTGATGCATCCATCTTCATGAAGCAGGTCGGATTCCGTCGCGCTGAGCTCCAGTTTCTCAAGGATGCTGCCGATGGCGAGGGTGGTAAGGGCGTCAAGACCCTCCACTGGAGTGTCAAGCAGAATCCTCAGAGGGCCTTGAACCTGACCCACGAGTACCTGAACGTGTGGCACGAGGCCGCTGATTTCAGCAACAACCAGATCCAATTCCAGGCCGGAACCCTCATTGGCAAGAGCGATGCCGACAAGAGCAGCTTCAAGATTCTCGACCGCACCAACAAGCAGCTTTGGGCTACCCCCATTGACTTCACCAACTGGCAGAACTTTGCCATGACTCTCAACTACGTCAAGAAGTAAGTTTATCTGAAAAAGTGCTTTACAATGATAGCGAAATACAGTACTAACATTCATCGTAGCGAGGTTACCATCTTCTACAGCAAGGGCAAGAGTGCCCTCAAGAAGGTCGCCGGCCCCATCACCACTGACCTTTCTGGTGGCGGCCAGTACCACTGCGGCATGCTCAAGAAGCCTACTGGTACCTCTGACGTTGCCAACGCTGGTTTCCAGGAGTCTCCTCTTGATGAGAGCCAGATCTACGGCGGTCTCTTCCTCGAGGACTCTTCCAATGGCTGTGTTTCTCTCTAAATCAGCGGTTGCCTCACGGCAACACGGAGAGCTTGGGGTCTCGAGATGGACATGGTCAGGGAACAATGCTGGTGCATAGTAGATTTTAGAAGTGCATGTGGATCCGTGTAGATTTGGACTTTTCTAGTGTGAGAATCTCGAGGTTGTGTTTTTAGTGCTTGTACATAGATATGCACAACCTCGGGATTTAATTACATTTTTTACGGATGCTATTCTACTAAGTGTATCTTACCGTGCATTACTTATGAAAAATAGGTGAGACTTGCGACGTTGTTTTAACATACAAGGATGCTACTGCTACTACTCGATACCCGGCCTTGGTATTTCCTATAGCGCTTACGAAATAGATGAGGGAACGGCCTACTAGCTCATCTTCTATATTGCCCGCGAAACATATGAATCAGTAGCTTGTCATGAATCGATCATGCGATCTCTAGTGTCTTAGCAGGTAATCACAACAACAGGGGTGCGTAGAAATAGAAAAGTATGGCGAATACATATTGCCATGAATCGAATGCCTACCTAATTCGGACTAGCTCAGATCACCCGCAGGAATGATGGCATCACACATCTCGAGTCTAGCCTACCAAAATGACTCTACTGTCGTCTAGTACGCAGAATGTGACTTCCTTTTCACCAAGAGCGCAACGGCCATTTACATACGTACCCTTCTAGAACCCTGTGAATATGTCTGGAGCGACAAGTTCAAAAGAAATCGCGCCGTCGATTGACGTGAAAAATCTCAGCTATGCCTTTCCTGATGGCTCGAGTGGGCTCAAGGATGTGTTTCTCGACCTGCCGCCGGGCAGCAGAACATTGCTGATCGGAGGCAAGTAGCATCCAAAAGACTTGTAACAATATACCAAGAGCAAGGTCACTAACATGGTGCAGCCAACGGTGCGGGTAAAACCACATTGTTGCGTCTCCTCTCGGGCAAGCGCATGGCCCCCGCCAACACCGTCCACATCTCCGGTATTGACCCTTTCAAGATGGGCTTGGAGGGCGTGACATATCTCGGCCTCGAATGGGTGCTGAACCCCATTGTCCGCACCGACATTGATGTTCCTACGCTCCTTTCCTCGGTCGGCGGCGACCACTATGTCGAGCGCCGTGACGAGCTCGTGCGCATCCTCGACATCGACTTGAGCTGGCGCATGCATGCCGTCTCGGACGGAGAGAGGCGGCGCGTGCAGCTCGCTATGGGTCTTTTGAGGCCGTGGACAATCCTGCTGCTCGATGAGATTACAGTAGACTTGGATCTGCTATCGCGCAGCAACTTTCTCAACTTCTTGAAAAAGGAGACGGAGACAAGACCTTGTACGATTGTTTATGCGACGCATATTCTGGATAACCTTGCTACATGGCCGACCCATCTGGTACATATGAGTCTGGGCAAGGTGAAGAAGTGGGGGAGCACAGAGGAAATGAATGTCAAGGTTGAGGCGGCTGGGGGCCAGCAATACACGGGGAATAGTCAGTTGGGCGAGCTCGTGCTCAAGTGGCTCAAGGAAGATTTGGATGAGAGGGGACCGAGAAATGGAAAGGGAGAGGGTCTGAGTTATCAAAATTTAGAAGGCAAGGGCGGGTATGGTGCAGAGAAGAGGGTGGAAGATTAAAGAACGAGTGCAAGGAGGGCAGCCAAACTGTGGCTTCAACAATGCTCCACAGTTTGTTAAGGGGTTAACATGCGTTTTTATCAAGGTGGAAACTCAACGATGATACCCCCGTTTCCATACTTCAACATGGGTACAAGATGGTGCTAAAGAAGATTTTTGTAGATCTTATGTTCATGAGATATTCAGCCCATTGCATTGCACTACCATTGAGTCTTGTCTCGCTTCTTTCCATACGCTATAATTCGGACGATCATGAACAAAGACTTCTTCGAATAGATGAATACACACTGAGCAGAATGGGTACAAATACCTCATGGGTATACATGAGCCGGGATTTCCCGGTATCACAGGGCTCAATTAGGGACAAGACAACGAGGAGACACTTGTACACAAAGTGCGACAGGGACTACACGTGCAATGGTAGACGAATCACATGTGTCTGACATATTACACCACGTGACCTAAGCAGCTCGTGCATATTTCGCGTTTGCCACCCCACGCGTCACCCGCCCGTCCGCACAATTTGATGCCGGGAACGTTCAAGTCTGTTACTCACCACCTGCGTCTTGCTGATCATGACATGCATGCTATCGATAACCCAGTCCTAGAGTACTAGAGAGCACATTCACACTGAGCGGATGCTTTCGGATCCTTGCCGAAACAAGCCGCCGTCGCGCTATGACGATCGTCATCCAAATCACGGCAATTCCCATTACTTGTTGAGAAACACATCTCCCGTGTAAACGGAATTCATGCATCGTACGCAATCCTACTCAATCCTTCTCTAAGCCGTAAAAGAGCCTTTCCGCGTTGTTCCCCTTGAAACACGACACACGCTCAAGTCAGCGGCAGCCACTTCACCATGGCAGAACAGGAAACCAAAAAGGGTGGTTTCCGGGCCATGTTTGGCATGAAATCTGGTAAAGAAGCAAAACCGCAGGGCGCGCGAAAAAAGCTTTCCAAGAAAGGATCACGAAGCGATATGCTTGGAAAGCTTGACTCGACCGCCAATGTGGGTAGGACTGCACGTCAAGACTCTGGTAGTTTCACCGACGAAAGAAACGGCTCAACCGTAACTCAGTTTGGCCTTCCGGCGTATGATGATGTTATTGGGGTTGCACCGCATGCATTGCGCGATAACCCGTACACTGCCATCAATGCTCTCACTGACACGAGCAATACACATCTCTTTGTTGATTTGCAAGCAGCCGACTATCGTCGCAATTCAGAGGGACAGCCACAATATGCCGCACCACTATATCACCCACAGAGCTCAAGGTCAGGATCTCTGCCACAGATACGTAGCGAGAATATGCATCCGTACTCGCCGCCGAAAGCGCAGCCTTCGAAACTCAGCAAAGCGCATCGAGCACCCTCGGCACCCGCAAGAGCAGATGATATTCTTGATAAGGATACGGGAGAAAGAAAGGACTTGACGGAGATGATGCATGCATTTACATATATCGATGGAGTAGACACCATTGAAGAGGAGAAAGACGACGAATCTCTCCTTTACGACCCTTCACGACCCGATGGAACGGCAATGCTTGCCAGTGCATCGCCCGAGGTGTGGCTGCGCATTGCCGACTTTTTATCGCCCTTGGATGTTGCCAATTTATCATCAACATGTCGGACCATGTATGCTCGACTAGGCAAACACCCATACAAACTTCTTCTGGACCCAATGCACCGCACACACCGATTAGACTTCCTACTCGCCATGGACCCCAAGATGCCACGTCATCTCTTCTGCTTCCCATGCGCTCAATGGCATCTCCGAATCCAACCCGGCCTAGAATCGCTGAAGCCCCAAAACGTACTCAACCCCCTCTTCGAATGCCCAAACATGACAAACATCCACATGCCCCCTCCCCGCATCCGTATCACAGACGGCCGCACCCTCCCCTTCACCTTCATCCAACTCGCCCGCCGAAACTGGGCCCACGGTTCCGACTACGGTATCCCACATCAATCTCTCGCGCGCCGCTGGAAAGACCCGTATTCCGACTGGACCCACGAATCCGCCTACCACATCACCGAAAAGGGGCACGTCCTACTGCGCGTCCGCTCCCAGCACCACGTCCAAGGCGGTCTCACAGACGCAGCAAAGCGGCTCCTTCTCTTCAGTCGCGGCGACTACACACCATATTTTAGCGTGTGCGCGCACTGGAAACACGGGATCCTAACCTCCATCCCCAAATGCGCCCTATCGCACATCCCCTATGCGAGCGAGAGCGACACTACCGCCCTCGACAAGTTCAAAGAACGCAACCTCGGCAAGAAAATCCTCGGTATGGTTCCCCTGTGCTCAACCTGTCGTCCCATGCGCCGCTGTCCCAAGTGTCCCACTGAATACCTCTTCGAACTTAAACTTGTGGAGGATAAGGCCGTCCGGAGTTATGAGCAGGGTCGCTTCAAGCAGGCGCTCGTTGTGACGCGCTGGAGCGATCTGGGGCCCGCGCAGAGTCCGCTGGATGCCCAGTGGAGCGCCATCACAGGGGAGAACGACGGGTATGACAGTTTCCAGGAGATTGGGAGGAGGGCGGTTAGTGGCGTGTTTGAGAGCGCATTTACGGATACGATTCCCGGGCAGAGGGTGTTGAGTATGAATCCGCAGAGTGTGACGGCGAATGAGGAGGCGGGGGATTGGTATTAGATTGATATGACACTTTATTTTGAAGGAGATATTGAAAGACATATTCCCTTGATGAAGAGCGGATAAGAGGTTACATTTCTTTTCTTCTTTTCTCAACTCCAATTTCTGACTACTATGTCGCTTTGCCAGACGTTCAACTCGACAAAACTCCGTGCTATACATCCACAACTCCTATCGCAATGCACATGCTGGTCCGTTGCCGATCAACTAAACACATCTACCCACCACCCTAAAATTCTTATGGCGCCCGCACCACTTTCCTGCCTGTAACCTCGTATCGTTTCAATTCTTGCAGGATTTTGGGCGAATCAGCAAAGTCGTATACTTCAACTTTTGGTGTAATCTTGCCCTCGACAGCCATCTGGAGCAGCTCGTCCATTTGCTTCGCGCTGCCGGTAGATGAGCCGCGGATTGTTAGGCCTTTTCTTTCAATTAGCATAGGAGTTCGAGAACCATCGGAGGGGGGAACAACATACCCTTGTTAGCAATGTGAATGGGACTCATAGGAAACATGAAGGTATCCGGTGGCAAGCCTACGCAGACAAATACACCACTGTTCCTGCACAGGTCCGGTGCCTGGATATATGCCTTCTCGCTTCCAGCAACGCAAATGACGCCGTGTGCGCCTTCGCCATCGGTGAGCTCTCTGACAGCCTGTACCACGTCCTGCTTGGCGAAGTCGACAAACGCCACAGCGCCCATTTCCTTTGCGAGTTTTTCTTTTTCAGCCCCGCTGTCAATGGCAATCACCTTGTACCCCTTTATACTCGCAATCTGCACACCGATATGTCCCAGTCCACCGCCCGCACCGACGATAGCCACGAAATCGCCGGGTTTGACCTCCGGCTCGAGTTTGGACACACCACCTGCTAAACTCAAGCCCGCGCACAGAAGCGGCGCTGCAATCTCGCTCTTGACGCCATCTGGGATCATAGTCACAAACTGCGCATCGGCAACGACATACTGCTGCAGCGTGCCCCACACATTCCTGCCCGTGTTCTTCTGCTTGGCACAGTGATTCTCCTTGCCCTGCTTACAGCTACTGCACGTTTGACACGCGTTCCACAGCCACTTGATGCCGACTCTTTTGCCCATCAGCTCCGACGACACATTTGCGCCTAGCGACACTACGGTGCCGACGCCCTCGTGGCCAGGCACTTCGGTGTACTTGCCCGGCCAAGCGAGGTTGTGGCAGTCCGAATGGCAGATGCCGCTGTATTCAAGTTTGACGAGGACTTCGCCTGCGGACGCCTGCTTCACGGCCACGTCGTTCCGGATCTGGAGGACGCAGTCTGGACCAGGGTCTTGGATCCACCCTGCTGTTTGCGTAGTGGGGATTGCGTCGGTGCTCATCTTGGGTGATTGGGAATATTGTGGTAAGAGATTGTGGCAAGAATGAGCGACGGGTTGGCGAAGAAAAAGGGAGTCACGTTGTTTGGATCTCCGAGATAATAGAGAGATAGCAATGGCGGGGTGGACGAATGGAACTGACCCCGCCAATGCCCCACCACAGTATCGTCTTCTCCGTGGACGCACCAATCGGAGCGCGTCAATCTCCGCATCCGAGGTAGTACAGCAGCAGTTCGCAGCAGTCCAGACGCTTGCTGCACCTTGACTAAACGCACTTGTATCCTCGAAGGCTGGGCTTTTATCATTTCCTCTACTGGAAAGTGTTTGAGTTGTGTGCTGGTTGTCCCTCGAGTGGTCTAGTAAGAAGTTGAGTGTATACATGTTGGCGGCGGAGAAGGCAGAGGAAGAGAGGAGAAACTGGGTTGATAGTACGACCGGTGTTATGGCCAAGGTATTCACAGCGATACCAGAAGAGGCCAGGAATTTTCATGTATGAGAGCCCTGCATTTGGGATGGGAATGGGAAGGCAGGGTAGGGGGAAACGGGGGTTCCAGCATATTAGTACACAATGCCCCGCGACGAGAATTTTTGAGAAACTTTACTGTTCGCGACATTACAAGGTTGACAGTTCAAAATGAAGCTTACTCATTGTACTTTGCGTCTTGTGGATGTGCATACAAATGTCCTCGCAGCAGAGAACAAGGCATACAAAAGTGTTGACTGTAGCTGCCATGTGGTGCTGAGAACGGTGAAGAGAAAACACTGACCCGTTTTTATTTACATGAATATCTTTCTATTGCAGACATTATTCTAACATTACTAACCGCTGTCTACCATGATTCCCATATCAGTGGCTTTCATGGTCGTTTTTACCCGATAACATACGCACGTGACCTAAAGGGAACAAGTAGCCTTGGTATCCCCATTGCCACTGAAAACAACACCATCATCAGGCGACGCGTCGCCAACATCGACAGTAACATTGAACGTGTTCAACCTGTAAACACCAGAGTATCCGAAAATCTGGTACACAGACGCTGTAACAACAACGGATCCGTTGTAGCCTGCGATAGCTCCGGGCGCCAGCACGTCGACTGTGTAGTTGGTGCCCATTTTGTATCCCGACTCCTCGCCGGCGAGGTAGATGGTCTTGTAGTTGAAGCCGAGAGCGCCGCGGTATGCGGGTGGAGCGCTAAAGCCGTAGGCTACAGCGACGTCGAGAGAGCTCGACTGGTCGAGGTTGGAGTTGAAGGTGAGTGGGAAAGTCACGTTCGGGGAGAGAACGGCGGGGACGGTGATGCCGTAGATTGCTGCTGAGGCGGAGGATATGGAGGCGAGAGCCGTGGCGAGAGTTGAGAAGCGCATGTTGATAAGTTTTTGGGTATATTGTTGTATTGGTGTATGTAGTAGAGAGATGTTTGGATGGTTGATGAATGTAGCATTCCTTGGGGTGGGGGTTCTTCGTATTTATATGTAGTAGTACATATACAAGCTCCCTTTTCCCGCATCCTTGCCCTTCGCAATGTACATCATTTCCTCACTACGGCCGCCTGGTGCTGACCCGCACGACGCCGCAGCCGGGTCTAAGCAAAACAGTCTCCCATACGGACCGATAGATACAAACCCTGGCCGGTAGTCGCATCCGAACCCAACGACTTGTCAATCTCCCGCATCTTACACCCTGAACTTCTTTGTGTGCTATGGCCAATTAGGTCACCGCTACTATATTTATAGAAGATGGCAATCTTCTCTTTTATCACTAGAACTGTGTGTGATAAATTAAGGAAGTAGGTTTTCCTTGTTGTCATTCGCTCTAACATCCAAGTGTAACTGTAGTAGTAGTAGACAGTCGGCTCTGAAGGCAATGCACCCACGGGGCCACATCCGAGCGCTAATGCTACTAGTGCTAGTGCATGATAGTACGTCATTTTGCAGATCATCATCCGTCACTCTTCGTGTTGTGCCGAGCTTACTATATTTAGACGTACAAATGCGTAACTACCTTTGCGTTTCTCGCCTCGTCAGCGCAAATGTCAGTTGTACAGCAAATGATGCCACCAGTCTTATGGTTCTCGTTGGATTTCACACGGGCAGTCTTTCCGCTCACTTGAATTTACCACGATTTGACCGAAGGAACAGCGCGACTCCACGTCACATTGTGAACTCTAATCCAGCCAACTCGGCACTTCGTAACTAACAAGACGCTTGCACTGACCCATTATCTAAAGGAGGGATCATCAGGCGCATTCTCAAGATCACTGCGGCTTCGGCATTTTCATCGCAGCCAAAATCTGGGGAAGTGAGAGGAGGTCAGTGGCGAAAGCTCGTATAGATGCTACATACCTACGTAAAGTGCAGGTGCAGGTAGAAAGCCGAGGAAATAGTGAGTACCAAGCAACGCCACATGGCACTAGCGCCACGGGTGCCGGCTGCCGGCAAGTCAGACCCTTGTCCCGTTCCCTATGTGCACAGTTCATTACTCTGTTTCGACCCTGGGTATTCGCATAAAGTTACAGACTTGGCCTATGAGTGGCAAGGTGGGGCGTCATTTTCTGTGTCAAGCCAGATATGTTCAAACACCTTATCTCTCAGTGCACTGGAGGGTCATGGAGCTTGGTATTGCGTACGGGCACGTGGCAGCCGGTGATGTACTAGTGGTAATGGAGAAAGAAAGAAAAGAAGAGAATGTAGCTTCTGTTTGACATATGATGATATGCGCCTCATTGACTAACTTGTGGAAGAGACAGGCATGCATATTTATCGACATCAACAGTGACCACAATGACAAAAATACTGTTGAATATGTCTCCCCATCCACAACAGGTGATTTCTCGAGTATCTTCATTCTTGAGCGCTGTCAGCTAACTTATAGATGTTCAATTCCGGCCCAAAGGGATCTTATAAGGTAGGCCGAATATGCTGGACGAGAATGGACGAGAATGGACGAGACCGGCTCATATCGCTTCCATGTGCCATACGGTATACATACTACATGGTAGCAAGTTAGAATGCCACAGCCACGCGTACGTATTCCGCCTTGTGTTGAAGCGGAACCAAAGTTCAGTTTGTTGTTTTTGCCAAACCAAGTCCCAGACTCACGTGCCTAGCGCTGCTAACCACGGTTACGGCCTTCACTGGCAGATATATGTCTATACGATAATTCCAACCGATTATATTGTCGCACATACGATAATTTGGCTGTGCCCAGACAACTGCAGCATACTGCGCTACGTTCAAATTATTGCGCACACATCTGCTCTACAACAAACAGCTTGAACGACGACACCTCAGTATTTTGTTCACCAATACAATCCACGCTAACCGGACTCCCCAGTTGTGAGACTACCCGCAGCCCGCAGAGTATCTCACTTGACCTGAATTCTTCCGGAAAAGTTTTTCAACTCCTCTCTGACATCGGCTTATCGCACTTCGAGCGTAAATCCAGCCGACGCAATATCACAACCTCACACTCATACGGCAGCGCATCGAGTGGAGATCTGATCTATCTGGCTTTCGGCCCAACAACACCTTCACTTGCGCTGGCCTCATATATTCACCTCTCCTGTTGCGACCTCAACGACATCGTTTCATTGAAACCCTTCATTAGAAGCTGCAAACTATATGGATCCAGTGCCAACATCCAGCATGTCGGCCACAAATTCACTTGAGTCTTCGTCGCCCACGCCATGTCCTAACCAAATCGCCACCCTTGAGCGCCGGATCGCTGAACTTGAGCAAGACAAAGCGCACCTCGCCAAAGCAGTGTCTGAGTCTAATCAACGCGTCGCTGAAGCTAAGAAAAGCACAGCTGCCGCTGAAGCCGAGACAGCAGCGGCGAAGCAGCGCGCCCAAACACGCTACACAGAGAGGTTACATGCCAACAACGAGGCTCGAAATCTTCAAGACGCGATGAAGGAGCAAGCCTTTAAACATAATGATTATGCGATCAAGGCCAGTAGGTTGGTTAGTACCCTCAGGGCCAGAATCGCGCATCTTGAAACTGAAATCTCGACCAAAGAAGCTAAAATTCAAGAGTTGAAAGCGGAACTTCATGAAATTCACACTGGCTTTCTAGCTAATCAACGAGAGGAGGTTAACATCGAGACACAGCCCGACAAGATTGTTCATGACCTTAAGAACAAGATCATAAGTCTGGAATTGTCTCTTGCTAAGGCAGAACAGGACAAAGAGCAAGCTGTGAAAGATAAAGATGTGATGGCAAATTCACAGGCCAAGTTTGAAACGGATCAAGCCTATCTCAAGAGCCGAGAGATTGCGCTGATGCAAACTAATCAGATAAAGCTTCAGAACGCTCAGTTGGATTGGCATTCAAAACTAGAGATCGTGAAGAAGCGGGAGATCCAAATGGCGAAAGAATTGAAAGAAGCAAAGTGGGAGGCCGAAGATGCCAAGCAGAAGTTGCAGATGGCAACTCGTACGATGCAAAACACTCCTCAGAAGCTTGGCGTACAGCAAAAACACCAACAACAGCAGCAACTTCAGACTTCCAACTCCGACAAGAAAAGAAGGTCCAGTCTGAATGGGTAAGTCAAATGATGTTATAACCAATCTGCACAAGTATAACTAACACATCTCCAGGAACACTGAAACCACTACATCCGCGTTTCAACGCGCACGTAACCAGTCACTGCTCCTTAACTCTATTGGCATGGGTCCAAATCCGCTTACAGGAATGTGCGGAGGTGCACCGAGGACTGAAGCTCCGCCCGTTTCAAGGCAGCCCATGAATATGGCACAGGATGTTGGATACAGACAGTATCCATCACTAAGTTTCGACAGTTCGGCTAGCCAAAGTCCACCTATTCCAACTGCACAGCAACAATACTTTCCAGGCCATGGCCCGTCTCCGGTTCAACAGTATGGCATTTCGACGCAACCCAGGAGTCTAATGGGTCAACAGCAACCCATAGGCCCCATGCCGCCTCAGCAGCAGCCAGGCCTTGTACAGAATGCGAGATTGAACAATACGGGGTCGCAAGCTCAAACCCACTCAAACCACGGGATCAACGTACATTTGGCTGTCAACACGGGTGCCGTACAGCAGCCTCACCATGGCATAGCACAGCAACCCCCACCTTCCTTCATGCTTAGCCGTACGCACCAATCGAACAGCACCAACGCGTCTTTTTTCCCGAATACGCAAGGCAACACCATTCCATCCGCTTTCGACACCGACATCTTTGCGACGGATTCAAGCAATGTGACGCCAGGCAACATTGACTTCTTTCTGAACAACGACTTGGGGTTTGCCAATTATCTCACGGGAGAAATGTTCCAAGATCCATTGTACAGCAATGATTTCACGACAAGCATGGATGGCAACGCTCAAAGTCAGGACAGTGCTAACGCTGCTCCGGCGAATACGAATGCAACGTGGTCAGGTGGCCAAGGCCCAGCGCCACATCCAGGGTTCGCACCAAGATGAGGTTTAGAGTTTACTGAACTGGGCAAGTGATGCATTTGAACTGTTGCCAGAGGACGTATGAGAATGAATGCGATAAGGGCGAGCTTTGGTTCGAGTATCAGGTGGATGACGTGAATCTTGGGCGTCGGCGATGCTTCGAATGTGCCGCTGAGATTTGTGAGGAAGGCTCCAAGTAACTCATTGTTCATGAGGGTAGTATTGGATTTAAGGTAATGTGATTCTTGTTGACTTCTCTGAAGTGGAAAGAAGGCTTTGCGCATTGAGAAGGAGGCAAATGGGCGTTCAGCACCGCTTCTTTTGCAGCGAGGCTGGCCACTATGACGAAGCAAGTCAGACTATTTGGGGTCTCAAATGAGAAGGACGTGGTAAGCAATAGAGAATGTACCCAACGGTAATCATGGAGTTATAACGTTCATACCCATAAACATCCTAACCGTAACAAATCTTCTCCTTCATCAGAATGTGAAAAACTGAATTCTTGCAGATGTAGCTGCTATGATAGAGTGGGGTTTCGGGCTACAATATGAAGGTACGAACCTCACCAAACGTAGATCCAAACCTTACCACGCTACATACAAGCTCCTAGTCGCTCTAAAGAATCATCTGCCGCTTTCCCATGCAAACTCGGTTGAGATGCTAAAGCGGGTCAGGTTGCAAAGACTCTACGGCGGTGGCGTAGGCCATTCCCGCTAGAGCCTAGCCCACCGAGTCTTCAGGGTTTCAAAGATTCACCCCACATCTTTTCCACCGACCAAGCTCCACTTGGCAATAGCTTGCATATCTTGATCGTATTCGCCCCAATCATACACCAGATAGATCGCGCAAAACCCTAGGTGACAGGCCTGTTTCTCCCGGCTTGCCGCATATTTCCAGGCCTGGATCGCAAGCGCATTCCAACCCCATGCATTCTCCTATCAACAAGCTATGCTATCTCCGGGCCATGGGTGTGACGAATGACTAGGGTGTTGCTTAGCGAATACCCGTGCGGCATAGAAAAGACGTAGGTTGCGCGACATTTGGACTCGCAGCCTTTTACTGTTTCCCAGGGCCGCTCTTGTCGTTGTGAGAGTCGCGATCATGGCATCCAACGAGCCGGGCCTTGCGCCACTCAGCGCGCCAGGTGATGATCCGACTAAAGGCGCTGTAGACGTCCCTGTTGAGACCGATACACCAGTCGCGCCCGACCAATTCGACGAGCGCTACGAAACTTCGCGATGGGAAATTTGGGCGTATTATTGGTAGGTATACGCTTTTCTGAGAACAATTGTTACCGCATGATATACTAGCCGTTTCGAACCCTTCTAACAATTGGCCAATAGTTACTATGTCGGAGACAACGGATTGACACTTTTCAACTTTGGTCCTACGGCCTTTCAAAACCTCATGTATCTGGCTGCCGGCGATTCTGAAACTCTCTTCTTCATGGGCCGGAACCGCACAATCAACTCGATTGTGCTTCTGTGCAACGGCATAAGCTTCGCCATCCAGGTCGTTATTTTCTTGATCCTAGGCTCTTTCGCAGACTTCGGCACCTGGCGTCCAAATATCCTCATCGTACTCTCGATGATTGCATTTGGTATTGGATTCGGTTGGCTGGGAGTCCATACCGAAGACCAGTGGCACATTGGCGTCGGGCTCTATATTGTCGGACTCATTGCATACCAGACCACCATCACATTCTGGACCGCTGCTTTCCCTGGCCTCGCGCGCAACACCAAGGATTTACGTATAAAGGCTGAAGAGTTTGCAGAAGGGAAAATTGACCGTGCCGAGTACGAATTTGCCGACATGATGAAGCGAAACGAGCTCTCCAACGTAGCTTTCTACACCCAATCGGTCTTTGAAATCCTTATCCTCGCCGTCATCGTGGGCATAATGTTTGCGCTCCACGTCAATGACAGTGCGGCGAACAACAACTGGGGTCTTTCCGTACTCATTGCGTTTGCGACGGGCGTCTGGATCCTCTGCGCTATCCCCTGGTTCGTTCTCGAGAAGCGGCGCCCGGGCCAAGATCCAGGGCGTAGCAACATCGTTGTAGCAGGTTTCAAACAGCTCGTCTACGCCTCCCAGCAGATCTGGCAATTGCGGCAGAGTCTAGCGTATCTTGCAGGCTACTTCCTTCTCGGCGACAGTCTCAACACTACCGTTACAGTGATTGGCACCCTGCAAAACGAAATCGTCGCCTACAACAGTCTCCAGCTGACCTACCTGCTTATTGTCGGCATCGCGGCCCAGGCTGTCGGCATTGGCGCTTTCTGGCGCATACAAAAGTCGTATGGACTTTCGACAAAGACAATGTTCATGGTCGTTGCTATCTGCATTGTCTTGCTTGATGGCTGGGGCATGGTCGGCATATGGACCCAACGCTTCGGTTTCCACAACAAATGGGAAGTCTGGGTGTACCAAGTCTTCTACGGGCTTCTGGTGTGTCCGTGGTACAGCTACTCGCAAACGATGATTTCCGAAGTCACGCCGCGCGGCAAAGAGTTTTTGTTCTTCAGCTTGTTCTCGATTGTAGGCAAGACAAGCGCATTTATCGGCCCCTTGGTAAGCAGCGCGATTATCGACGATACGGGCAACAATAGTAGTCCGTTTTACTTTTTGTTCTCGTTGAGTCTGGTCAGTTGTGCGTTTTTGTACTTTTTTGTCGACGTGGAGAGGAGCAGGGTTGAGCAGGAGCAGTTTTTGGATAAAGAGCAGAGTCTTAAAGTGCACGATGAGGGGTTGGATGGGTTGATGTAGTAGTAGTAGTAGTAGTAGTAGTAGTAGTAGTAGTAGTGGAGTGTAATTTTGTATTTCTCTACGAAGGAACGCTAACTCTATACTTCATCCCTTACACTTCAACCTTCCTAAACAAAAGCGTCTTGCTCGCATCCGGTTTAGAATGCGTGCCCCACTTAACTGGGGGGTTACATGTCAGTCTTTCCATCGGGCATCTTGACATCATATTGAAGCAGCATGCGCGCTAAGACCATCTTGATCTCGTTTGCAGCAAAGAAGCGGCCAGGACATGCGTGCCTGCCATAGCCAAAATTTAAGGCTCGTTTCGTTGGCCGTGATAAACTGATTCCGCGCAATATCCTGTGCCTTGCCGCTAGCGCGCTCCTTGTACGAGCGGAATCCATCAAAGCTTTCCGGCGACTGGTAGAACTCGTTGTCCTTGTAGATAGAAGCAGCAGAAGCCTCAATCATGACGCCTGCGGGTATATGATGACCGGTGCTAAGTGCAAATCCTTTCTCGACGTAGCGAACGAAGGATGCTATTAAGCGAGAGGAAAAAAAGTAATTTTGCGTTAGTAGAAGTTCCTTTCATGGTAAAAAAAAACCCCCCAACCCCCAAGGTTAAGGGGGGTTCCATTACTAAGTGGGCTTTTTTTTTGGTTGATGTTTTACTTACTGAGGAAAGATGGGGAAACGCGCATGACCTCCTTCATATAACTGTCGAGTTTTTCCATTTGCTGCAGTGCGCAAAATGTTATGATTCCGTCATTGTTTGGCTGAGACGGTACGGATCTCCTCGCGAAGTGGCTCAATGTACTCCGGGGTGGCAGCGAGCGTATAGAATATGTTAGTGGCAGTTGCAGTAGTAGTGTGGATTGCAGCAAATATCATAGTAAGCTGATATTGGACAAGTTATTCACGGATTTCTGTTCGTTTCTTCTGTTAATCATCTACTGCACTAAGTCATCTGGCTCCTGCCAGCTCGAGTTGTTGGCCTTTCTGTGGATTCTCTCTTCAATGAGAGGTCTCAGTATTTTCTTAGCGAGCTTCTCGCGTTGGCGAAGGTTCTTAACCTCTGGCGTGCGCGGCTCTAGGTAGGGCTTCAACCACAGTCGTAATGTCTTGACGGAGTGGACAGCGTTCATGAATTCTAATGTATAGCCTGCTGCAGTATCAATGTATTTAGGATCTTGACACATTTCTGGACCGACGAAGACACGACTTGAGACCTTTGCGATGAGAAGGTTTAGTTTGTCGAAGATATTGATTTCGGTCTAGTCTTCACATGGCGGCATGATTTCCCTCAGTCCATCATCAACTTCATTGCAGATGTTCGGGCTCAGCCGGACTATCAACGGCGTCAGCGAAACTAGCTTCTGAGCATTTTTTCTTGAGGCCTACCTAGCGCTGGCGTAAGATCAGCCTTAATGGAATTAATGGGCGTCGGGCTACCAAGGTTCAAGCGTGTGTGATCGATTTTCATTAGCTGGAAGCGGTTAACTACGTTGTTTGCTAAGAGTAATCATCTTACTTGCTTGGACTACGGTCTCCGCGCGGCTAAGAACATCATCAGGGAGTTTTCGCAGTTCTGGTAGAAGGCTTGCGGGAATGACGACGGTAGGTATACCTACAAACATGTGAGCAGTGACGAAAGAGGTGCTTCTAGAGAGAGCCAATATACCTTGTTCATTCATAAGTGCGTAACAAGAGTTTCTGGACTGTAATAGTATCAGTAACAAGCTTTATGCGAGTGCGAGATGATGTTAGTTTGGCTTATCCCTTTTCATAAATCACTCTTGCTGATGAGAGGTACGTTTGCTAATACTTCTCCCCCGTTCGGTATTCTTCCATAGTGGGAAACTTTGCAAGATGTCATGTGCACTGTATTACGGGCCATGTAGCATATGCTATGTACAAAGATGAGGACAGCGACGCCCGTCGCCTGCAACAACTGCGAAACATTTACCGCTATCTGCGGATCCATGCTAGCAGAGTTGGTTTGTGTCAAAAAAGTCGAGTATCGAGATGTGTTGAACTGACGAGATCAAATCGAGCTACTGCAGATATGCTGGCTGCGAGAAGTTGATTCCCAGAAGAGGAGAATGCCTTGCTCAAAAATAATGTTCTTATGCCGTTGCCAGACTCTATTGTATAGCTGGCGGCCTGACCTACATATAAGTTTATTTATAAGCAAGACCCTACAATGATGTTCTTTACATCCCTATAGCCTACACATCATACAAATGGCTAATATGATATACGATCTGTGTAACGGATTTGCAGGAGGCAAACCTTCCCTACGCATCATACCACCGATAGTATACACGTACAAATTTTGTTAGTGCGTATTTAAATTTGAAAGGAGTATAGACATGTGCTCATCCATTCTTGATAAGCAATAAGTTTTGTATTTATAGAATACGATTGGAAGAAAATACAAGAATATAGGATATACCCTTGTTCTTTCGAACTAGCCCTTGCTTTGGTCTTGGGAACCCTGATAATACCCTAGTATGGTTATGGAAACCGTCATGGCCGCCTCCCATCCAATGGACGAAAATGCGAGAATCCAAGACAGCTCGTACTTCCTCCGGTCCGTAGCACTACTCACTCGCGCCTTTCTAGTTTTTTTGCTTGTAGATATCACTTTAGTATATCGCAAATTTGATGCGCGTGAAATATGGAAATAAATACAACATCGTAGTAGTGTTTTACATTTCCTAAGTAGCTGACTTTCTAGCCTGTTCTCAATTTTAGTCAAGTAGTGACTCATGTAGAGTCCGGCATTTTTGAAACATGTATACTAGTATTTCGTCCTAAACACTTATGACGGAGTCGAATATCCCGTTTTATTTGTGCTGGATTAATCCAAGGACCAGTCAAAGACCTTAGAAATAAATATAGCCGGACACTCTGGCCTTGGTATTTTACAATACATTGGTGTAGCGAGGTATCGCCGGGAAAGGTTCGGTCCGGTCCAAGAAAGCAATTTCACCGTCCGGAACCCTCGGATCCATTGTACGGCAATCTAGGCAGGTCCACATAAGTAAGTGTTTTCTGATAGCAAAAAAAAGCACTTTCAGGTCGGAAGTTGCACATTAGCAGTGCAAACAATCAGGTAAGACTCGACATGGTAAAGATCTGCTGGCCTCGACGTATGAGCTTCCGGCTTGGACTAGTTCCAACTTTCTGATCATAGGTCGTCGATAAGTGCTTGTTCACCTCCATCTCTATTTCTTTTATAGTACTAGTGTGCAGGGTTGTGAGCAGACCTGGTCGAAAGTGTCGACCAAGCTCTACTATAATAGTGAGGTGTTTTGTAGTGCAGAGAAGACATCTGATTTCTCGTATATTTTTCTTAAACTTTTCCATTGTAGTTCATAGTCCGGCAGTATCTACACCCGTTCAGCGAATGTTATTTCAAAGCAAGTGTATATGACCACCCTTCGAATGATCTCTGTTCTTCATCATGAAGCATATCTGGGTATTAGTACAACGCTTTAAAAAATCCTCAAACTTCATAAGACGACTACTCCATTGACTATATGTCGTCTATCTACCAGGATCCGGATATCTCCCACCACTTATTCTCTACGAAAAACCCATGGCGTAAAACGATGTCATCTATTTCAAATCTCTACCCCGCCCCAAAAACCCCCTCACCCTCTCCTCCCCCGGAAACTCAACCTCACTCATCGCCACAACCCGGTCAACCAACTCCTTCACCCTCTCCCTCTCCGCACCCACCCCACTCTCTGCTCGCTCCACCATCTCCCCCTCAAACCTCGCGCAAAACTCTCCAAACCCCATCGTACAAACACGCACACTGCGGTCCAACTTATTCTCAACAAGCACCTGCATCAATTCGCCCCAGAACTCCGTTGCGTCCTGTGATGTGGTGCGGGAGGTAAATAATCCGCCGATTTCACCGAGTGAGAAGAGGAATTCATACACGGATGAACAATCTTTTGCGCATAGTATGTCGCTCGGAGCGAGGGTTGCGCCATCGAAGTCGATGAGGACGAGGGAGGGGTTAGTAGGTGAGTTGCAGTGGGAGATGTCGAGCATAATGTTTCCGCTAAAAATGTCGCCGTGGGCGATATTGGCGATGGTGTGGAGCCATGCGATGGTTTGAACAAGTTGCTGTGTGATGTGTAGCATGAGGATTGCGGGGAGTGCTGGGGAAGGTGCGGTGTTTTGCGAGAGGGGGTTTTCTGGTCCGCAGACTGGAGCTGGAAGGATGAGTGCTTTGATTAGTTGGACGAGGTTGAAGCTTTGGATTATGTTCGTGGCGAGCCAGTGCGATCCTGGTCCTGCTGCTGGTAGATTAAAGTCGATTAGAGCTGGCAAGTGTTGCTCTACCTGGCTGCCAATGATGAGGCTCTGGATGCGCTGGAGAGCTAGAATTCCCTAGGCAAGGCCGAGACCTAATGATCCGGTTTGTGTTGTCTTAACAGCAACAACAGCTGTGCTTTGCTTCAAATCGTTTGACTCACTTGAGGCCGATGAAGCGGGAACGCAGAAAAGTACTTTCCCGCAGTTACCTTGCCCAGCTTCATTGATGATAAGATACTTGCTGGCAAAGGCGCTAGCGACGTGTATCGTAGTTGAGATGGTTACGCTGTGGCCCATGTTGCAAGGCGTTTATAATTTGTATCGGTATTCAAAAAGGGAGAGCGCTCCAGATTGATATACAAGAGAGGGACATGCTATATGTCTCATCTATTCGGGCGGGCGAGTTGCGTGGATCAATGAGGGGAGACAAACATTAGTACTTTTCGATTGCTTGCCGTGGCTCCGTGGCAGATGATAACGAAACTAACAATTTGCCAGAATCATGAAGAAGTAGCGAAAGACAAAGGTAAAAACACAATGACACAGATAATACTGAGACAAGGAAAAGGATGAGCTGAGAGGCTTCCCACAGGCTGGCAAGAAGCGACGTGTCTCGCTTTGTTACAGCGTGTTCGTGCTAGAGTAAACGCATGGCTAAATAGTACACGGTGGAGTGAATCCGACTATGGTGACTATCTTGCATGCAACGCTCTTAAGTGATGTTACGTCGAACGACTGAGGTTGGCTAATAGTGGGCAAACGTCGTGAAGAAAACGGAAGCACCGAGTCTTATAGGATTCGTCCAGTACGAGCCTAGTGGATCTATTGCTTTGCTATCGCATTGACTCCATGGTACACACGGTAGTCTGTGACAAAACAGTTTGTTCATAAGGCATGCCGTATCAGGGTGGTGTGTAGTCGCATTGTCGCTCACCGTCGCTGATATAAGTTTGTTTGTGGAACATCTCCAATTGTGTTTGAAGTTTTGTCAAAGGAGTGTTTTCAAGGGGACTCGGGATCGAACTCGGTGGTATCCATGCCCCAGATCTCAACATGTTTAACGCTCTCCCTGGTTACTATTTCGAATTTTCTTATCGGCCCAGCCAGTTTTGCCTTTACGCTCTTATCTTCGACACCATAACTCGACTCTTTGCTATTTGGCGGAAAATATACTCCACCAAGCTTGAAGACCAAGTCATCCCCAAAACCAAGATATTTGACATTTTTGTATTCCGGCCGCCAGAACTCTGTTCCGAGTGCGAAAGCGTGGGTTTCCGGATCCAGCATATCGGGCTTTTCATTGGGATCTGTGTTTGGGCTGACCAAAAAACGGATTGCCCAAAGCTTGGGGATAAGGGAAAAGATTTGACGTAGGGACTGGAGCGGTGGGACAGAGCCAGCAAAACCAAGTTGCTCCAGATTTGGACACGATTGGCAAAGCCTGAATAAGGTATCCTCGGATAAGATCCATTGATCAGAGAGGAGCAGGTGGCGGACTGTACGGTGATTGGTCTGGATAGCAGCAAGGTGCTCGCTTGCAATATTCCGGGTATGAACCTCGGACCCATTAGTGGGTGTACCGTTGACACTCGCAGAGCCGCTACTCATACTGGGTGTCAGGTGAGATGGCGTTGTGGGTGTCGCAGTGCAACTGTTCGACTTTAAACACAAGGTGTCGTTTCGCTTCCTTGCGATAAAATAGATGCGTTCGATGCCCTTGCAGCTGCTTAGTGCTTTAGCCAGGGTGGTATATGGATCGTCGGTACGAATCATCTTGAGGTTGGGTGAAAATAAATGGCCGGGGCTCGACTTCCACGAGTTGTCAATGAACACAGTAAGAGGATTGGAAGTACCCCCACAATTGATAATTGTCACCTCAGTCCTGGTTTCCCGATTGATGATGTTATACATGTCTTCGGAGGAATAGCGAGAGTACAAGTTGTAAAAGGTAATGCGCTTAGCAGGCAACGCATATTTGGCAGCTATACAGCGACCAAATATGGACAGCAAATTAACGGATTCTTCGCCCTCGGCGCGCATGCGTGGGTTCCAATGAAGTGTGATGTTTTCAAGCTTCTTGGAGCCGAGCAAAAGTAGTGAGATGTCATCGGGATAACAGAGAGGGTCCATATCGTAGACAATCAAGGTCTGGAGGTTGAGTAGTGGGGGGATGATGGTCGTGGGGCGTGGTGTACGTCGCATTTGGCACCTGATGGTCAGCGAGGTCAATGTGGTCCTACCCACAAGACCCTGGTAGATAGTGTGCAGTGGTGGAGTGTTGAGTTCCCAGCTGGAAAGGCATTAGCAAAACAAAGGAGTTGGGGGGAGGGGGGCGTATAGGCGCCAACGTACGCAAAGCTGTCGAGATTGGTCATGCGGTCGATTGCAGCACGCATAGCAATCTGCAGCACCATGCTGCTGTCCGGCACACGGCCGTGTCTGTAGTCTTCGGTGTCTTGCTCGCGCCAGTTGCCCAGGACGCGGAATTTGTGTATGTAGCTGTTGAAGTTGCGCGACACGAGCGTGTTCAGTCCCATGGCAAAGGGGCTGCCACTGCCATAGCCCTCCGGGCTGCCATTGACATATCGAATTTCTGAATAGGCGCGCAGTGTGACATGCTCGTACAAGCGCGGCAGCGTCATGTAATAGAGGAGGCGCGAGGTGCGTGTGACGCGCGCAAGGTCAGCGACATGGTCGAGCTTGGGTCAGGGTTAGCGAATGGGTTCTTTCGAGGCTCGGATGGCATACATGTGCATACTTACGTATGTGAGGATCAGATGGACAAGGTGTAGCGGAAGCTCTTTGGCGTGCGTTGCATCTGGATGCGATCGTGTTGGCGATGTGAAGAAGGTGTGAACAGGAGCCGTTAGAGGCATGCCATCGGCAACATGTGTGTTGGACATGAGAAAGGTCGGCAGTGGAACATTAACTGTCCAGACAGAGGCGGCGTCGGGGGGGTCATGGCAGCACCGTTGTTGAGCACATACGTACATGGACGTTGCCCATAGCCTTGCCCAAGCCAGCGTCTGCTTGTGTGCCCAGGGTGTACTGGCACGGGCAGCGCCACCAACCCGAAATTGGTCCGGCAGCCCCTAGCACACGATCCACGACCAGCATCTTGCTGCACTAGGCCGTGCACAGCCGCAATACACCCCGGACACATAATTCCGTAACACGACACAGCGGCCTCGTCCGAAAAAATTAGCCACAATCCCCGGATTGCATTATGACACTGCAGCTGCTTCTGCTGACGTAGTAAATGGCCATGATGTACACGATCCCTATGTTCAGAGACTTCAATAGATACTACTTTGTCCTTTGCAATGAGTAATGGCGCGTCTGACAAGACTAGTGCCTCAAAACGGCCGAATCGTGCATGCCCACCACTGCGAACACTGCCAGATGATCCCTCACCCTGGTCTGAAGAACCAAGGCTGTCTGGCTCCATATTCGTCCCCAGGAGTTCGAAAGGGAATCTCCACAGTGCCTTCAAATACACTCATTGGTACCGTTTTGTCCTTGTCCTTGTCCAGCCCTGCCAGCCTGTCATCTGGCACAGTCATGACAACACCACATTCCCAGTTCCTGATGTTGAGACTACCCATCTTGCCATCCTTGATCACTTTTTGCCCTCCCCATGCCGATTCCGACAGATTGGCCGACCCGACGTAAACCCACCCAACCGGCCGTCCATCCTTCTTACGACCGCGTGCCAACAGCAATTTGTTATGAGATAGCATGCCTGCTCGCAGTGACTCATAGTCGCGGAGACACTCTCTTGGGAATGTGGCTGCGTTATAACGTTGCTGCGACAAAGAGATGATACCACCGCAGTCAGGACCCCCGATGCTTTTTTTTACCGTCTCATTGGTGGGGAAGTAGATCCGAATATGATTACGAACATCAGGAACCATAGCGGTGTCTGCTGCGAAGCATCTCCCGCATGCTGCAAGGTACAGGCGTGATAGGAAACTATCATTGATAGCACCAAGCGAGGAAGCGGCGTAATCTAGTTCCATCTGCTCTACGTTGTCAAGATGCAAATCCTGGATGGCTCTTGTGAGGCCTAGAAGGCCTGTGGGATGCTCTGATTCGGTCTTATGAGAACCGCCACTACAATGTGTTAGCTGAAGCCGAAGATTATCATATGAACCATCATACATGGAATGAACAAAAGCCAAGTGACTGGTCTGTGAAAAGTCAAAGTTCAAGATACCCTGCAAGACCATCTCTGGCACTTTCTGCATCTCCAAGAAATACATTAATTCTTGACCAAAGCGTGTCATGTTCTCTTTGGTAGAAGTAGTTTCATTGCCCCTACGTGGCAGGTCGATGAGGAAGATGGAGTTTTCCATGACACCAGGCTGCCAGTCATTCGCAACCTCTCCCCAGTCGGTCTGTATCATGTTTGCAGTCGGTATTACAATACGTAGCTTCTTCGGACCGAAGAGTAGCATGAGCTTGCTGTGCATGCTTTGTATCATGCCATCCATTGGTGGAAAATGAATCTTTAGATTCGGTACGCCCATGGCTTCCATTTCCTTTTGCCATCTCTGCTGAATGTCTTTGCCTTTTGCATTCATGATCCATAACTGTTTGGTCTTGACGGGGTCCAGCTTTTTGAACAGCCATTCAGAGTCCCACATGAAGGAACTTATAACTGCAGTGCGAACTGTGTCTGCTTCTAGGACTTCATCGATGGTCGTATCGTCTGTCCTAGGGTATTTTGTGGCGAATGTCCGTTTGATAGTCCCCATAGGATACTGTAAGGTTGTGTCTGTAGATGACGCAGGAGGCGGTATTGTCTTTGATGCCTGTTTCGAAGGTCGCTCTGGGGACGACTCGCGCTTCCGCTTTCCTAGCCTTGCGAGACGCTCTTCTTCCATGGCTTTTCGATCCATGCCCATGGAGCTGAGACCTGATTTAACGGGAGTAGGTATCGCTGTACTCTCTTTGAGGGGCTGCACATGGTTATCATTGCTGTCTCCTTGCAAGGATAGGGCAATAGCACGTTTGAGATCTTCGTCGTCGTCATCGTCATCTGTGTCCGAGACGAGGTCGATGGGCTCGCTGGAGACTGCCGTGATATTCCGCGCAACGTCCGCATCGGTGTATCGAAGCGAGTTCGCCACAGCCAGCTTGTAGTCCTCGTCATCGGATGACATTGCAGTTCTGATGGCTGCAAGGTCGTTGTTGTCGAGCGTGCTGATGGTGGGGTAAACAAGGGGCAAATTGCACGCGTTACGTTGGGAACACGCTCACACGTGGTCACGTGGATAGGGCTTGGCATTGGTTTATGTCCACACCCCAGATGGCAGCCTGATGATGCCTTGACAGTCTGCTGGCAACACAAAGCAACAGACTCGACGCACTGTTCTCACATCCAGCCTGCACTTAAGCATATGTACTGACCGCAGTGGCTTGCCTGGCATGCATCGTCTATTTAGTTCGCTAAGCCACCACGCTGGCATGGCTCTACACAGTAAACATCCTGCCAATCCCAGTGCTTACCCTCGGCAATCTGCAGTACGAAAGAGATGTGGCTGATACGCATATCCAGACAAGGACAACAGTAGAAGAGCGGTAGTGCTAGCACCATCGATGCTAACGCAGCACTTTTATTCCACGACTTCGCATCGACATGTTATGTAAGCCAGATGATGCTTTCCTTCGTAGCCCCTGGCTTGCATCTTGGATTCGATGACTATTTCAATGTACTACACAACGCCATACATCTTTCGTGCACCAAACATCACCCAGGCACACTGATATTTCCTCTACCCAATGCACATATTTCAACCCCCATGAAGCGTAGAAACAAACATGACATGGTCCCCTCTTTGTACTTGATACTCGTCTTCCCCTTCTAGTTCCCAGTCCGCTTCATTGATAAGGACCAGGATGCCAGGCCGTCTGACTCAGCGTATTAGCAGGTACGAGGTTACTTTGCCCTCTAGACTTACACAGTGCCGTCTAGCACGAACAGTTCCTTACGTGGGTCCTTCATGACATTGTCACAAAGAAACCTCACTAGAAAAGCAATATTTGTAGGCTTGCCAGATTCGTCTTTGGCGGGCAGCGAAAGATCATATTTCTTCTGATTAGCAAAGAGGATCTCGAGCCCTCCACTGTGAGGGAAGTCAATGAGTAGCGCATTGCGAAGATGCCGTTAGAATATACCTGAACTCAATTGTTATTGGAATAGTGTCATCGCCCGACATGATTCTTGTCAACAACAGTTAGAGAAAGATTAATAACGTTGAAATGCTCGTGTTGCAGAGACGGGTTGTGCTTGCTCTGGCCGAGGAAGGGTGCAAACGGGTCTTCCGCCACTACTACCTAAGCGAGACTAGCGCCAGAGAAATCCTTACGGCGGGATGACTAGAAACAGTACCCGCGCAGGCACAACAACCATTTCAAACAATGCACGTCTCTCCTGAATTCATAGCCACGGGTGGCAACCGAAACCCCGCGGCCGCCGATTGGGACAACGCTGGTTTGCAATTCTTGGCTTTTGGCGCTGACAATAATATTGCCTTGTGGGATCCTCAAGTGAGTCCACAACAGCAATGACGTACTCCTCACTCACCAAGACAGGATGAAGCACTTCGCGGAGTACATGCAATATTGAGTGGGCATACCAAGCCTGTAAATTCTGTCAAGTTTTTCCCAACACAATCACCAGACGTCTCTGTCTTGCTTAGTGGATCAGCCGACAACACCATCCGCATATGGCGAGGTAGAAGAGATGAACCCTTCGAATGTCTGAAAACCATATCGGAACACCAGCAACCCGTCACCCGGATAACCACAATTCCTGGATCAGACACCTTTGCCACTGCATCTTCCGATGGTACCGTCAAAATTTGGAGGCTCACTCACTCTTCAGACTTTGCTTCAATTCATGTCGACATTGTCCAGACAATAACGCTTTCTCCCAAATACTTTCCCCTGAACCTGGCGCTTGCAAAATTGGATGAAAGCTCAACCGTGTTGGCTGTCGCTGGTACTCGTACCACCATCCAGATATTCGTATCCCAAGACAGTCAATTTCAGCTTTCCGCTACACTGACCGGACACGAAGGATGGATCCGCGCACTTGCTTTTACCAAAGAAACAGCAGACCCGGACAGTGATCTTCTTCTGGCATCTGCAAGCCAAGACAAATATATTCGTCTCTGGCGACTTCACAGAGGAGACGAACTTCCTGCTGCGAGCACTGCGCTAAATGACCCAGCTCTGGGTGGCATGGGGAAATCGCTATCGAACAAAGCTCATTGGATTAGCTCCGCTGCATCCAAGCATTCCATTACATTTGAAGCTTTACTCTTAGGTCATGAAGATTGGATTTACCAAGCGTCATGGCGGCACCGGGATGGAAAGTTACAGCTACTGTCCACCTCCGAAGATAATTCTCTGTCGATTTGGGAGTCCGATCCTACTTCCGGTGTATGGGTTTGTATCACTCGGCTAGGAGAAATCAGTGCCCAAAAGGGTTCGACAAGCGCTACTGGCAGCGCAGGAGGTTTCTGGATTGGACTTTGGTCACCGGACGGCAACACAGTAGTATCCCTCGGGCGTACCGGCAGTTGGCGAAAGTGGACATTCTCAGCTGCAGAGGATATGTGGACGCAGCATATGGCTGTTACAGGGCATGTGCGTGAAGTCAAGGGTGTGTCATGGTCGAGAGATGGCTCGTATCTACTCACAACAGGGACTGATCAGACAACACGATTGTACTCGCAATGGAAGCGCGACGGCATGTCGCCTTCATGGCACGAATTCTCACGGCCACAAATCCACGGATACGATCTCAACTGCATCGATACAGTCTCGGATACTCAGTTCATCTCTGGTGCAGACGAGAAGCTGCTCCGTGTCTTTGACGAACCAAAAGGCGTCGCAGAGATGCTCCACAAGCTCTGCGACACACAGCCGGCCAACTCCGCCTCACTTCCAGACGCTGCCAACATCCCCGTCCTTGGCCTCTCAAACAAAGCTATCCAAGCTGTCGGTGACGAAGACCCCATCGAAAACGGTGACGACGACGACCGCGAAGCCATCGACCCCGCCTCCGTCATCCGCAAATCCACGCTCGACTTCAAACACCCCCCCTTCGAAGACCACCTCGCCCGCCACCTCCTCTGGCCTGAAACAGAGAAACTCTATGGCCACGGCTATGAAATCTCTGCCCTAGCCATCAGCCACGACGCCAGCCTCGTCGCCACCGCCTGCCGCGCAAGTTCCATTGACCATGCCTTGATACGCCTCTACGACACAAAAGAATGGCTTGAAGTCAAACCCCCGCTAAAAGCACACTCCCTTACCGTCACTTCACTGGCTTTCTCCTCAGACGACAAGCACCTCCTGAGCGTGGGCCGCGACCGCCAATGGGTCATTTGGGGACGTAGCGCAGATGCACCATCGCTTTTCACATTCAAACATGCGAATCCAAAGGGTCATTCTCGTATGATTCTCGATGCGGCATGGACTGCGATCACGGATCACCCGACGTTTATGACGGCGGGAAGAGATAAGAGCGTCAAGATATGGCAAATGTCCGATTCAGAAGTCCATCTTAAAGCTACGGTTACAGCCAACGCACCCGTCACCGCTGTGGCATGTAATACCACCCGCAAAGACGCGGGTAGTAGAGTGGTGTTTGCGTTTGGTACCGAAAATGGGGAGATGGGGATTGGAAGTGTGGCGGTTGGGGCGCTGGATCAGGTTGCGGTGGCTATGGTGGAGAAGGAGGTACTGCCTGCCAAGACGATTAACCAGATTGTTTGGCGGCCCGGTACACGGGGTGAGGGAAAAGAGCAGATTGCAGTTGCGAGTGACGATACCTCAGTGCGGATTTTCAATGTGAAGGATGATGCGGCGTAGGGGGGTTGTGAGAGGTGTTTGATATTTCAAAGAGATCGGATGGCATTCTTGCTTTCTCGCGTCGAACTCAATGTTCATATCGTGAATTTGGGATCATAGAACGAGGCATGATGGAAAAGAGGAAAGCATGATAAATGTCATTAAATTATATATCGCTGGGGGGGTATCTCGACTACACAATTGCTCACACTAGCTATTCCTCATTTCCAGTCGCATATCCTCCACGTTTCATCTCTCCCCTCACGCATACCGCGGTCCCGCACCCTTTTCATTGCTTGGCCCTGCAACACCAACACGCGGAGCGCCAGTGTTTTGCTGTCCAGGATGATACTGCATTGGTACCATATACCCCTGCTGACCCATCTGCTGCGGCATTGCAAATTGGGGTTGCTGTCCCGGAGCCTGCTGCATATACACGGGCTGGACTGGATATCCCTGCGGAGGAGCCTGATAATACATTCTTTGTCCCATGCCCGGCTGCACGTGTGCCTGTCCCGGCGGGGGTATAATGGCGCCATTACCAATCATAGTCTGTACGATTCCCGCAGCAAGTTTCTCGGCGTCCTTGCTAACTTTCGTGCGATTGCGACGGTGCGTGTCGACGCAGGCCCAGACGAAGAGGACAAAGTGCAGAACTAAGCCGAAGAACTGGCATACGACACCCGTGAGGTTGACCCTGGCGCGTTGCGGCTTCTCAGCCCAAAGCTTGTTGACAAAGGCATCTTGCTCGGCGCAGTCCTTAAAGTTCATCTCGGAGAAAACGCTGTAGCGGCTGGTGCAATCGCGGGGACTGGTGATGTAGCTCGTGTCCTCCTGCCAAACCCAGGTGTTGTTGGCCGCTAAGACGTAATCGCCATTAGAGCTGGAGCTAGAATAGTCATATCCCCATTGATCAGGGCCGCCATACATGCCGTAATCCATGATGTTCTGGAGAGAAAGCAGAGCAAAAAGCGCAGTGACGATAAAGGCTAGCCATAGCAGTAGTTCCATCGACACGCGCACACCGGGATGTACGGTGCGTTTCCGCATAACGAAGACAACGATGCAGATGAGGCACCAGGCGATGGATATGGACCAAGAGATCAGACTAGGCCATAGGGCCCAGTATGAATCGAGGAGGTAATAATCAGAACCCCCGGTGCGCGTGGTCATGAGCCACGCAAAACAGCCAATGCCGACCAAGCCAGTTATGATGATAACGGCCGTGATGGCGAACTTGAATTTCCAGTATCGGTCGCCAGCGTTGAGCTTGTCGTTCAAGGAGAGTGGTTCATCAGCTGTGGTCGCTTGTGGGGCAGCAGCAGGTGTCGTATTCGGACCGGGTGAGGGAGTACCCGCAGCGCCGATCAGCGTGTCTTGGTTCACATTTGCGTTGGTGTTTGTACTCAGTCTGGTAATTGATTCCGATAGTACTGCTGGGCGCTGGGGTATAGAATCCTGTGTATTTGAAGACGCGGCTGGTGCCCCGGTTGCCGGTGGGGCGACCTGAGGTTGCGAGGTGGACATTATTAAATAGTACTGATCGATTACTTAGTAAGAAAAAAACGAGTGTCGATATAGATATAGATGCCAGCGAGTGAATGCGCAAAAGAATGCGCGATACCAACGGTCAAAAGCGAGGCATAAAGAAGAAAGAGATTGCCAGGCAGCGGAGAGTCAAGACTTCTCCTGCCGCCTCGCCACGTCCATAGCGCGCTGGTTGCCTGATCCCAAATCGTACTGGATAGGCTTAATTTAGCTTGAGGCTGGACCGGAACATTGTAGGCCCGCTAAGATTCGATGCAGGAGCATAGCTTAGCTTGGCGCTATCATGAGCTTGATTTAGCCTTGATTAAACCACTCTATACGTATTGAAAATTTCCTGGTCATGCTTCTCGGCTACGAGGTGAAGCTGCGCTTGTAACGATGACTGAGCAATTGATAATGAGTCACCTGCTCTTTAAGCGTTCAGGCGCGTTGTTACGACTCAAGAAGCCTGATTTCCACTGTTTGTCTCGATCACAGCACGATTGTATAGCATCCAAAAGCAATCGAAAAATATAGCTACTAGGAGTCAGTCTTGGTATTGAATGGCCTGAGTTTAATATTAAGCAACAGGGGACCACGACAAGATACCATGGCAAGCGAACATTGCCAAACGCTTTCCGTGGCTTCCATATTCCCCCGAAGCCAACTTTATTGCATCTGATATTCGTCTAATGCCATTCCTCTGGCAATCTTCTTGATAAGCGCCCTTTTCAAGAACTGTTCTCGAGCAAGACTTCGCGTTTGCTGCGAATTATTAGCATCTATTCGATGGAACAAATCTTTGGATAATAGTAAATACCTTGACAAATACATCCGGGGTAATTCGCCCTTTGTCAAGAGCTCGTCCCAGCACAAATAGCGCGTCTGCGATGCCTTTCTCTTCTGCGGTCAGAGTATACAATTGACCCCCAACCACGGTGGGCGCTACCAGAACATCATCAACGTCTGGGGCCTTTCTCCTTCTCGCATCTTCCATGACTCGATCCGCCTCAATCATGGCACCTTTTAACACCTGTTCATTCGAGGCAAGCGCTGCATCAAGCTGCTGCAGTTCGCCTAATTCAGCCTGTAATCGAGCATGTGCATTTTGAAGAGCCGCTTGCTGAGCGCGAGATGGTGCTATGGCAGCCATATTCGATGAAACTGTTTGGTTGATTTGTGAGACAAGTGTCTGGCTGAGAGCCCGGAGAAGTGCATCTTTTTCAGGATTTGGTGGCACTGGCGGCACCGGTATAGGGATTTGATTGCCTGACTGAGAGGGCAGTGTGACCTCTAGCGAATCGTCGAGAAGGTCTACTGGGGGCTTTGGTGCCTGCTGCTGTGGTTGTTGCGGTGGGTATTGCTGATTTTGAGGCGGAGGATAGCCTGGCGGGTACTGTTGGTAATGCTGTTGTGCTGGAGGAGGTTGTGCGAATTGTTGTTGCGGAGGTGCCTGCGGTCCTTGGTATTGGTTTCTCGGTTGGAGAGGAGAAACTTGATGAGGTACTGAGCCTTGAAAGTGTGATGCAGTTGTTTGACCATTAGGCGTCATTGGGCTTACTGGACTTCCCGTTTCGAATGACTGCCGAGGGTAGCTATGCGCCTGTACTTGTGGATGTTGGGGCCGTGACATGGACACGTTGCGGTTCTCTTGTCTACTGGGCCCATACTGTTGTCCTGGTGGTGGTGGCAGTGGCGGTTGTTGTTGCTGCTGCTGCTGCCAGTTTGATGGCCCATCGTATCTACTCTGAGATTGTTGAGGTGGATGCGGCGGTAGAGGGGGCGGTTGCGAATATCTGTCATGCGGTGTCTGAGGCGTAGATCGCTGTTGTTCATGAGGTTTTGGTGGCTTTGGGGGAGGGTCAGGAGCTTGATTCGATACGGATGGTGAAGGCGAGGAAACGGTCGTCCCATGTGCTGTGCGTCGCCATTCAGCTGGAGGTGGAGGTACGGGTGGAGGAGCTTGCTGCGCGGGCGCACTTTGCTGTGGCTGCTGCTGTCTCGATCGCACAGGCGGCTCTTTCGCGAAGACGCCGCGCAAGACTGCTAGGAAGTCGAAGAGAGTTGACTTCTACGTCATAGTCAGCTATCATAGACCTTATGAATGCGCGCCTGATTCATGGCCTGCAAAGCGCATGCAATACTCACATCCCAATACTGCGCCCATTGTGCTAGATACGGATGGTACACCTTGCCATCTGTGCTCACATGCTGTCCAGGTCGCAAGACCATGCCCTGAGAGGGCGTCACATATACGATGGGCGGCTCTCGTGGGTAGGCGTGAGGCACCCATATTGCTACCGGAAAGCCATAGGTCGCACCACGAAATGTGACAGGCAATGTGCCTGTGAGGAGCAGTAAGAGCGCCGACACGCCATTCTCGTAAGCTGCTATTGTTAGCCTCTATGCAAGCTCTACTCGAAAGGCGACTGACTGTATGGCTCAGTTCGAACGCTGAGCGATGGGTAGTTGGTGAGAGTCTCAGCCGCGTCGTGATAAGTGCGATTTACGTCCAAGTATTCCTGCTGGTGTGTTAGCGCGAGTGTGGTAACGCGACGGGCTTGACTTGCATTAACAAGGACGCTGTACAGCCAATTCAGCACTTTCTCGCTGGCCATTGCAAGGTGGGTGGGGACCTGGGGAGCTCCAAGACATCATCGGAGCATTGAGCATTGCCCCTCAACACCTTGGCAACCCGCCATCGCGTCCCAGACCAGCCAATCCTTCCGTCATCAGTCTTCGTGACAAGCATGGGTTTGCAACTGTCTCGTTTGCATTCTCCATGACCCTGTACTAGGGACAATACAAAAAATTCAAATCCACATCTTCAGTCATTGATTGGGTATGTGAAGTCGCTCGATACATTTCATTCGTAGAGCTATTGTATATAGTACAGTATATAGTCGTCATGTGTCTCGTCACCGCTTCAGCGAGCGTAGCCATAACCAGCGCTAAAAGAATGTACGCCTCCCTACTGTACAAATCCCACCCGGGGTATCAAAATGAATGAATTACTTAGTGCTGACTCCACTCAATCGTGTTGAGGTCAACACCCTCCTGAACAAGCTCCCACAACGGACTCAGCTCTCGTAAGAACGTCACCCGCTCCTTGACTGCGTTCAAGACATAATCAATTTCCGAATCAGTTGTGAAGCGGCCAATGCCGAAGCGGATACTGCTGTGTGCGCTCTCATCGCTGCTGCCAAGAGCTCGAAGAACGTAGCTTGGCTCAAGCGACGCCGAAGTACAAGCACTTCCAGAAGAAAGAGCAATGTCTTTCAGTGCCATAAGAAGTGACTCTCCCTCGACATAAGCAAACGATACGTTGACGCAACCGGGATAATGTCGCTCGCGGTCACCATTCAGTGTGGTGTGCTCGAGTGATAGCAGGCCTTCAAGAAGACGGTTTGATAGCGCTGTGATGCGCTTGGTATCATACTAGACAGAATCAGCGCGATGTCCCATCCTGTCATGTATTTGAACAATCAACAAGATCAAGAACTCATAACCCCTGCACATTTGTCAACATGGCGAGTCGACGGCCGAAGCCACCTAACACTCTGAAAGCCATGCATGTATAAAGCAAATAATCATCGTGGTTGTAGAACAGAACACAAAAAGACGTGATACATACCTCCATCTCCTCTTTGCAGATCCGCGCAGCCTCACCCATGCCAATAGCAAGGGGAGGTGCTAATGTGCCACTTCGCAGGCCGCGCTCCTGGCCACCACCACTGATAATGGGCTCAAGTCTGACCCTCGGTCGTCGTCGTACATAGCATGCACCAATGCCTTTCGGTCCGTAGATCTTGTGTCCAGATATTGACATCAAGTCGACGTTCATCTTGTTGACATCGATGGGAATCTTGCCAACAGCTTGCGCTGCGTCAGTGTGGAAGAAAATCTTCTTCGACCGGCAGAGACGTCCAATCTCCTCCACAGGTTGTACCACACCAATCTCGTTGTTCACGGTCATGATACTGACAATAGCAGTGTCTGGACGCATCGCGGCTTCGAGCTGAGCCATATCAATGAGGCCGTTGCTCCCTACTGGCAGGTAAGTAACCGAGAAACCTTCGTCTTGCAAATGTCTACAGCTGTCGAGCACACACTTGTGCTCGGTCTGCGCTGTGATGATGTGCTTCTTCTTGCCTCCTCGTCCGAAAAATCGTGCTACGCCCTTGATACTCATGTTATTACTTTCAGTTGCACCACTGGTGAAGATGATCTCTTTTGGGTCTGCACCAATCAAATTGGCGATGTTCGCGCGAGCTTCTTCTACCGCCGTGTCGGTCTCCCACCCATAGGCGTGAGTTCGCGAATGAGGGTTTCCGTACATGCCGGTCATAAATGGCATCATCTTGTCTACAACTCGAGGATCCATGGGTGTAGTAGCTTGCATGTCCAAGTAGATGGGCCGTGATCCCTGGTCCATTACCGTAGCCTGCTTGAGAATGCCTAATTTTGTCAGTCTTATCAGAGGCGGGGTCGAGGGGCAAATGATTGAATCTTACCAGCACTAGGACTCATCATGGCATCCGCGCCCATGCCTGTTGTTGGCATCGTCGCATCACTTGGCCGCTCACCCGTCTTGTCTAAAAAGGCACGCTGCTCCTGCTTGATCGCTGTGTCGACATTGACCGTCGCCTGCGAAGACTTGCTTTCGCTGACATAGTGACGACGTGCAGCCGCACCAGCGGTGCGTGCAAAGGCTGGCGATGGATAGCGGCGAGAGGCAATGCGCAGGGCCTGCCTCGCGATGGTGGGTGCAATGTTGGGCATAATGAAGGTGCAGTGGTGGAGAGGTGGGAAAGGCAGGTCGCCTCTTAGCTAGCTCGAGCTTTTCCCAATGACTAAGCGGACGAACGGGCCGAGGCACTAGCTGGTCCGTGCATACCCACCACACTCTGCAATTGTCCTCGCCCTGCAGCAGTTGGGCTCTGGGTGCGCGAAAAAAAACAACGGGGATGTCAGGGGTGACAATGTGTTCGCGGCTCGCATACGCACCGATCAATAGTCCGCTTGCAGTGGGTACGGGCATGGTCATCTGCCAGCAGTGATATCCCTCGGTGTGTTCCGGGAGTTCCGAGCAGAGCAGGGCTGCGTGTTGCATAGCCACAAACGTCATTGGGACTTGAGCAGCCACGCAGGCGCTCGCGATCCTTGGTCGCTACCTGCTGCCTCTCCCGATCAATCCACCTCCATACCGTGACTAGAGTTTGCTCTTACTGTGTTCTGCAGATCTCTCTTGCGCACCCATAATAACATACTTCCACCATGAGTTGGAAAGGCCTGACCAAGAGCGTTACCCGAGTACAACAAACTCCCCGCGCTGCTTGGGCATTATGGCTTGCTAACCCAATCGCATAGGCGCCACAAACCTTCAAGCAAAGGTTCAATCTTGTACGTCCCCTCATGTACCACTATACTTCGAGCATTTTTGCGCTCCTCAATCTCTCGAGAATAAAATCCACCTCTAACCGTACGTCTTTTAGGGCGAGATCACCAAAGACCCTATCTATACAGATGCCGAACGACGCTTCCAGGAGCTGGAGAAGGAGACAAAGAAGCTTCATGATGAATCAAAGAAGTAAGCGCTCACTTCAACGCTTTCCTCCGCCAGTTTTTGCTTACATGTCCCAGGTACTTTGAGGCCATAAATGGTACGTTTATACTTCACACGGCCCAGCCAACGCCCGCCTAACCACCCCTCCTAGGCATGCTCACACACCAAATCGAGTTCTCAAAAGCAATTGCCGAGATCTATAGGCCAATATCCGGCCGCATGTCCGATCCCGACTCGTTTCACGATGAAGGCAACGCAGCCGGCATAGAAGCTTGCGAGCAATACCAGGCTGTGGTTCAAGAATTGCAGGAGACGCTCAAACCCGAGCTTGAAATGATAGAGACTCGTGTCATCCGACCTGCCGATGAGCTCCTAATAATCGTAAAAGCCGTGCGCAAGATTGCCGCTAAGCGCGATCACAAGCAACTCGACTACGATAGGCACCGCGCCGCATACAAGAAGATTGAAGAGAAGAAAGATAAGACATTGAAGGATGAGAAGGCCATGTATAAGGCCGAGAATGATTTGGAGCAGGCCACACAAGACTTCAACTATTTCAATGATCTACTCAAGGACGAGTTACCGAAGCTCTTCGCATTGGAAAGAGAGTTCATCAAGCCCCTGTTCCAATCGTTCTACTACATGCAGCTGAACGTGTTTTACACATTACATGAGCGCATGCAACGGCTGGACATTGGTTACTTTGATCTGACCCTGGATATTGAGGCGGCCTATCTCAAGAAGCGCGGGGATACCCAGGAAGAGGCAGAAAAGATATCCATCGTCAAGTTCAAGACTACCGGTGGTCCTCGCGTAGCAGGGGCGAGGCCAGGCCAGTCCAAGTACGCAACAAAGGCCCTGGAAGCCAAAGCTGGTCGAAGTTCGTTATCCGAAGAGACGGAAGCACCACCACCATACAGTCCTGGACCTTCAGCGGCTGCCACCGGCGATATCAAGTCTCCTGCATTGTCATCAGGCTCATGGGGTTCTGCTGCCAAAGCCAAGGGTGCAGCGCCTCCACCTCCAAAACCTAAGCCCTCGCGTCTCAGTGGGGCACCCGCTGCTGAGACCGTCACAGCCCTATACGATTATGAAGCCCAAGCTGAGGGTGACTTGAGTTTCTTGACTGGTGACATCATCGAGATTGTTTCCCGTACACAAAACGACAATGAATGGTGGATTGGCAAAGTGCGGGGGAAGCAAGGACAGTTTCCAGGTGAGTTCCAAGCCAAAAGAAATTCCAAAAGTCAAGTCTAATAGCGTTACAGGAAACTACGTTAAACTGAACCATTAGTCGAGGCTCAGTCCGCCTCCTCGTACCTTGCGATTGTGGGGTAACACTTGTTGAGGCATATTTTCATGGCGCTTCAGGTTTCTTGTTCAATACCATTGTGTTAGATTTGAGCATTCTGCTGTATAACGCATCTCTCAATGATAGTCTTTTTTCATCCAAGTGGAATTGAGTTGTTGATCGAAAAATATCACTAGCCACTCCATGTCACGTACTGGACAGCTTCCTCTTTTGCAGCATGACTGCGCCACAGTTCTGATCAGTTCTAGCGAAGCAAGGGTGGTTGCGTGCCACCCCGCATGACGTCTGTCGGAGATTCTGGAGACCCGCAGCCCGTATCCGCACGCTCGGGTATGCACGCCTAGGGTCGTCCCGGATCAATGCATGTTCTTCTGACGTCTGTAGTTATAACAAAAACAGTGCTCTGTTCGTTCCTTCTTTTGCTTACAAACCCAATTTTGGAAACAACTAATCCACAATGCCGTACGAATCAACCATAATATTCACTCTTGACACAATATGTCCCTGGTATTTTGAATGACCCTCCCCCGCGCCTTGCATAGCCTGTACTCTCACCTGATACAAAGAACACAGGACATACATCGCCTTCGTTCGCCTCAACGAAGCCCTCGACGCCTATCGCTCAGCTAATCCAGACTCCCCCACCAAGTTCACCCTCAAGCTAGCACCTTACCAACTCTACCCGGATTTCTACGAAGACGGCATCGACAAATACGAATGGTACAAGGAGAAAAAGTACAATGGTAGTGACGAGAGAATGAAAGCGTATGCGTATTATATGGGGCTGTCAGGAAAAGGAGAAGGTATAAAGTTTGATTTTGAGGGCGGTTCCATTAGCAATACGCTGCATGCACACCGCATATTGTACTGGCTGCAGAACACCAAAGGACCGGATGCTGCGACAAAAGCGGCACTGAGTCTGTACAGCCAGTATTTCGAACATAGGGCTGATCCTGCGGGTCGCGAGACGCTGGAGAAGGTGTGTATAGCTGCTGGGCTGGGTGAAGATGAGGTGAAGAAAGTGGTGGGGAACCAGGAGGAAGGATTACGTGAGGTTAAGGCGGCGATTAGAGAACAGGCGGGGAATGGGGTGGATAGTGTGCCGTATGTTGTGTTTGAGGGGAAGAAGAGGGATTTTACGCATATTGGAGCGAAGAGTGTAAAGGAGTATGTTAAAGTGTTGGTGCAGGTTGAGAAGGAGTGTGCTTGAGTAGAAGGTGGGTTAGATCATGTGATATTGGCTTGCTTCTGTGCAATTGGATATACAAAAGAATGGTCGGATTGGTGAACACCCTCTACCGTTTATTTGTTTTCACACAATATGCACACAAAGGCACCACAGAGCATAATTTAAAAAATCGTATCGAGTATGAGGTAAACACAAAAACACATTATATTAAAAGAGTGATTACAGCAGCCATGAGGAATCCAGAGGAAGCTTCTTCGGCACCAAACCTCTATCGTCCACGAAAGTATAGCAAGAATAAGGAAAAGTTCCAAGGAATCTAGTCTAGTCTAGTTGTGTTGTGTACCAACTCCATGTGTCATTCTTGATCGCGTAAATAGTCGTAGATTATTTACCGGCAGTCAAGGTCGGAGGTGCGGCCGTCAAAACTGCAGAACCTGTTGTCGGATACGACGGCAAGCTATAGCAGTCAGTTAGTCAAAGTTCATCTTTTAAGAGAAAAAAAAATTAAGAATGAGAATAGAACTCACGTTAATGTATCCACCATCACCACGAGTCCAGAGCGAGTTGTGGCGACCAATATAAAAGCAGTCGTAATCGGTGTTGAGAGCGCCCATGGAGAGCTTGACACTGGCAACATCGGAGATTCCGCCGCGGTTGGCTACGTCCCACTTCATGTTGTAGCAGACAGCTGCGACCCAGCGGTTTCGGTCGGGGTTCCTGGCCCACATGGCGTCGACGGTGGACTGGGTGAAGGTCTCACGGGCGGAGTTCCAGTTGTTGATGGGGAAGAGCTTTTGGAGGAGGCCGCTCATGGCTCCGGCGATTGAGGCACCGGCTCCAATGCCCTCGGCGGCACCGTTGAGACGAGCTCCTGCGCGGCGCTTCTGCAGGTGAGCGTCGGCGTCGGTGTTGACATCAGCATCGGTGTCGGCATCGATATCAGCACCAACATCAGCATCAACATCAGCATCGGCGTCGACATCAACGTTGGTCTTGATACCAACTTTCACAGGAGAAGCATTGAGCACATCAAGTGCCGCCACAGGCTGAATCACTGGTTAGAAACTAAAGTTCTTCTCTTATTGTGGATGGGAACCTACAATGGCAACAGCATTGGAACCCTGAGGGGGATGAGGAACAGCCGCAGCGTTGGTAAGAGCGGCAGTGCCAGCGAGGAAGACAATAGAGAAGCGCATTTTGATTTTCGGATTTGGAATAAAAAAGTAAGTCTTAAAAAGTAAGTCTTAAAAAGTAAAGAGTGAGAGTGGATTACTTGGGAAAAGAGAGTGTGATTTGCTGTGTTAGCGAGTGATGGTTGTCAGTGTGAGTGATGATTCCATTTGAGCGGTCATCCGCACTCCTTATATACAACAATGAACAGACTACTTGAGGCTCTCTCTCGATCGTGAGTCTCTGTTACTTGGATCTGGTACATCGAATTCATCCATGTGGACGCTAATACTGCGAGTCGTTGGTCTAAGAGCTCGGTCCACTTGGTCGTTGTGTCGTCTGTGCCAGTGGTAAGATTGGCCTAAATTAACGTGTATAGAAAAATCATAGTAGTTGCAAACTTAATATTCACCGATTCTTGTGCTTGGTCCCACCTTTTTTAGGGCCATCGACTAGAACATCACTTTTGCGTCTTCTAAAAGGTCTCGCATTGGCTGAGCAGATTGTATGTTCGCCCTGTGTGTTGTAGCTTCATGTATGCCAAACTCAATGTCTGGATGCCTTCTGAGTTCTCTTGCTAGTGTTTGGGTTTTGACAGACTTGCGAATGGGGATGCACAGCAGCCTAAATTTTGTTCAGAATTCACTGATGTAATGCCAACGATAGACTCTCCTAATCTTTTCACCTTGAACCACTGCTCGGTTGTGCAGTAAGATTCTCAAAGATCAGTAATGCTTTGCTGGGCTATCACAAGTGGTGTGGACCCGGAAAATTACTCCTAAGGGCTTGTTCAGCCACTTCATCCTCTAATCAGTTCACCGCTCAGCGAGGAAATTCCCCATAGCAGCTTCATGCTTACCTTTCCCCTCGCTCATTTCTTGTCGCCATTCAACAAGTCCCCTAGATGTCTATTTTCTGCAAGTCGGCCTTGGTGGTTTCGTGTCACCAGATCTTTGCGAGCCTACTAAGCAGGATGCCATGTCTAGAAAGAAAGCCATGAGCCACGACGACACCTTACCAAGACACTCGCAGTAATAACATGCATGCACTGACTTGAAATGCAAGATAATCTCAAGCACCGAGCAAACGTAGTAGGGCTACGATACTTCCTGTCATCTGCTATAGCCGTACATAGAGTTGGACAACTCATCGCCTACCAAACGTTATTTGGCCCCAGTAAAACGGCGGAAAGGAATGACAGGGACCGTGCCAAATGAAATGTCGTCATAGGCTGGCGCGATAGCGGATGTGCTTGGCATATGCCAGTCAAACCATACCCTTAATGACAATGAGCTGGGTGGATTAATTATTCAAAATAGGCACCACTTGACTAGTTTAACTCTGTTGGGGCTGGAGCTAGTGATCCAGCCAAGCATCTCAGAGCTTGTTACTATCCAACATGGTGCCAACGTTAGCGAAGGACTGGCCCGTATAGAGTTTGGATTCTAGCGTCGTCCCCTGCCTCCCGCGTGAAACCATAAAACCAATGGGCGCACTATTCTCCGGCAGGCGAGCCCGGAACTATCAGCACGTATTGTTTTGCAACCATTACTCGGACATTTTAAAACCTTATTACCACCACCACGTTGTTACGATCGAGCTATACAACGGCGTGGTCTTTACGACCAAACTCAATCTTGCAGACCCCAAGTTTTTGAGTGCGACGATCATGTTAGGACTGGAGCTAAAGCCTTCTAGTGATGCATTCCTGTCTTCTAGGCGGCTTCTAGAGTGATTCAAAAGGCGAAATTAGAGTCTGGACACACCTCATTGCAAGCCTCACACAAAACGGCGCTGTAGCTGGAAAATGAAGACTTGGTACGGCAATCGATCGAATTTGCGGTGTATACTTGGTTGGCTTTTTGATATATGCTTTCGAGTGCCTTTGGAACTCTGACAACTCACTGGGTGGGCTACTTAGCAGAGTATAGTAGATTGGAGATTATGATACGAAGGCACGTAATGAAATGGCGAAAAACTTTACAATGTTAAAGTAGACACAGACTCCATTGTCATCCTTTGCAGCTAAAACTGACTAAAGCCCAAGAGCAGATAGAGAAGCAACAACGACCGATTCTGCGGCTTGATCTCATATCCCAATGCAACATAAGGTAAACTCAACCCCACGTCCAATGGAAATCCCCAACTCCCCAGAAGTAACTAATCCACCCGGTTCCTTGGCGATCTTCCAGCCCCTATCACATATACTCCCACAAAGCCAAGAAAGAGCTTGTTGTTTTTCATGGGATCGCCCAACGCACTGTTCAGGCCTAAGCTCTTACATGTGACCAATCTAGCCATGTCTCTTTTACGTGTTGCTCACCTTGCGCACTGGCGCCGGCCAGAATCTAAACTCAATTTCTAGAGAAATTATGGCGTTTAGTGTCGATACAGGAGGTATGAAATTCGTATGCGGAGATGTTCGGTGGAAATGGAGATCGGGAGGCTTGATCGCAATTACTAGTCTCACACAGGCATCGAGGGACGTAAGTATAAGTAGAAGGGGATAGCCCGAGATGAGGAAAGACAGGAATAGCGATATGCATGGAAGGATTTAGGAGGAGCAAGAGATTGGAATCAGGAGTGCTGCTCCATTTGCAGAAGGGGAAAGCGGCTTAATTCAACCCTCTATTGAAAGCTTGTACTGAAAGAAGACCTAGGTGTGTGCTGGGGACCTTTTGTATATAGCTTGTTGTACATGTAGATAGGGTCAGTCAGTGTGTAGTTTATTTATAGGTATAGGAGGCAACAGGAAAGTCACTGTCTGGATTGTTCCGAACGATTGGCAGTTATAACGGGGTGAGTGTGATGGCCGGAATGATTTTTTCGAAAACAGAGTAATATTGAAGGATGTTTGCAATGACATAATACAATGCCATGCGTCCAGCTACCACACACTCCCAATTTTACTCTGACCCAAAGAATCAGATTTTCCAAACTGTGTGGTACGATATATATACATTAAATCTTGAAAGTGCGAATGGTAAGGCTGCAAGATCAATAAGAGAAAGATTTATCGAATTTTGTAGTTAAACAACGAATAGCGCAATGAGGAAAAATATTTCCAAAAATAAAAAAGTCAGAAGCAATGCGGTACGCTGTAATCAACGAAAATCCAGAGAGATCGCCTTTTGAATTGGAACACTTCTTTTCTATATGCTTGTATCGGGAAACTTAGAACAGATTTCCTTTATACGATATATTACCACCATCCCATCAATAGCCATGAGAGTTACTGCAGATTCTATACAGCACACTTCACGATAGTCACGCTCAAGTACACAGCCGATTCAAAAGATTTGAAACGGATAAATATGCTTGTGAGACCATCAGCTTCCCCTTTTTTCCCATTAGAGAATGACAATCTCAGACGATTGGGATTAAGTGGAGGGAATAAGTGAAGAAAAATGCAACACTCACTACGATTTATTTGCTCGAAAGGAAATAGTCAGGCAGCAAAACTTGGCATGAGGCAACAGATTTCACTACAGCGGAATTAATTCCATCTTGTATGTACCATGTAATCGTATTGACATAACCGCAATGCTAAATTTTGGATATCGCAATTACTACATAACTATAGAAACAAAAAGTTCTATCAAGGGTCACATCTTGAATTACTGGAACAGCAAAGCCTTATTCTGTATTCAATCGGAGAATTGAATAGCTACATTGATATATACATACAACCCAAAGCATGATGCTCCAGTCATCTCATACTGCAGTAGTCTGATGACGAACTCAATGCGTAATATCGGAGTTATGAATGATGCTGGTACAATCATACCGCAGGTCCAGGGATTGCAATAGATATAGGAGAGTGGCTGGAAGGTATAGAAAAGCCAAACTGCGTAGTAAGGTGGTGCTGATCTCAAGTGATGCATCGTAGAATGGAGCATGATCTATTCATTCTGAAAGTCTTTGGAGTGGTTTGAGTGTCAACAATGTGCGCCTGGGTCTAACACATCCAAGTTACATGATGCAAAAGCGAAATTTGACGTGTTGAAATTATTCATGCAATTATTTATGATCTAACATGTGCTTGAATTTTTCAATCTGGCTTTGCATTAGTGACTGTGATAGGGAAAAAAAAGTTCAACAAATCCACTCACCTTTGTACTCAGATATTTCTCTACTTCCTCGCTCTTGATTCCTTTCATGCCCCCAGTCTTCCACGCTAGTGGGACCATGGCCACGCGCTCTCGGACGACGACTTCTCTGTTCGGGCCCTCAACCGCTCGAACTTTGTCGGGATTGTTGGTCAAGAGTCTTATTCCCCTATCACCGTCCAGACCCAAATCCATGAGCATGGCTGTAGCTAGGCCGTAACTGCGCGCGTCTGCAGGATGCCTCAACATTATGTTGGCTTCATAGGTGTCGTTTCCTAAATCTTGCAGGTTGTATGCTTTAAGCTTCTCGCCCAGGCCGATGCCACGGCCTTCCTGCCGGAGATAGATGATGGCGCCGCCAGAAGGAGACAGCGCTGGGTCGGCCATGAGGCGCGCAGCCTCGTCAAGTTGCTCGCCGCAATCGCAGCGCGCAGACCAGACAGTCTCGCCTGTGTAGCATTCGGAGTGTATGCGTACGAGGGGTAGTTGTGACGAGGAAACGGGCGGAGCGTCTCCGTTCTCTGACGACGAAGCGGAGGCCGGAGACAAGGATCCATTGGTCTTGTCGCTATGGGCTAATTTACTGTCCAGCATGGGTTTTGGCGGAATACCTTCCGCGCGCTTGAGCTGCTCGACCCGCGAGCTGGTTCTGCCCGGATACAGGCGGCCTACATATGCGCCTCTAGTCATGCGATCCAGCTCCGTCTCTCCCGGGCGTTCTGCGTCGAGGGAACGAGAGCGTATTTGGTTGCCAAAGACGATTGCTAGATGCTCCTTTGTATCGACATTGTTTCTGTACACATGCAACCACATTTCGTGTCCTGTGGTCGTGGGTATGCGCGCGCGCACCTCGCACTCGACCTTGGGGAGTTGCGACAACAGATCTGGGCGGGGGGTGTCGGTGCGGAGCGAGGTATCGACTGGTATAGAGCGGGGTGGCCGGGGATGCGAAGGAGTCGAAACCCCCGGTGTGGCTGGAGGGGTAAAGGCGGGAGAGATGATTGAGGGCGGAGGATTGTGTCGCTCTTGGTTTGTGCCATGGTCCAGTGTGTGCTCATGCGCCGGCGACGTGTGGAAGTCAAAGTCGTCGTTTGCAGCGGTACCAATCTGCGGCGAGAAATGGGGCGGGAATGCGGTCATGGTGGATGGCAGGGCGGAAATGATTCAAAAAAATGGGATTGTGGTCACGAGGAACAGAAGCACATTACCGAGTGAATTGAGTAGAGACAGAGGCAGAGTCAGAGACAGAAACAGAAACCGAAGCAAGAGGTGCAGTGGGGGCGAGCGACTGAATGACATAGCCGAACCCGCAGCGCTCGGGAGTCGTGATTTTGGGATCCGCCTCCGACATTCTACTAACCGCGGCTATGTAAGCAAATTCATGTGGCGCCCAAATGTTCCGGTCAGCAATTAGGAATTCCGCCCTCCCTCACTTGGTCCGCCCCACACCGACTCTCGGAGCCGGACACATACGGGCGAATGGGTGCTTGGAGCATTGCGCCTCCTTGCCATGGCGCCAGTGCAGAGTACTAGATTAACGTCCGTCCCTGTGGGTCGAACATCCTTCCGCAACGAACCACCAACATTGTTCAAGTACCTCACGTCCAAGTTGCAGAGACTTTCAGATCCAAATACATATCAATATACTCTTTAGATCCATCTCTATCTATCGTAATCCTTAAATAGCAAAATTACGGAAATCTAAGGTGCGTACGTAAATCTTTCGCGTTAAGCGTGGAAGCTGCAACAACGACACACCCCTGTTCTACCCTCCTACAGAAACACAACTTGCTCTTTCGGAGATCCTATGTGAATCCTGGTGAGCCAGAAAAGCTATGAATATCATATAAAGATGTGCAGCTTCTGTATAGGTACACCACGAGTTTTTCCGACTTGGTCCGCCGGTCCTTTGCGTTTAACCAAAGGATTTGGAACGCTGACATAGCAGGATTGCAAACGCTTAGCGGCCCACGATGTACACCTGTACTATGCCAAGAGCTAAAGCTGTGGCGCAGAGTTCTGGAAGCTTCTACCTAGATGCTACTTAGGCGCGCAGTTGCCAGCTATTCTTAGAAGCAGACTGGTTGTGGATTCCGTTGGTCTCGCGGTGTTCTGTCGGCGGGAAACTCAGATCGAATCCAAACCTTGTTAACAAGTGTTGCAATTGCGCGGCTACTTTCTTGTCTGTCCTGAATTGTAATAGCAAGCTTAAAGCGCCTCGGTGCTTAGACGCCTGCCAACAGCACCAAGGGCTTCAGCTCCTCTGTAGCTTTCGATGCATACGCGGTTCAGCCTCGTAAGTAGTGCGCGGCGCATGTATGGAGCCACGCCTGACCCCACCTGGGGCTTCACACAGGCTTCACCACCAAGCCAAGAATACAGTGAAAGCCGGCAGCTTCAGCTCGCGACATTTTGACGGATCATAGGGTCTTGCTGGTATCTGAGCTGGTACACCTGCTCGTTGTTTTCTCTGTATGCTGACCATCCATCGGTAGCAGGAAAGCAGCTAACAAGTAGCAAACGCCCGCGCGACTAGGCTGCTACATTCAGCTTTTTGAGTCCTGTTCTCATCGCATGCGTCTACTGCATACCTACACAAACCCATGCGGCTCTTGCACTACAGCGAGAGTGGACAGCTCAGCATCCATAGCTTCGATGATGGCGACATACCCCCCTACGCGATCCTTTCACACACTTGGGGAGCAGATGGCGATGAGGTGACCTTCGCAGACCTCCAGACAGGCGGCGGCGGCAGCAGCAGGAAGCTAGGCTACGAGAAGATTCTCTTCTGCGGAAAACAAGCACGACATGACGGTCTGCAGTACTTCTGGATCGACACATGCTGCATTAACAAGAATGATAAGGCTGAGCTCGCCTTTGCTATCAGGTCAATGTTCCGCTGGTACCGCAACGCAGTTAGGTGCTATGTCTATCTGTCAGGTGTGTCAAAAAGGAAGAGGAAAGCCTGCGACAGAGCCACGGAGCTTAGCTGGGAGCCTGCTTTCAGATCGAGCCGGTGGTTTACGCGTGGCTGGACGCTTCAAGAGCTTCTTGCTCCAGCCACAGTCGAGTTCTTCTCGCGAGAAGGAGAGATCATTGGCAGCAAGACATCGCTTCAGACGATGATCCGCGAGATAACTAGCATTCCGCTTGAAGTGCTTAACGGGGCCCCACTTTCTCGGTTCAGCGTCAACGAGCGGTTGAGGTGGGCAGAGGGCCGGATAACTGGGCGCGTCGAGGACAGAGCATACTGCCTGCAAGGAATCCTCGATGTTGAGCTAGCGCCGGTATATGGTGAGGGCGAGGCTGGCGCTTTTGACCGTCTAAAGCGCGAGATGTACAAGCTAGAACAATGCCTCAAAGATATACGCCAAACAAACCCTCGTGATGATAAGAAGCGCATCGAGGAGACAAAAGGAGGACTGCTAACAGACTCCTACCGCTGGGTTCTGGACAACACCACTTTCCAGCAGTGGCAGCAAGACTCGAACAGCCGGCTGCTGTGGGTAAAAGGTGATCCTGGTAAAGGCAAGACGATGTTGCTCTGCGGCCTTGTCAACGAGCTGCAAAGTTCGATGCCTAGAACTGAGCTTCTGTCGTACTTCTTCTGCCAAGCGACTGACTCGCGCATCAACAGCGCTACAAGCGTGATACGAGGATTGCTGTATATGGTTGTAGATCAGCAACCGTCACTTATGTTACATATCCGCAGAAGGTACGATCATGCAGGCAAGGCCCTGTTTGAGGATGCGAATGCTTGGGTAGCTTTGTCTGAAATCTTCACAAGCATGACGCAGGACAAGGGGCTGAAGACAACTTATCTTGTCGTTGATGCTCTCGACGAATGCGTAGTGGACCTGCCCAAGCTCCTCGATCTTATTGTCTATACTAGCACATTGTCACCTCGTATAAAGTGGCTCGTGTCAAGTCGAAACGAGGGTCGCATCGAGGAGAAGCTCAAATCGATTAGTGATGAAGCAAAGCTGAGCCTAGAGCTGAAGCAGAACGCTGAGCAGGTAGCTCGAGCTGTAGATGCATATATCGACCACAAGCTGTCTTGTCTCGGGTCACTCGGAGAAGCGGATCTGCGAAAGCAGGTGCGAGATGAGCTGCACCAGAAGGCGAACGGCACCTTTCTTTGGGTGGCTTTGGTGATGCAGGAGCTTGAGAAGTCGGAAAGCTGGGACCCACTAGCTGTGGTTGAGGAAGCGCCAGCGGGCTTACAGCAGTTGTACGATCGCATGATGGGGCAGATCCAGCGGCTGTCAGCAAGGAATGTGGACATCTGCCAGTCTCTACTCTGTACTACAGTTGTCGCATATCGTCCGCTCTACCTTGCTGAGATGGGCAGCCTGTACAGGTCGGAAGGTCGAGCTGCAATAGTAGCGGAGACCGTAAGAAAGATTGTGGCCATGTGTGGATCGTTTCTCACGGTTCGCGATGAGCAAGTCTACCTCGTTCATCAGTCAGCCAAGGACTATCTGAGCGACAAGATGCGAGCTACAACCCTTCCGTCCCAGAGCGAGATGCACTATACCCTGTTTACCCAGTCAATCAAGCTACTGTCTAGTAAATTAAAACGCGACATGAGCAATTTGGTCAAGCCGGGCTTCTCAATCGATGAGGTCCGAACTCCTGATCCTGATCCGCTGGCGACCGCGCGCTACTCGTGCATCTACTGGGTCGATCACTTGTGCGAGTCGAAGCCTGAGTCTCTAGCGAGCATTGCTGTTAAACTGCAAGTCCTAGACGTAGTCGACAAGTTTCTAAGAGAGAAGTATCTCTACTGGCTAGAGGGGCTTAGTCTGTGTAAAAGCGTAGGGAAAGGCGTCGTCTCAATGGGAAGACTGTGGTCACTAGTGCAGGTGTGTCGCATAATATTTACACACCTTTCGTTTGACCTAGACACTAACGCTAGTAGGAGATGTGTGACCAAGATAGACTTACTCGGCTCGTTCAAGACGCACGGCGATTCATCATGTACCACAAAGGAGCAATTGAGGGATACCCTCTTCAGACCTATGCATCCGCACTCCTGTTTAGTCCGACAGGCAGTCTAATCAGACAGCTGTTCCAGCACGAAGAGCCAGAAACAATCAGGATTAGGCCAGCTCTGAGCGACGAGTGGAGTGCGTGCCTGCAGACGCTCGAGGGCCATAGCCATTGGGTCAGCTCGGTGGCCTTCTCGCACGACTCGACGCGGTTGGCGTCGGCGTCCTGGGACAAAATCGTCAAGATGTGGGATGCGAGTAGCGGCACGTGCCTGCACACGCTCGAGGGCCATAGCAGTTTAGTCAGCTCTGTGGCCTTCTCGCACGACTCGACCCGGCTGGCGTCAGCGTCTGGCGACAGGACTGTCAAGATGTGGGATGCGAGTAGCGGCGCGTGTCTGCACACGCTCGAGGGCCATAGCAGGGATGTCAGCTCGGTGGCCTTCTCTCACGACTCGACGTGGCTGGCGTCGGCGTCTGGCGACAGCACCCTCAAGATGTGGGATGTGAGCAGCGGCGCGTGTCTGCACACGCTTGAGGGCCATAGCAGTCGTGTCAGCTCGGTGGCCTTCTCGCGCGACTCGACCCGGCTGGCGTCGGCGTCCCGGGACAAAACCGTCAAGATGTGGGATGCGAGCAGCGGCGCGTGCCTGCACACGCTCGAGGGCCATAGCCATTGGGTCAGCTCGGTGGCCTTCTCGCACGACTCGATCTGGCTGGCGTCGGCGTCCTGGGACAGCACTCTTAAGATGTGGGATGTGAGCAGCGGCGCGTGTCTGCACACGCTCGAGGGCCATAGCAGTCGTGTCAGCTCGGTGGCCTTCTCGCACGACTCGATCTGGCTGGCGTCGGCGTCAGAGGACAAGACCGTCAAGATATGGGATGCGAGTAGCGGCGCGTGTCTGCACACGCTCGAGAGCCATAGCAGTTTAGTCAGCTCGGTGGCCTTCTCGCACGACTCGACCCGGCTGGCGTCGGCGTCCTGGGACAGGACTGTCAAGATGTGGGATGTGAGCAGCGGGGCGTGTCTGCAAACGCTCGAGGGCCATAGCAGTCGTGTCAGCTCGGTGGCCTTCTCGCACGACTCGACGTGGCTGGCGTCGGCGTCTGAGGACAGGACCGTCAAGATGTGGGATGCGAGCAGCGGCGTGTGCCTGCACACGCTCGACGTTTGCAAACCTCTTCGCCGCTTATCCTTTGATCCTACTGGTTTTCGCCTCTACACTGAAATAGGTACTATCGACATTCAGAGCGTAAAGATATCTCGCAGGACGGATTTCGCAGAACCTGCGATCCCTATGTACCTAGGCACTAGCTTTAGCTTAGACGGCATATGGATTCAGCATGCTAGCAATAACCTGTTATGGGTACCATCGGAGTATCGACCGTTGCGTGAGGCTGTGTATGGAACTATGGTTGGAGTAGGTGTTGGGTCTGGAAGAGTGTGGATTTGTAGTGTAGACCTTTAGGTCACTCATATATGTTTGTCATAACAAGGCAAAGGTCTGTTTTTCTTTCTTATAGCCTGTTCTTCTAAACCTATATTTTACGGAAAGGGACGGGGATGCACACGAACATATAGTCTCTGTATTGCCGCCTAGAAGCTTCGAGAACCGTTAGAGGAGGTAGCTACTGTTATGCTATATCACTCGATGAATCTAGAATGGTTCTCGCTGTTTCTTGAACTGAAGAGAAGGCACGAGTAACTAAGGGTGGAATAATAGGGTATTTGTGTTACACGGGGTTGGGCTATACTTCTCTAGTCTCGGTCCGGGTTAGGGCGGGGTAGCTGAACGCGGTAGTCCGTGGAGTTGTCTGGCGATCCCAGTGGAAAAGAGTTAGTTATCGGAGTTAACCTTAGTAAGACAATTCAATCTAACTATCACTATTGCTATAGACTAACTAAGTATTAATCTAGGTAAGAGAAGAACTTATAAGAGTTGACCACAACGAGAGTAATAATGAAACCTTTCCATCCTTATATCCTCATTGCTTCCAGTCCTGACATCTCTAGGTGCTGTGGCATCTGTCCTCTTGGCGAGATGTCACTTCTTGGCGAGATGCCAAGTCACGTGGTCAGCGCCCCGCGTTGATCATTACCTTCTGTCGAGGCGCCCGTTGGTCCTCAGACCTGCGACCTCCGACCTCCGACAAGGAGAGAATCCTGCGTGTTACTTGTAACAATTTGGATGTGTAGGTACGATGTAAGCAGATTAAGCATGTTAAGGTAAACGCTTGCAGGAAGCCGCTGGCGTACGCCACAGTTATCTTTAGAAACTAAAGCGGATAGTTATTGTAACGGCGCAGGCAAGACTACTCGGATCAGTATCGGCGGTAGTGTCACTCAGAGGCATATGGGAGTGCGTGGGACATCAAACGAGCCTTGATTCAATAGACACCTATAGGCCTTGTACGAAAGGATATCAAAAATCTATCGAGCTACGGTATGGAGAAGGTGGGGTTTTATATCAGCAGATCTGCCCTTGGCTAGTGCGCGCCCATGTTCGGCTCCCTTTCGGATATCAGTTCAATGTGTACTCGAACCGTTACAAATGCTGGCTATATAATAAGTAGCAGGAGGGCCTTTCTATCAGCACTGATGCACTCAATAGCAGTAACTATAGTGCGCTTGACACCCGCACCCCTACTACCTTGCTAATTATCCTTGCTAACTAAGACTTTTGCAGAGCTAAGCATGCTTAGCATGACTTTAGTTTCGTCCATGTTGTACACGTTTTCTAGCAGTACGCATAGATCCTGTAGTACCTAACTAATTACATTAAACTACTCTACTATCTTCTTATATATATTGTTTCCATGACGCTTCTAGTCTATTAATCTGACACTTCTTAACTGGAGTTTAGGGTGACGCTTCTTAAACGCTCATGGCCAGTTCTTCCCTAGACACTTAATCAAATCGCTCTTCATAGATCGCTGGCGGGTTATGCTGAACGCTAGCGAGCGAAGACACTTAACGCGCATAGGTTGTCTGAGACTAGACATTAGTAGCAGGAACTTTACAAGCGCCTTCTCTTCCTCTTAAGTTAAGTACTGCTAACTCTAAGCCTGCTCTGCTCGCGAGCGTCGTCTAAGCCTATGGTGGATTAGAGTTGAGATAGGGACATTGCTGTGCTCTGATTGAGCAGCACATGTATCACGTATACCCTTAGGCAGACGTTGCGCGAGCGCCTGGCTGGCTGTGTCCATGTTCGTGGTTGTGGTGACTGAGGGATACCTCAAGCGAGAAGCCAACTGAATCCACCACCGGCCTGCTTTAAAGAATAGCCGGCAACACGCAGCACCCGATGGAAGCTTCTAGAGCTCTGCGCCACAGCTTCAGCTTTTTTGGCATAGCGCAGGTGTATATTGTAGGCCGCTAAGCGTTCGCAATTCTGTTATGTTGGCGTTCTAAATCCTCTTGTTAAACGCGAAGGACTAGCACACTAAGCCGGACAAACACGGAGTGCACCTAAACAGAGGCTGCATGTCTTGATATAATATACATAGCCTTGTTAGTTTATTATGCATAATATAGGACTTCCGAACAAGCCAGCTTTGTTTCTATAGAGAGTAGAACATGGGTGTATCGTTGTTGCAGCTCCAATGCTCAACATAAAAGATTCATATACACCCCTTAGGTTGCTGTAATTTTACTATTTAAAGCTTGCGATAGATAGAAGTAAGCCTAAAGAGCATATCGACGTGTACATATGTCTAAGAGCCTCTGCGGCTTGAGCGTAAGATGCTTGGGCAATGTTGGTGGTTCGTTGCGCAGGGATATTCGACCCACAGGGACGGACGTTAGCAGAGTATTGCACATACGCCCTAATGGGCATGGCCCCGATTCTTCAACTTGGACTCATGCTAATTGTACTATGCTTACATACATGTGCTATATAGTACATGCATCCATCAATCTACCATGTCACCCGGCAACATCTGATCCATCCCAGAAAAGAATATAACTCACAAAATGCCTGTTTACTTCCTATGCCGTGCTATGCTTTTAGTCCACTCTGCGCTCTCTGCCCCACACCTCGTCGGCATTCTTCTTGCCCTTGGTCTCTGGAACATACCATGAGACAAAGGCAAAGAAGAAAGCCGATAGCGCCGCAAAGATGAAATAAACTTTGCCGTGCAGCTTCGCGCTCGCTAGCGGGAAGAATTGGGCCACAACAAATGTGGCAATCCAGTTAGCCCCGAGCGCGATGCTCTGTGTCGCATCAACCGCATCCGGACCCACGAGTTCACTCGCCAATATAAATGGTACAGGGCCAAGACCAACAGCGAAGCCGGATACGAAGAGTAGAACTGCAATGGCTGAGAGTACGGGAATCGCCTTGATGATACCAATAGCAAGCAGAAGCGAGCTGGATCCCATAATCGCAAGAGAGCTCAGCAGGCACACTTTGCGACCTAGCTTGTCGGCAAGGGGCGCACAGCTAGCTGTCACGATAATGTTCAACGCCGAGACGGCAAGATTGAGCAGGGCCGAGTTGGATTCGAGCAGACCTGCTAGCAGCGAGACTCCATACATGACGATGCTGTTGATACCACTGAACTGCTGAGCCAACATCACCATGATGACGGCGATGGCGGCTTTTTGATAGTCGGAATGGCGGAAGACCTGCATGATGCTCAAATTTCCTTCTTTGCCAGACTGCTCCGGCCCGGCGTCGGCTGACGCATTAGGGCTTAGTAGCGTTTGCTCCTCCTCTGTGCTCATGTTAGTTTACCATGGCCACATAGCTCGCATATCGAGTGACTGACCGTTGACATGGGGCGAATCTGACATTCCCCAGTCGCGCATCTCATCCTCAATGTCTGCATGTTCGCCACGAATCTTGCGTAGAGTCTTCTTTGCAAGAGACACATTGCCCTGTTCAGCAATGTACTTCGGGCTCTCAACGGACAAGAGCAATCCCGCGCCTTGCACAGCGCCAATGACGCCTCCAATGGCCAGAATAAGCCTCCAATATGAGTCGTGGCTCAAGAAGTAACCCAACAGCTGCGTGATGAGAATGCCAACGTTGCAGCCAATCTGTGTAAAGGCGCCAAAGAAGCCCTTCTCAGCAGGAGGAGCAATCTCTGAGATGTAGAGGGGCACAATCACGACAGATGCTCCCGCCGCGACTCCTGACAACAGCCTTCCAAAAGCCATGACGGCAATGTTTGGGCTCAGGGCCTCAAAGACGGGGCCAACCACGAAGAAGATTGTCGATATCTGCATAGCTCTCAGGCGGCCGAGCCTTGTCGCGAGCGGACCGGCCGAAAGGGCGCCTATGAGGCCTCCGAGCGTGTATAGCGAACCCACGACGCCCCATTCCGTCGGTGTCATCTCAATGCATTGTGGAAGGCTCGGACCTGCGACGGCAGCTGTAATAGAATTTTTCTTGCAACGGATAACATCTTCGGGTGCGTTGAGCTCAGACTAAGAGAAAGAGAGAGAAGGTTAGCTATGCAGCTCGTGGGGAATGGGATGTGAGGTTGGCATATGGGGGACGGACCAGGTGGAAGCCGAAGAGCAGGGGGCCGAGAGTCGCGACGGAGAGGATGTAGACAAAGTAGCCGGTCAAGCTGCTGAACCACGAACGGGGATCCATTGCAGGCTCTGCTGATGGAGGAGAGTCGGGTGGTGGTTGCAGCTCCAAGCTGTGTCTGGCACCTGGGGACGTGCCCGTTGCAGCGGGCGAAGCTTATGTATTAGGATACATTGAATACACGGTCACATGGTTACCTGGCTACCTAATCATGATGACGATAGCTTGCAGAGAACGGTAATTGTCACTGCTTGGATATGCGAGCGATACGCGACGTGCATTATGAGACGATTATTGGTTCCAGGAGCTTGTATTTCATCGTAAAGTGTAGCGTGGCCGTGGTTGCGGTATTGGGTGGGTGCATGTACTCTCACTAGTCGGCTGAGGCTCTGCGGGGGAAACAGGCCATGGCAAGTGGGACGCGTGCCTGCCTTTTCGCCGTCGCCGTCCCTTATCCCTTGCACCCTCCTGCCTGCAACCCACCTCGCTGCGTCAGGGCCCCATCCATCCTCCTTGTCCAAACCATATCGCCCGCTTGCATTGCTTGCCCCGTGTGTGCCCGCCATCTTCACCTGTATTCATTCCAAATCACATGATTACGCGCTGAGCCTGTCGGCCTCGATATCAACAGATATCCGTGAGATTATCCGGATGCCATGTTCACCGGCTACAACAACAAGAAGCGCGTGACCGAGCGCTATAAAATCGTCGGCTTCATCAGCAGTGGTACCTATGGACGTGTCTACAAGGCCGAGGGCCGCAACGGTCGCACCGGCGAGTTCGCTATCAAGAAGTGAGTGAGCACAGCCGAGTGTTGCCATGTCCTACGCTAACACCATCAGGTTCAAGCCAGACAAGGAAGGTGAGCTGCAATACTCTGGCATCTCGCAATCAGCCATTCGCGAAATGGCCTTGTGCACTGAGCTTGCCCATCCAAACGTGGTCCATACTGCAGAGATTATCCTAGAAGACAAGTGCATTTATATTGTCTTCGAGTATGCCGAGCATGATCTTTTGCAAATTATCCATCACCACAACCAACCTCAGCGCCAGGCCATCCCTGCTCGCACCATCAAATCCATTCTGTACCAACTGCTGCAGGGCCTTGTCTACCTGCACAAGAACTGGGTCATGCACCGAGATCTCAAGCCAGCAAACATCATGGTCACCAGTGCTGGCAAGATCAAGATTGGTGATCTGGGTCTCGCCCGCTTGTTCTACAAACCATTGCAGTCGTTATTCTCCGGCGATAAGGTTGTCGTGACTATATGGTATCGCGCGCCTGAGCTGCTGCTTGGTAGTCGCCACTACACACCTGCAGTCGATTTATGGGCGATTGGGTGCATCTTTGCCGAGTTGCTTTCCCTGCGGCCCATCTTCAAAGGAGAGGAGGCCAAAATGGATAGCAAAAAAACCGTCCCATTCCAGCGCAACCAAATGCAAAAGATTGTCGAGATCATGGGCATGCCGACTAAGGACCGCTGGCCACTTCTAACAGCTATGCCCGAGCATCATCAACTCTCGTCTCTCCTATCAAGCAATGCCTCACGCTTTCCGCGCTCCCAGAGCGGCGATGGATTGGAGCGGTGGTACCACCAGACACTCAACAACAACCAATATCCAATCGGCTCTGGGCCGGACACACCTGGACCAGAGGGACTCTCTCTCCTCAAGCAACTTCTCGAGTACGACCCTCAGAAACGACTCACGGCAGAAAAGGCGCTGTTACATCCATACTTCACCATGCACGGCAAGCCCGCAGAAAGCTGTTTCGAAGACTCCAAGGTCAAGTATCCGGTCAGGAGGGTCAGCCAAGAAGACAACGACATGCGTACGTCTAGTCTGCCAGGCACTAAGAGAAGTGGGCTCCCAGATGACTCCATCATGGGCCGTCCAGCGAAGCGACTTAAGGAGGGCTGAAATGGTTTTGATACAAGAAGATTGTATGGCCCGTGTGATGTACAGGGGTCATGAATGCAGCCACCCACTTGTACGTATATTTGCATTATAGGGTAAGTTCATCCCTGGTTGTCGGCATGGTAAGACGTCAGCTTGCCGATGGGTGGCAGTTTGGGCGGCGTAGGCGACTTTGTGTCGCCGGTAATGCCTACATAGGCTCGTTTTGCCAAAGCTGGGAGTGGCCTTAATCCTTGGCCCGATGCTCCACAAGCATAGCGGGACTCTGACGCCATACTAAGTTGATGCAAGTCGATGAGGGACTGGGTGTCTGTAGACAGAGTGAGCACAAGCGAGTAGAAGCAGTGTGTTCTGAAACCGGGTAGACGCATAGAATGCTTACAGCGCGTGGACATGGCCAAGGAAGGGCTCACAGCCAGAGTTGTCTCATGACGGCGGATTGTATTCACTTTTGCGCAAAACCATCTGTCAAAAGCAAGCCACGAGTTACAAGTGTGACGTTCCTCGACGGTTGAGGACGTCTTGGGTCATACCCAAGACGGCAATGTTCACAAGAGACGGTGCGGGTCACGACTGAGTTTGGTGACGGATGTGGAGCGTTGGTGCATGAATCGATAGCACTGCGCAGTCATTCTTGCACATTGTGAGTTTGGTAACATGGTCAGAGGGGATAAAATAGCATTGTTTAGACCAGGCCAGCCGATTCAGACCCTGCCGTGTTCAATCATGGCAAACGCCACTCTACGTCCTTGTGTGTCGTTGATGCTGTAAGTGTGTAGTGAATGCGTAGGCCTAGCTCTTCAGGGCCTTACAGCTAGCGCCAGTGGTTCCACAGGGTGACTGTGGAGGAGCAGCGTGTGGATGGACAGTGCGCAGACATGAAGCTCATGGTCAGTGTTTGGCGATGGTTGCAAGTAAGGCCGCAACAGGGCAGCAGCAAGAGACGGTGGACTCGCCGGCTCACGGGAGGGCGGGCTTGTGTAGCCATCAGACGTCTACGCGCAATGGAACTGTCCAACCGTCTGTTTCCCCAGGCTGGCCTCGCACCAGGACGCTCTTGCAAACGGCCTCCTCCCTCGGCTCATTATTCACTCTGGTTGCATTCATTTCCTGCTAGCTCCCTCGTGAGCAATGTCCTTGCTTGATTGGCCGGCATCCATTGCTGTTTGTTTGTGGCCCCTCTGGTAAAGGCAGGCGCGCACCATCACCAACGCGGCATGCTTGACGGCTTTGACTTACATATATACTCGGCCGACCAATTCACAACATCTATATTCATCAACTCCCTATAATCTCGACACACAAGTCTAGCATCTACCCAGGATCTCACCATGAAGCTACTTGGTGCACTGGTTGCTCTCACTGCAGCCATCGCAGTCGCTGCTCCAGCCCACGACGTCAATCCTCGCAACGTCCAAGCAGGCGACGCTCCTCATCAGGACGACCCCAAGTTCATTAGTGCCGTGATGCGAGCTCACTGGTACTGGCGGAGGCTGCACTGCGCTCAGGACTTGGTTTGGGACAAGAAGCTTGCAGACGCGGCCCGCGCCGACATCGAGGAGTGCACCCACGACCCTGAGCATGTGGGTATTTGACATGTGCAAGAAGAGAGTAGTGTCTGACGATGTTAGAAACGCCCCGGTAGCAATCTCTCTTCTGTGAGCCCGCCGCCTGATGACTACGATGCCTGGATCGAGTTTGCCCGTACTGCTACGCACGGCTGGCACGAGGAGGAGACCAAATACCCCTACGACAATCCGCATTTCGATGCCGCCTGGGGCCACTTCACACAAATGGTGTGGCGCAACAGCACGCGTATCGGTTGTGCAGTTGGCCGATGCGACAGCACTGTCAACTGGCCTGGGCGCTTCTACTGCTGTGAGTGGATTCAAACAAGGTGTGGGTATACAGTTGCTGACTGATGCAGACTACTCATTCTTTGGCAACAATATTGCAGCCGGCCAGTTTGAGGATCAGGTTTGGGCACCGGTCTGTCATGACCCGGCGGCTGGCGAAGTGGTTGCGCGCCAGGATGTCAACTTTGATTGGGCTGGCGCCTAGAAGAAGCAAGCTTCAGGTGGTACTGGGTTCGACATCATGAGCCGTGTAACAATGGTGGCTAACACGAGTGATTTTTCTTGACGATGTGCGGTCCTGGGCATTGTCTATAGGGGCGACTGTTCCTCGGGTTTTTGTTTGGGTAGGGCATGGTTGCCAGGTCATGCCAATGTCGTTCTGGTCCGTCACAGTTTGGTTTCAAGGTGTCTTTGGCAAGCCATGTAAGCAGTTGACGATAAGGACCATGATGGCCGGGGTACAAGAAGGCGTCAGTGGTTACTTGAGTGTGGGAAAGGTATTCATGATAGTCTATGGATTTTCAGTGATGACTGATAGCCTCTCTTCATGATGTGTTTTTTGATTGGTTCGCTCTGTGGAAGCACTTGGCAGTGGACATGATTCAAGACCAGCGGGGACGTTCAACAGCACGATGATTGTAGCCGAGTAGCGTATAGGGAGGGTAGAAGCAAGTGAGGCATGGCGAGGAGTTCACAGCCCGGCCATGTGATCGAGTTGCATACATACGTGCATACGCAGGTACAGTCAACAGTGGTACTGGTACCGTCATCCTTTCAGGCACGCGGAACATATTAGCATCCTTCTCTCAGCCTCTGCCTCGGCCTCAGCGGAGTGCATATGTACTATGTTGTAGGTACATGGCGCAGGGGCCTTCGCGATGGGGGATGTAAGACGGCCAGTCCCGTGGATCGCGATGGCAATCGGTCCTACGCGCCCATGCGAACGCAGCCCTCCCCAGGATCCCCCATTTCGCACATAACCATGACACGGACCCTGAAAATCTCCTCTGCTGCCTTTCCACTGTTTTTTCTCATCCTACTTCTGGGCCCCAATCTGGCAAATTTCCCTGCCCTACAGTCTCACACATGGCTGTCATCCACACCACCCCACGACCGATGATGCAACTGCAAACGCCATCGACGCAGCATCGACTGATCCCTGCACAACGGCCATGCGCCAGCCCGCTATTATATCATGGCAACGCCACTACGAGCCTCGATTCCAGGCCTTTTGCCCGCAGACCTTGGAACTCATCCACCCCCACATATTGAGGCGATATTGTTCTGGCCACCCGCTTGCGCTCAACACACGGCGCGCGCGTGAATCTATACCTAGCGCACATGTAGCCCTCTTCTAGCTCCGCGTGCTTTTTACACGAGCCCCCGATGCCCTGCCTGCTGCTCTTGCCTCGTATCTCGTGCCTGTCGCGCGTGCAGGTCCAATCCATCTGCCTTAACCCTCCGCCTTTGTCCCGATTCCAGCCCTTTCGACTGCTGCACTAGAAACACCCGTCCAACTACCACCTACAATACTCTACTCCTCCACACACCCGCCAATAGACACTTTGAACCACGACCATTGATTTCTCGACATCCTACTGCGCAACTATGTTGGAGAAGCAAGAATATGTGCCACGGGACGACGAGGCGAGGCATGACACACCCAGACTGCCGCTCTCGTTGTCTGGCGAAATCAATGCTGCGACCCGGTATGACTTCCCACCCCACCACTTCTTTCCTCGTGTGTTTATGAACCAGCACACTGATCCGGCTCGTATAGATCCCTACACACAAACCTGAACCGCCTCATTACCTCCCGTCTCCCGCTTGGCCTCCCACCGCATACCACAGACTCGACGCTTTATGCGACAGGCCTGCTACATTTTGCACACATCTTCCTGACCTTTGAATCCTTGTGGGCCGACTTATTGCGCGATTATGCCCCGTCCAACTCACCCTATATGCCTGCACAGCCAGCAATGGACCCGGAAGGTGCTACTTCGCCCTTTTCGCCATTGCTATCCTATCTCCTTGTAAATCCCTACGACTCGCCCTCACTCTTCACATCAACCCTCGGCGCGCCAACGCCCCCATCTCCGCAACTTACTTCTTTCCTGCAATCTCTACGGCCGAGAGGCCTGATACGCTCGGGCCGATTAAAGAGGGACTTGGAATACCTGCTAGGCCTACACCCCACTGATCTCGAGGTCCTATTGGCAAAGTACCCGGGCGACAAGGTTGCGCAATTTTGCACGCACATTCGGAAGAGCGTGAATGAGAAGCCTTGGACGCTAGTCAGCTACGCTTGGTGTTTCTACATGGCCATCTTCTCGGGCGGCAGATGGATAAGAGGAGGCTTACTCCGTGCCCCACCAAGTTTCTGGCCCACAGCAGCTACCACTGGTTTACAAGAAGAAGCGGATCAACCTCCGGATCTGAAAAGTCAAGGTCTCTCCTTTTGGCATTTCCCCGGCCCTCATGATGGCGAGGATATCAAGGCGGAATTCAAACTGCGGTTGTCTGCTGCCGAGACGCTTTTCACGCCCGACGAACGCATCGACATCATCGAAGAGGCCAAGGCGATTTTCAAACAGTGTGCTGAGCTGGTTGATGAGCTGGATGACATGATTGGGACTAATATCCATTTTTCACCAATGAATGCTGCTAACGACGCTGTGCGCGACGAGCACCACTATCACCACCAATCAGAAAAACAACAAGAGGACGAAGTAAGGGTGGAGATGTGTCCACTCGAAAAGTCCGGTCTCATTGATCCAAACGTCATGCGTAGGGCGCAGAGACATGCTAGTCTGAGTAAACCGGAGCTAGGACTCAGGTCGTGGATCAAGAAACCAGAAGTCTCGGGCACAGTGCTGGCCATGGGGTGTTTGGCCTGCGTTGTTTTGTTCAGACTGCAGTGATTCATTGCATCCGGATATTTATATTTTTTCTTTACTTGTTTATTTTCAAAGGTGCATAGTTTGCGGCTGCCTGGGTGTTTTGGCATATATATACACATGGGTTTGGTGTTTAGGGTTTAATGGGCTTGGGAATCGCTGATTTTTTTTAATCATGTTTGAAGAGATGAAGGGTTACTCGGGGGTTATATATACATGGCATTTTCATTCTTTTTTTCGTTTAAGATCTGCCAATGTTTGTCAAAGGTAGCATTTGTTGCATAACTAGCGGGATTGGACTGTCGAAATAGGATACCCCTCCTCCTCTTTTCTGAGTAACATTTGCCATGGTTTAGGTTTTGTGCCGTATGTTTGCTTTCTTTCTTCACATGGCATGTCACGAGATAATGTGTCGGCATTGATGTTATTGTACTATCCCTCCACTTGTGGCGGAAAACCCTGCGTGGCGGCATGCCGGCACCGCTCCCATCCCAACAAAGCTAAACGCAGCGGAGAGACCTAGAGAATCTCGGGATAGAGACTTTTACTCTTAATTATTTCCTACGTATCACCTCTTTGTAAGGCGACTCTTGTGTAGCTAGCAATACCATAATTCGCTGCGGGCATAGATGGCAGCTCCAACTCGGCCAGCCTCGGATGCGCTAGAGGTTGTATGCATACAGCTGAGGGTCTGTAAAGCTATAGAGAGACATTTTAAGAGTATATCCTGAGCGAAATGCTATAGCATCTTTAGTCGTAGCGCTGTGGTGCAGGTATATTAATCTACAGAGCAGGATTAACAACTAAGGCGTGCTACCTGTAAGTCGTACAGAAATGCCGTATAAGGTTTAGTGGTATTCTATTAGCGCTGATGTCGGACTCTTGTCCCGCGAGCGTAGCTTAGATAAAGCCACCTGGCTAGTTAGTTAGCGGCTGAAGCTAAGCATTGTTAAGGGCGAAGAGGCCTTCGAACGAGTGCGCATTAACCTATATTACAGAAGAAGAAAGATAAAGAAAGTAAAGCTATCGTACGACGTCTCTCGCTTTATACTCTTGCCTTAGGTTCCTTCGCACGAATAAGGTTTCGTGACTAAGCGGTGTGAAGAGGACACGTGATACAATCACGTGTTTCACTCACGGGCGCAGCCCATTACAAGCATGACTTGCTTATGCTCGAATACTTGCTTAGACACTGCACTAGAATTTATATAGACCTGTTTTTAGAGCGAATAATGATTTGTAGAGATTAGGGCTTACATGCAGTCCTGTAGTAGTATTGAAAATAGCTTAGTGTAACGGCGCAGGCAAGACTACTCGGATCAGTATTGGCAGTAGTGTCACTCAGAGGCATATGGGAGTGCGTGGGACGTCAAACGAGCCTTGATTCGAATAGACACTTATAGGTCTTGTACGAAAGGATATCAAAAATCTATCGAGCTACTATGGAGAACGGGTGGGGTTTTATATCAGCAGATCTGCCCTAGGCTAGTTCGTGCCCATGTTCGGCTCCCTTTCGGATGTTAGTTCGGTAGGTACTCGAACCGTTACAAATAGCCGGATCCTATAGTACCTTGCTGATAATATTAAACCACCCTATGATCTTATTATATATGTGTACCTCGTAACGCTTCCAGTCTATAGCCCTCACTCTCTTCAATTTAAGTTTAGGGTGGCGCTTCCCAAAGGCCTGAGCCCAATTCTTACTAGGAGGCTTCTTCGGTCGAGTCGTGGGGGATCGACGTCAGGCGATGCTGAAGGCTAGCATTGGTATATACTTAATGCGGATGGGTTGTCTGAAACTAGACATTAGTAGCAAGAACGTAACTAGTGCTTTCTCCTCTTCTACGTTGAGGTATTGCTGGGCTTGGGCTTTTTTTTCTATCGAGGGCCGTCCTCGCCAACGATTATATAGCGTGGTAAGCGCGATACCACTGGCATCGGCTCGGGCAGCCCATATTCTCTTATGGTATAGCGGAGCCTCTACAAGTGCCTTGCTAGCAGAGTCCATTTCGACGATGGTGGTGGTACAGCAGCCATAGACAGCTAGCTAGCGAGGATGCCTCTACTCGCTGAACTGCTAAAAATAGCCCTTGTCTATGGATGCTTCTAGAAGTACACCGCACTTATGCTAGCGCCCTCCTGTGTAAAGCTTGCGAAGCTGGCTCTCAAGCAGCGGTCATTAGTAGTCAACGAGGTTAGCATTGCGGCATAACGACACAAAGTAGAAGGATATAGTGAAGTCTTAGCTCGTTCCGCAGAGCGCAGTTAATGAGCGCAGCGTCGATCAGAGCAGATGCGAGCGGGCGATTGCCTGCAGCATACGCCGGAACTACGTTCCAGCCGTTGCTTGTGCGCAAAAGGCTTGCTGTCATATTCAAACTGTCGCGGCTGGGCAGGCGCTGCAACTGGCCGCCAACCTGTTCTATCAATATAGCGCGACGATGCTGTTATGTGGCATCAATACGTATTCGATCATGCTACAGCCTTAGTGATTCCTTTTGGCATTCTTTCTATCGCTGAGTTGCCGCCATAATATGACACCTTAACATCAACTAACTATCCAATATGTATGTTGCCGTGAATGTCTCTCCCCTGTACACCACGTTCATTGTTGCCGAACCTCATGTTCGTTGTGCCTACGGATTGCTGAGGTGTAGACCGCTCTGCAGACAGCGCACTACTCGTAGTGTCCGCCGTGGGGACCCTAGACAACAGCCCTTTAGCATACGCTGCCGCCGTAGCTGCCGCGTAGTTCTGCCAGCCCTTGTTCTTGTGCGAGTCTGCATAGTCGCAGATGCCACGAACAACTACACACGGATACTCGTCCATGACTCCTGCTGCTTCCATCTCGAAACAGATTACATCATGTTCTTTCCGCAATCTTTCGCGCTCAATAGCTGATATTTGCAGCTGATTGCTCGACGCGATGTTGCCAAAGTGAACAGACGGCGTGTCGACTAGTCGAGTAGCTCCGGCTCCTCGATCAGATCGCGAGTCGATGCAGTCCGCATCGCAACACACTTTACAATCGTCGAACTCAGTGCCTTTATGCCCGTAGGTGTCTTTAAAGAGCCTATCTTGACTAGGACCTGGGTCGGCGTACTGGCGCTTTTGTTCGTCGTTAAGCTTAAGACGCATTTGCTTCAGAACCTCTGCAATGTTCGTCTTAGACCAGCCCTCTGCGCGAAAGTTGTTGACCGCGGCCATTAGGTCACCTGGAACGCCGTTGGTGTGTCCACGAAAGTTTAGTCGCCCTTGACCCTCCCACGCGCCCTTGTCGTACTGCAATACTCCGCCATGGTTGCTTCGAGGAGAGCTGACCACCACATCGCCAAGCACAATCTCTGAGACTGCACCAGCTGGCCCATAGCGAGGCACGCCGCCAGCGATGCCGACAAGGAGAAAGTACCTGATGTTGGGGAACCCAGCCCGCATCTTCTCAGCAAGGATTGCGACACCAGTCAGTCCTATCCTTCGCTGCACGCCAATAACGACCTTGTGTTTTCCAATCTGGCCGCCTAGGTAGTATGCGTTCTGGTACTGGACCTCGTCTTGGGGGTACTCTTCGTCCAGCACCAGCCTCGCCGCCTCTTTCTCTAACGGGAGCGGGCAGATCCATCCTATGGTGAACTGGTGATTCTTAGCCATTGCGGTAGCCAAGTCTTTCTCGACAACTAATTTTGATAAAGAATAATGCACATTACTAAGTAGCAGAAATAGGGAGGAGCGGAGGTAGTTGGCGCGCAGGTCCAACCAATGACGGTTAAAGGCAGCTGAACGAGGATTCAGGCAGCAGCACTATGTAGGCTGCGTTTCAACCTGATTACTACCGCCCGGCGACTTCTTAGATGAACTTCAATCAGAACTCCATTCTTCGCCTAAATATCTCTAGTTAAGGGCTAGTTATATTGCTTTATACATAGTTATATAGAATCTACTCTTATAGCGAAATATATTTATCACGAAAGGCATCAGCTCTAGGCCTTGAGAGCCTGAGATGCTCAGCCCACCTGCTCCACCAGAACCACAAAGCAAGCGTTGTAACAGTTAACGGAATAGACAGTGCCCGGTATATCCAGAACTGACGGGACATAGCAAACGATGACTGTCCCGCCTCTGTTTCAACCTCAAACGAGAAGAAGTTGGTTCCAAAGATTGTCTGTCCAACGAGTCGTGTTAGCCGCACGCGGATATATAATAGTTAGCAGAAAGGCACTATAAAACTCACAGAGATAAAGGTGGCTGGCAAGAAAGTCATTGTAACCACAGCGATCGCCTTCATCGCCGACGCTTCTCTCTTCGCTTCTTCCCCTATCTGCAGCTGCACCTTGCTGTCCCTCTGTGCGGCAGCGTTGAAAGCCTGATGTCGTAAGCTTAGAGAGCCGCTATATACTGCCTGTTATAGACTAGACTTACTAGGGTGATTTCATTTTGGATTCGCGCGTTGTTCGCTTCAGATCGTTGGAATAAACCTCGTAGGAGGCCGAGCTGGAACTCAAAGAGACTGCCGACTTTGTCCCAGCGTCCGCGACCATTCTTACTGCAGGCGAGGGTACTGTTAGTACAGAACCGCTCATGGTGATGCTGCATGGCGTCGAGGGACTGTATAGCGACGCTAAGAGTCTCGCTGACGTGTACCCCGTGTCTGGCAATCTCGTGTAAAAGGAAATAATCAGTCTCCATTAAACTTTTCTGCTGCCGGTGAGCGTCATCAATGTTAGCGACAGGCGCGGTGAACGAAACTTACAGCCTCCCACCTGCTGATGTGGTTTCTGATCGCCCAGACCGAGTCATCATACAGCCGAAGCAGCGCATCTAAGACGAGAAGAAACGCGGCGTATGGACAGGAGCGAGAGACGCCCTGCGACCAGCTCATTGACTGTATATGCGACTGCGACTTCGTAGGCAGATCGAAGCACAGCAGCGTAACCGACCCTGACTGTGTCCAGCATGCGAAAAATCCCATCTCGTACCATTCCTATCCGTGCCGCACACTCTGCGGCCCATGTATCGCGATGTCGGTGTTCCACTCGCTAGGGTTGTTGTGATGGTTAGAGATGTGTGGTGTGAACGTCCTCTTCGGCTGGAGCTTGTCGTATGTTTGCTTTACCGTAAAGCGGGCCCAATACGCTGGGTCTAGATGAGCGATATCCAGATAATATCCTGAGTTTTGCTCGCGCTACCGTACATACTGTAGAACTCCACTTCCTCATTCTTGTCTAGCCAGACGTCATACCCGCAAAAGCTGCTTGACTGAAGATACATCCTATCAAAGAAGAAGGAAGGGATCTTTAGCTTGCTTCTAAGAGTTTCCTGGAGCTCTAGTGTAGTGCTCAAGAACGCCTCGGTGGACGCGAAGCTATCTAGTATTAAATCGCAAGTAAAAGCTACTTGATTGGCGACTTACACGACTTGAACGCGCGTAACGTGTATGTTCTACAGCGACGTTAGTCGCTTCTTTGCAAACCCCTTGCTTCACTCGCCTGTAGCAGTTCTTCCCATCTTGTCTCTCGAGACTGGCAAGAGTGGGATACGTTGTACACTATTCATTTAGGTTAGTATTGTTTCTATCGTTTGGTGCGCAAGATACCTGCCTAACTGGATGACTTTGTCTGTGTCCATAGCGTTGCAAAGATTCCCTTGGTGTAAATAGTTACGTGATCAAAGGTTAATGGATACGCTGCGAATGCGACGAGGGACGGTGGAGCAAACAGACAAGCAACCAAGCGCATGCGTGTCCTTCGCTCCAGCCTTGGACCCCACAAGTGGCTGCTCGAAGTCGTCAGGCTGCATAGCCGCCAGGCTGAGGCCGAGGAGGTGCTGTGCCGCAGACTATCACCGCAAACCATCACCGCATACTCTATCACGGTATACACCACTAATCATGCATGCTCTCCTATAGAGATGCCATGGCCTCTACGACATCTAACACAGCGTTTGGCAACGCATACAAGAGCGTCCAAGCTAACAACATTAACGGCTCTGTCCACATTGGTACGTCGCGGGACCGTCTGAGGGCCGTTAAGCCGTCTGGTAGACATGGCACGCGCTAAGCAGACACGTCAAACAGGACTTGAGAACACACTCGACCGTCTCCCGTGCGCCGAAGATGCGCTCTTCAACTCATACGCTAAGCAGCACGAGCCTGCATGCCTCCCTGACACGCGCGTCGACCTGCTACAAGAGATATACAGCTGGGCAGATGGGCAAGACGAGCGGTGCATCTTCTGGCTGAGCGGTCTGGCAGGCACAGGCAAGTCGACGATCGCGCGGACGGTGGCGCGCAGCTACTACGATAAGCAGTGCCTGGCGGCCAGCTTCTTCTTCTCGCGCGGCGGCGGCGACGCAGGCCATGCAGGGAAGTTCGTGACGAGCCTTGCGGTGCAGCTTGCGCGCAATGTGCCAGCATTAAAGGAGCGCATCAGCGACGCAGTTGTAGAACGTGACGACATTGCTAGCCAGTCTCTACGCGACCAGTGGCATCACCTTGTCCTCGGACCATTATCGAAGCTTGGCAACAGTAACTGTCCAGCCTCGCTCGTTCTAGTTGTGGACGCGCTCGACGAGTGCAATAGCAACGACAATATCCGCATTATTGTGCAGCTGCTGGCTAAAGTGCGGTCGTCATTAACAGGTGCCCGGCTGCGGGTGTTGCTGACAAGCAGGCCAGAGGTGCCGATCCGACACGGGTTCCGCCAGATTCCTGAGGCGGAGCACCAGGATGTTGTGCTGCACAACATATCGCGGTCTATTGTCGACCGCGACATAGCCCTTTTCCTAGAATACAGTCTCCAGCTTATCGCACAGGAACGCTGTCTGCGCGCTGGCTGGCCAAGTACAGAGATCGTTGTGCAGCTGGTCCAGAGTGCAGACGGCCTCTTTATCTGGGCTGCAACAGCGTGTCGCTTTATCCAAGAAGGGAAACGGTTCGCAGCAAAGAGACTAGAGACAATCTTGTGCAATAGAGACACTACCTCTGTCGCCCCAGAGAGGCATCTTAACGAGATCTATACTACAGTGCTAAAGAATTCAATCCAAGACTATGCAGACGAAGAAAAAGAGGAGCAGTGTAGAGCACTTCGATATATTATTGGCAGCATAGCAGTGCTGTTCTCTCCTCTCTCTGCACAGTCTCTAGATCAGCTACTTGACGTTGCAGAAGGGGTTGGGCCGACGTTAGAAGATCTCCACGCGATTCTCGACATCCCAAACAATAGAAGCCGGCCAATCCGCCTGCACCATCCATCATTCCGCGACTTCCTACTCGATAGAAAGAGATGCGGCGACGACAGATTCTACGTAGACGAGAAGAGTACCCATAAAAAGCTGGCGTCTTGCTGTCTTGAGCTCATGTCAGCGTCTAACGGCCTTCGGCAGGATATCTGCAACCTCTTAGAACCTGGGGTGCTTAGAAGCGAAATCGATGAGAGCAAGATCACGGCTAGTTTGCCTCCCGAGCTGCAGTACGCGTGCCGCTACTGGGTCGATCATCTCGAGCGCAGCGGGCGCAGCATCGAAGACGGAGACGCCACGCACTGCTTCCTCGAAAAACATCTTCTTCACTGGCTTGAGGCTATGAGCCTACTCAACGAAACGAGTCTATGCGTGCGACTAGTGGCGAGGCTGCAGGCGCTAGCGACGGTAGAGCATTCCTATCTAAGTAACTATCGTGTTTCATGCTAACCTAAATGTAGCCGCCTAATAGTACTATCGCGGAGTTCCTCCACGATGTTATCCGATTTATGCCTGCGATTTGTACTAATACTCGCTGAAGCCCCCTCCAGATATATTCTTCAGCTCTTCTTTTCTCGCCTGAGGCGAGTATTGTGCGAAAGGCGTTTATTGAACAGGTACCACAGGCAGTGAGTGTGATTTCAGGGAGAGATGCAGAGTGGGACACATGCCGGAGTGTGCTGGAGGGCCATTCAGGAGAGGTCAGGGCGGTGGTGTTCTCGCCAGACGGGCAGCTAGTCGCCTCAGCATCCGAGGACACCACAGTGCGGGTGTGGGAGACAGCGACGGGACAGTGTCGCAGCGTGCTGGAGGGCCATTCACACGCGGTCAGGGCGGTGGTGTTCTCGCCAGACGGGCAGCTGGTCGCCTCAGCATCCTGGGACACCACAGTGCGAGTGTGGCAGACAGCGATGGGCCAGTGTCGCAGCGTGCTGGAGGGCCATTCACACGCGGTCAGGGCGGTGGTGTTCTCGCCAGACGGGCAGCTAGTCGCCTCAGCATCCTGGGACACCACAGTGCGAGTGTGGGAGACAGCGACGGGCCAGTGTCGCAGCGTGCTGGAGGGCCATTCATACGCGGTCAGGGCGGTGGTGTTCTCGCCAGACGGGCAGCTAGTCGCCTCAGCATCCCGGGACAGCACAGTGCGGGTGTGGGAGACAGCGACGGGCCAGTGTCGTACCTTGCTAGAAGATCAGCATTCACGTATCTTTCGCATCGCATTTTCGCCAGATGGCCGGACTCTGCACACTAACAGAGGGGATATCCCCCTACCATTAGATCTTATCACTGTTGCATCCGCCTTTCCAGCCCAAGAACTACCATATGCTGCAGTAGATAGCGAATGGGTATTGCGTCAAACATGGCGGTTTCTATGGCTTCCTCCTCAGTATCGGAACTGCGTCACGGCAGTGTATAGGCACACAGTGTGTCTAGGGTGCTATTCAGGGCGTGTAGCGATTCTTAGCTTCTCGTAGAACGTAGTTATTCTGTTACGAGTGCATAGACGTTATATCTACACTGCTACTCTAAGCTAATTCCAGCGCTGCTGCAGGACTATATATAAGCCTCTACCTAAGCTAACTACCACTACTATCTCCTCCTAAAGCAAGCACGCGTGGAGTCTAGATTGATTGATTGATTTAGTCCTACTCGGTTTCAGCCGCGTTTTCTCCGCAGCTATGTCCGGCATGGCTGGCGTAGCCAACAGCCGACGCTGCGCAGACGTTAATCCGCGCCGCCCCACGTCACTCCCTGAAGGGAGCCAGCTGTTCCTAGAGGCCTGCCGTTTCCCCTCCACCACTATCTACAATCTGGCTGCCACCTCATCTAGATAATGGCTCTACTAACACTATGCTGTGCTTATAGGCTCGTAGAGGCGTGTTGCCTCGTGTTTTGCGGCCGTGATACCTACAGTCTCCCCCCAGCGCTCGGCTGTCGTCTACGCGTCTTCGATCCCAACGTGCCCAAGGATCTGCGCTTGTTCTACAAACTGGATGGCTTTGGTGGCTAGCTGTGGCTTACTCAGGATGGCCCGAAGGTTGTGTCGTCCACGGAGGTTGCTGAATACCTGGTTCCGAAGGTCCTTGAGCGTCCTGCAGTGGAGCAGGATATGGGCGACAGTTTGTCGTCTCTCCCCGCACTGGCAGCGGGAGCTGGTAACCTCTGGCACTCTTTGGGTGGCGTGGAGTCTAGTGTGGGGTTTAAGCATGTATCTAAATACAAGCGAGTCATGCTTAGTCTTAGTCTTGGCCGCTAGTCAGGTGGCTTCTAACAAGGGTCTAGTATCAAGGCGGATAGAATACCGCTAAGCCGATTGCGGCATTTCTGTACGGCCTGCGAGTAGCGCGCCTTAGTTATCAATCCTGCTCTGTAGAGCAATAGACTTGCGCAGCAGCACCACGAAGTATAATGACGTAGTATCTCGCTCGGAATACAGTCTCTATGCGTCTTTTTATAGCTTGACAAACTCTTAGATATATACGTGAAACCTTAGGTACGTCCGAGGCTGCCCGAGGCGGGGCTGCAGTAGATGCTGGCAGCGATCTGTGGCATTGCTAGCCAAGTAGGAACTTGTAGGCGACGAGATAAAGTGTAGAGAAAGCTCTCAGGCTAAGGACTCTATCCGAGACTTGCTAGGCCTCTGGGCTGGGGTTGCGTTTGTTGTGGTGGGAGCATCACCGGTATGCCGCTACGCAGGGTTTTCCGCCACATGTGGAGGGATAGTACTAATACGCATGTGCTTCTTGATGTTTGGTCTCACGCTTGGTGTTTCATGTATTTAAGGAGTGACGATAGTTAGTTATTCTATATGATAAGTGCCGAAATGAAGATACATAAATAAGCAGCCGAGAACACAAAAACAAAAGGATGAAGGGAGGAAAGCAAAGATACAAAAGTAGACGCAGAGTGAGACTCTTTGTCAGAATGAAGGGATGGTAAGACTCGTCGGACTTGTTACTGCGTTTTTGGGGTTTCCGTTCTTTCAGATTCTTCTTTTGTCGATTTTGCTATTGAGGTGTCGTAAAAAGGTTGGAAAACAAAACTCCAGTGCCGTTATAGTTATTCTTGTGGGGGTTGCGCGTAAGACGATGATTTGCGCCATCTCTTCCTTTTGTTCTATTCGTGTTCTCAACCTTCGTAGTGTTATAGCAACATGGAGAGTACATACGAATTAGAAGAGATGGTGCCGTGTCCTGAGCGATGGTTTGATCGTTGTCATGGTGTTGTGGGACTTCTGAGAGTGGCCTACTTTCTATCGCCAGCCAAAGCACCATCTGTGCCGTGGACCTTGCGAAGATGATTGCGAAGATCGGCCTTGCGGAAGTAGCCCTTGCCATTTATGCGGTCACAGCCAGGCTGTGGGCACGGGAAATCGGACTCGTCATGGATGGTACGGCGGTGTTTGATGTATTCTGTTGAGGTAGAGAATGCAAATTTCTCTCCGATCTTGTGAGGAGGTTCTTGGTGATGGGAGCACCCTGTTTTTGGGCACCAACCACGTCCGAACCCCCTGTGTTCATTCCGGTCATCCTCGCCAATATGATGATAATTCCTGACGTGTTGCATAAGATGATCTCTACGCTTGAAACCGTTGGATCCCCTATACTTCTTGCAGTACTTGCAGGGAAAGCGTTTAGCATCATCGCGATGTTTTCTTTCGTGTCGTCGACGTGTGTCCCATCGAGCGAACTTCTTGTCGCAGTCATTGTGCGTACAGGCATATCCTAGATGGCCCTGTTCGTCACAATGAAAAGCCAATTCACGTGGATAGTGGAACTCCACCAGACATTGATCACATAAAGATTTGGCTGCACGCGGTTCATGTAGGCAGATTTCGGATTGCTTGGATGGCCCAGTCCAAGTTCCTTGGGTCTCTATCCCAAAATCATCCTCTGAAAAGCTTTCCTGCAAAGCAAAGGTGGATGGATATGCTTGAGATTGATCAAAAACACCGCTTGTGTAACAAGAATCAACGCTCGTGGAGTCACTCAAGATGCTGCAAGCCAGGATATAAGCACGAATGTCAATAAGATAGAGATGCAAAATCACATACTTGTCCACTTGATTCATATCAGCCATACCATTCGACTGATTGAGCACGTTGCTTCCAAACATAACATCATTTTCTGCAAGGAGATGACCTGTATGGGGTATGCCCTGGAACTGTGTGTCGGAGCTGATAGTTTGAGTCATCAACAGGAAGTGGCCATGTGGAAGCATGTCATCGACATAGTTGTTGTAGCCTGATATCGGATCAAGTATTTCGAAGGTAAGAGAACCTGATTCAGGAACACCGTGTAGTTCATTTACAAGCTAAGGATTGGTGGGGCTGCAAGAGGCTTTGGTCGGACCGCTACCCTTTTTGTTAGCAGAGTGTAAAAAAAAAATCTCACCCAATTTCTAGAAAGGCGTTCATGATTGGCAAGGCAAACTATAGCTGCAGTTTGACTAGTCGAAAGCGTCGAAGCGAGATGAGAGCCGAGTGTTGATGCGTTGGCAGTGGTAAAGCGGCAGCAAGGCTGAGAGAGGGTTGGGGAACGAACAGGAGCGAATTTGGGTGGAGAGCCAGGCTGGGGATCAACAGCACTACATACTGCCTCACAATGACACGACTCGCTGCTTTAACCAAGGCAGTTTAAGGGCCAGAGAGCATCAGGTTGGACCTATCATGGCGCTTCGGCTGCGATGCCATTGGAGGCAGTGGGAAAAGGGCCACTGCCCTTTTTTGGTGGACGAGAGTCAGTATGATGCAGGCTGAAGCAAGTTCCCGCCCTTGAGTCACAACCGAGAAGAAGGATCAGACATTCTCAGCGAGTCAAGGCTCCAGTAGGTACCCGAGTCGTTGCCGATAGTGCATTTGAAGCGAAGTCACAAGAGACTATAAGATGCAGTACACAAGGCTGGTCGTTTGGCTGTGAACAGCAGCCTTGAGAGCTGGCGGCAGTGGAAAGACGTTATACCCGAGAGGTGCAAGGCTACGACAAACCGTATCTAGCATTTCGGTTGATCAGGTATGTCAGTAGATGCAAAGGACTAAGAACACATCATCATTGAAGAAAAGAATCAAACACGCGAAAACAGTATCTGTTGTATGTAAATAAGACCTTGGAAAGTTCTTTCAATGTTAAAAAAATGCAAACCCATCAACCAAACCAGAACTCCTCGCTAGCCAAGATAATAACAATGTCAAGAGAAAATCATGGTGATGCTGCTGTGAACTGGCAAGCCAATCAAAACGTGCACGCTGAATGAAGCCGCTCAAATGAACTTCCTGACCACCATGAACAGCAGCGCAGCGACCAAGCCATAAATACATGTGTCAATCCAAGCAAGGTCAGGACTCGTTTGCGTGACTTGCTGGGGTGGCGATTGTGCAGGTGTGGTTCTTGTAGGTCTTATCACCGGCACGCTACGTGCAGCTTGAACAGGACTCGTACTTGGAGCCGCTGCCGTGGTTGCACAAACTCCCGACGATACAGCCGCTGTTTCTTTGCTAGCAGACGCCGTATCAGTCACACTCTCGACTGCGCGTCCTTTGCCCTTATCCATCTTGCTGTCACCATCCCCGCCTTTTCCCAGCTCGTCTCGATACGCCAGTCTCAGCTCCTCAGGCACTTCTTCCTCCTTCCTCTTTCCCTCTTTTTCCTCAATCTCCTTGACAAGCGCAGCCCTCTCTTCGATAATCTCGGCATTGCTCTTTGCGCACCCCGCGCACTTCCACGCCCCACTCTCTTTGGCCATGCGCTGGCGGGCTTCCTTACTGCACTCGATGCCGCCGAGCTGGCCCTTTGCATCCGTGTCCATGAAGCTTCTTAACGCAACGAGAGCTGTGCGGACGCCCCAGGCGGGCTGCCATGTCTCTTCGTGGTGGCCCGATATGCTGAGGCAGATCTCGCGATTGACTTCGAAGCGGCCAGTAGGGGTAAGGAAGCGGAACGATGGCGGTCGCAGCGGGTACGAAGAGGGGAGGATGATGCGACCGTGGTATATGCCGCCCGCGTAGGGTGACGGTTCCGGTGGACCGCAGATTGTAAAGTGCCACTCGAAGAGGTTGGTTTCCAGCGGCTCGGCATGGTAATCTGGAGAGGGCGATAAAGAGAGCTCTGAAGCTTCTTTCACTGCAATTCTCTTAGCTATGCGACAGCTCTGGTGAGCAGAACAGGTACGTACGTATGCGCTTGATAGTGGGGTTCTTGGTATTGAATTGCCCGCGAGTGGACATGGTGAAGGAGAGAGGTGTGTGTGTGTCTAGTTGCTAGAGCTGGGCGACGGGGTCAGTGGGAAGGTTAGTCGAGGATATTGAAGTCTAAGTATGTACGGATCAACAGTGGACATGCAGCGTCGGCGGTTGAAACGCAATGGCGCAGAATGCAACGTAGACGTCGACGCGCATTACGTCCTTGGTAAGCGCCGCACCGCCGATATCGATAAGCACGGCTCTCTCTCCTTGGCCTCCCATCTACGATGAAGCTTTTGCTGGGCCCTTGTTGATTGGATTGCACCACACGTAATCAAGTGAAAAGCATGAGCGGCCGCGTGGGGTTCACCTGGGCTGATCAAATCACCGTCTGGGCTGGCGACGCCCTGCATCCACCCGTGGCACTTGACGTCTGTCACATGCTACCATCATCCACGCCCAAACCACCATTTCAACAGCTTCATTGAGGTAATAGAAAACGTTAAATAACATTACCTGCTAAATTCGATATATATACATATGTACATTACTAAACACCAGAAACCATGGAGTCATCACCGCACTAGGCTATTAATATACGCCACACCTTCTTCCCGGTCACTGTCTCCTTCGACATAGCTTCGGTCCTTGCGGAACACAAAATTGTTGGCCTCGTCTGCGTAACTTGGCCACTCAGGCGTACTCGGCACTGCACTCTTTGTTAGCAGCTTCCCAAGGCTAATCTGAGCAATAATACATACCTCCATGACCGTTGGGATCCAGATCGTAGGCAAAAGCCGTCCACATGCGCATCACAAGCTTGGAGAGCGCGAGGTTCTCGGGTGCGCTCCCCAACGGCGTCATCTGCTGTTCCGTGTTGCCAAAGACGAACGGTATCTATGAATGTCAGCCTCGCCAAGTTCCACTATTGCGAACATGGGCTGTTACTTGCCTCGGAGAAATGGTTGATCCCGATATTATCTGGTGTGTTGTTGAACTTTGGTGCGTCCCACCGATATGAGTATACACGGTCCACATGCTCGCTCATGCTTCGAGCCAATAACCTTCTCGGGGCGTACATGGTCAGATCCGTCGCAATGCTCTGATATCGCTTGTATTGCAGCCCAAACTGCGGCCATGTGCGATTGCCCCATCCATATGGCAGCCCAAGCGCTGGGTCATCCGGGTAGAGCTTCAACAATGTTTCTGCAACACTCTCGTTGACATTCCAGCGCTTCGAGTGCACAAGCTCATGAATAGCTTCCGAGTCGCTGTCTACACCATTGACACCGAATCCCTCATCCGTGTTTGTACCAAGGATGAGCGGGATCTTGGCAAACTTTCCCTGTTTTAACGATTGCTGTCCGTATCTGGGGACAAAGCTACCGTCTATTACATGAAACCATTCAAGACCTCGATATCCATACGGCGCAATAGTCTCGAATGGCACATCGCGAAGACATTGAAGCGTGTCCTTCGCGCCTGCACACCCGACCGTTTCCGTTAGGTTGTTGTACATTTTCTGGTACCAATCCGTTCCGTTCAGCGGTGGGCCAACAGCGCCGCCACTCTCGAGTATAGCAGCACGGAAGAGGCCATTGTTCTTGCCGTTATAAGCTGCAATGTGGTCGCCGACAGAATATGCACCCGCCGACTCGCCCCATATAGTGACTTTGGAAGGATCGCCGCCAAAAGCAGAAATGTGCTTGTTGACCCACTGCATTGCAAGCCGCTGATCGCGAAGACCGAGGTTTTCCGCACCGGCTTTCTTGACCTCCTTGCTGTACAAGAAGCCGAATGCTGCCATACGGTAATTGATGGATATGCCAATGACAGGCTTCTTATTCAGCACTGACTGCTCCACTATGAAGCTCATGTTGTACCTGTACTGGATCAGAAAATGTCTCCCATCATTTCCGTTCTCTCTCTTACCGTGGATCACTTGTAGCCCCCTGTGTCCAGCCGCCCCCATATATCCACAGGAGAACTGGAAGCTTGGTCTCGTTCGTTCGCGGCTTGATGATGTTGAGATGCAAACAGTCTTCGCCGATTCGAGTCAAATTGCTGGCCACTAGTGCGTTGGTATCCCCCCCATAGCCTACGCAATCAACTCCGTATTGCGTGGCATTGTACACCCTCTTCGGCGCATTGTCGATGAGTCTAGCTGGAGCGAAGCGGTCGGGCTTGGGCGCATACTTGATGCCTAAGAAGATATCTTGATCAAACTCAGCAAGGTAACGACCTTGATATATACCCGAATTCGAGTGGACAACAGGAGAAGCTGCAGTGGCAAAACTTGTAAAGCCCGCCACTGCCAGATAAGCGCTGGAGAACTTCATGGCAACAACTAACTGCAGGCGATACTAGCATCTCTCCCTCTCTTCATATACTCCGAATAACATTACAAAATGCTGCGATTGAGAATAGAGGCGTTCTCGTATGCTGCGAAACTTCCACCAATCAGGCCCTCCTAGAGGCGTCCTACCGTAGCTTGGCGATGCAGTGTTGGGTCATTCTTTACACAACCCACTACCAATGACACCAACAGGCCTACCAAGTAATGGAACAACCTGAGATCCAATTCTTTAATCGCCAGTCATAACAATTATCTCTTATATCATCTTTGTCGTAGCAATAGCAGCGCTTTCATTCTCGTAAGTACTTGTGGTACACGCTCGACGCAGAAGCGAGACACAGCAACCGAACTCGTCACATTAGCCGGAAAACGCCAGGCCAAACCTGAATATGTGAAATTAATCCGGGGAAAGCAAGCTAGGCGGCTCCACACTTTACCCCCCGCAAAAAAAAAACGCCTCGCACACTGTTCTTTCAATCTGGCGTTTGAGATTTTCCGCGAGCACACACAGAGTGCATTGTGTGTTGCCGATTGTCGGTGGTGGAATACCCGATCGCCACCTCTTGCCTACTTTGCGCATTGAGCAATACACGAGTAGAGCAAATGAGCGGAGGTGGATGCTGTTAGCTTGGCAAAAGGGCTAGTGAGATTGGGATCGATCGAAGGTCGTATCCCGGGTTAGCTTGCTGCATAATCCACGTGCAGGACGTATGTGGAAGCGCTTGTGGTGCGTGTTATGCAACTTGATTGATGGTTCTGGGCCACGTGAGAATTTTCAAGATAGATTGGAATGGGTCGTTCTAGATCTTTTCTCGTATTCTCTGGATTTGCATAGGGATTGGGGAAGTATCGAGAAAACTGCGATGAGTTTCGTAGTACATGCACTTTTGCTAATGCAACTTTGTGAATCGAGATTGCGGATGATTTCATGTGAATAGTAGAGCAGTGGAGCTGGGCAGCTTCTTGGCACTGAGGAGGATGCACAGATGATACGGCAAGTATTCGAAAGCGATTCATAGTTGAAAAGTTTTTAGATTCGCCGAACATATTCAGCGTCATGATAGGAGTTAGCCACAACATTGTCTTGTGAGTGCACACTACGCTGGTGTCTAAATGCCCGTCTCCGAAGACGACTCCCTACAAACTCTCCGATGCTGCCCCTAAGAGCAAAACAATTTCAACCCGCCAACAATTCCTTTTAACAAAGAGTCGACAATCAACTCTGCGGCATTGCTGATTTGCCAATTCGTCAACGCTCATTCTGGTTATGTCCAAATACGACTTGTGAGCGCTATTCGGCTAACTTGTGGATTCTGAGTGCTGGAATGTCCAACTACACCAAAATACCACAGAGGATCCATCTACCATCAAATATCCAAAGACACAACTAACACTTTACATATGAATCATTCAAACACAGAATTGAAGCCGCAGTCACATTTACATGGAGTAATGGAGTCAGTAAGTACAATGCTTCATGACAAAACCTTTGAAAACATTGACAGTAGAGGAGGCTTTGGACCCGAAACCCCACTTGGTATCATTGGGATTTCCAAATTCCTAATCTCAGTCCACCACTTTGCCATTCCGCATTGTGAATTCCTTCTCTATGGATTGGGGGTTAGGTGCGGACTTTCAACCCGCAATCTTGACTGTAAGGTATTCCGTAGTGGCCGAGGTGTCTGGAAATTGGACAAGCTTAGGGTTATCCCGATTATTGTCATGTCAACCCACTCGATGTATCTTGTATCCCAAGTCAAAAATCGGTTGCCTCTTCGTTCAAATGGAGACTGGCGGTGCTATATGTCGCGCAGGGTTGGTGTTTACTGCTTTGTCCTAATGTGCACTGGGGACATGCGAGTAGTAATGACGAGTTGAGTTGCCTCCTGTGCCCGGTTTGATCATCGACAGGCGAAAAAAAAAACGCGTTGTTGTCATTTTGCCCTACTCCTGGACATACATGCACGTACAGATCAATGTATGAACTACAGCTTTTCTCTGTCAAGTACAAGCACAGGACATCGAGACAATCGGTCCCTGAGCGCAGCCCTTATTCAAGTTTCAATCTTATAGGGCTATGCGCGATTACTCAGCGCAAATGTAGGACAGCATATGGTTAAATGATATAAATGTCGAGCAATGGAATCATGAGGCAAAACGAACAGGGAAAACATCCTCGGGCGACAGAAGCAATTGCGAGGATTGATCCAACAGAGTGTGATGAAAGAATCCCTCGCTTCACATCTCTAGTACTCTTCTCTGCCAATCTGACTTGTGGTAAATTGAGGATATCAATGATGTTCCAGATGACTGCCATCCTCAGGCCTTCTTGGGTGGATAGTTGGGCTTGGCGAGATTTCAATCACGTGACCTAGACGCCCCGCGTCGATCATCGTCTTCCGACGAGCAGCTGGTTGGTCTTCAACCTCGTTCGCATCGCCAAGGCAAGTGTCTTTCTTGTTTCCTGGGGCAATGCGATGCTCATGTAGCCTGGCTCGCCAGATGACCGCGGACCCCAATTATCGACACTGTGCTGATAGCCTCACTTTACCTATACCTCCTGTTATATGCATACATCGACGAGGAATTTTTTTGGTTCTCGATCATGCTATCATTTTCTGAAGAAACCTATTTATGCTGTTTCTTGCAAGAATACCAGCTACACGGTCATCGTGGCAAGTTCGATGTTGCCGGTTTCGGCTGGCTCGTCTAGTAGCCAAGATGCGGGTCGGAAAGACTCGGTGTGGTGGCATGGAGTAAATCTTCCGAAGAAATCCATTCCTGTTTATCTACTGTGTAAGGACCGAATTCGATGCGGGGTGGGCATTGATAAGAAAAATGGTACTAGTCGTAGACCGGATGCTGGTATGACGATTACGAACCCGTCTGTCCCTTGCAGAGCTAATGTAGTTGTTCAGATTGGTATGAATGTTGAGATTGTGAAGTGTTTAATCATCGAGATATCAACCAAGAAGAAACGTCCGGAAGGATGTTCTGGCCTTTGTTACCCAGGTCCAGAGGCTTGGTAAGGATGTATTTGGATCCGATCAGGTCGAGGAGCTGCAGTATGTTTTGGTTGACTTTGGGTCTGCGGCAGGAGATCTGCTTCGTCAGAATGGTGTGGGAAGATTAGCTCATTATCACATGCGGGCTGGATGAATACAGATAAGCTCATGTTCTAGAGGTCATGTTCTGCTGCCAAATGATGCAAGTGCTTGGTGTGATTGAGCTGGCTGGAAGTGCGATCCCTAGCTGCTTTCATCGCTGTTGAATTGTCGGATTGTATGTATTAGTTTGGCCTGGTGTCGGGGCAGCGTGCTGCATTCATTTGCATTTGTGTATGCGGGAGCAGGTCGGGTGGGCACGTGATTCGTTGTCTTGTGGGCGAGGGATTGGACACGCCCGCGACAGTCGCTTTGCCGCCCACAGTCGCCCTATTTACCTACCATAACGGTCGTTGATGGGCTTGCACTAGTGATGCAAGTGTTGGAAAAAATGGTGTGTGCATGTGTGTGTGTGTGTGTGTACGTGTGTGCGATGGTGCAGAAGCTCAAACCATCTGGCGGCCTTGTAGCCAGGGACGGGCTGGAGACGGTGACTGTTTCGGTACTTGCTATTCGCTGCATGCACGGTGAAGGCGAGGGACAGCACTAGCCACACGGCTGCATAGAAGTAAGTACATATCGGCATAGATGTGTACATATGCTTACACAGTCAGATGCAGTGATGGCACCCAAACACAAGTACGGCGAGTGTGCCACAGAGCGATGATTGCGGGCTCGGGGAATTTAGGAAGCACGGGGAGGGTCTGACCGAGTGCATGGCGTGGCAGGGGGTGGCTGCATGCCGCAGCCCAAGCCGACGTGGGCTGGCAGAGTCGCTATCGCATGCCGACGGCGACATGTGGTATTGCTTGCGAGTACTTGTTACGAGTGGCTGTGGTTCGTCTAGGCGGACTGCAGGGTGGGTGGGTGATTAGTTGTTGTCAAGGAGGGTGGAGGCCTTTGCTCGGATTCTCTCCCGAAACAGCGGCGGAGGCCTAAGCGAGGCGAGGCACAACCAACACCACACCACACCAAACCCCTAATAACGCCCTAGCATGCCAAGCCTAGACCACCATTTTCCGGGGGCAAAAACCTTGGGCCTTTGTGTTGGGGGCAAAAAACCCGCCTACCAGCTCATCTGCTCCATGGATCCAAAGACAGGTACATGGTGCAATCCGAGTGAGCAGAGAGTGCTGCTTCACTCTCACGCCGGGCTATGATGCCATGCCATGCCATGCCATGGCACTCCCGCTCAAGGTCCTTCACTCCTTGGTATCCCTATCCCTATTCCTATCCCTATTCCTATCCCTACCTACTCACCACAATCCTCTTGCACAGCGTGTGGGCGGGCGGGCGTGCGGCGGAAAAACCCAATCGAGGGCCCACCATCCACGCCTGGGCCTCTTCGGAATTGATGAGCCCCGTAGCAGATCTTCAGGGCCCACGGGGCTTCGTGTTATCGCCTCCCAATCCGGTTACCCTGCGGCTCATCTCCCTGGACCCTGAACCCTTTTTTTTTCTCTTTGCAACTTCGACGGCCATACAGTGCGGCCATGTAATTCTCCTTCTCGCTAAACCCCCTCGAAAAAAAAACACATCAGACTCAATGACGCGTAGATTTGGAATCCCACGCATTGGCTTACCCCCATATTCCTTTGACCCTCTGGTCGGCTATCTTGCCATGTCTCCCACGCGGCTCACCGCAACGTGTTCACCCCTGGGACAGCTAGGGCGGGCTGTGCGCCAACGTTGAAATCTCGGTTCGAGACCCACTGTTACGTACCGCCATAGACACGAAGGCGGTGTCTGATGCACATCGCTGCCCTCGCAACGTTGAAACGTATGTCGGGTCCGTTGAGCTTAGGCTGTATCAAGGGGCAGAATTTTCGTGTTCAAACCCAGCCGCTATCGGTACAAAAGGCTGACCACCGTCCCGCCCCGTGTCTGAACGAGTGTCCCTTCCATTCCCTTTCTTTCCAACCATGATTACGACCACGTCCCGCACCCACGAGACTCCTGTCAAGACCAGGCTCACAGCCGTCGCCGATGTCAGGCCCATTCCCGACGTCAAGACCCTCAAGGATGCCATTCCCGCAAAATGCTTTGAGCGCTCCATGCTTCGCTCCTTCTCTTACGTCGTCCGTGATCTTATCATCGTCTTCTCCCTTTTCTACGCCGCTGTACCCCTGTCTCGGCTAGATGCTCCATGGTTCGTTACCGTTCCCCTGTGGGCGCTATACAGCTTCGTCCAGGGATGTTTCTTCACTGGTCTCTGGATCCTTGCACACGACTGCGGCCATGATTCTTTCTCCGAGAACCTTACCGTCAACGCCATTACCGGCTGGTTCCTCCACTGCATGTTGATGGTCCCCTTCTTCAGCTGGAAGTTCAGCCACGCCCGCCACCACCGATACCACAACCACATGGACAAGGACACCGTTTTCGTGCCCCACCGCAAGTCCGACGTCGAGGCCAAGAAGACCAAGCCAACCATCCTCGAAAAGATCATGGATCACTCAGCCGCCGACACGCCCATCATCACTGTTGCTTCTCTCATCTTCCACCAAGTCCTCGGCTGGCCAGCTTACATTCTGATGAATGCCGGTGCTGGCAAAAAGAGCTTGACAAAGGGAGACCGCTACACTTCGTCTCGCTACAAGCAAAGTCATTTGGATCCCACTGCCCACGTATTCACACCGTCCGAGGCTCCTTTTGTCGCTCTTAGCAATGTCGGACTCATCCTCACCATGACTGCTCTGTATGTCTGGTCCCGTAGCGTTGGAACCTCAACTGTTCTTCTCGCATATGGTCTGCCTTACCTCTGGATGAACCACTGGATTGGTAAGCATGTCGTTCCTCGAGCTGCAAAGTACTGAAAACTAACTCTCCACAGTCGCTATTACTTACCTTCACCACACTCACCCCGAGGCTCCTCACTACGAGGCTGACAACTGGACTTTCATCAAGGGTGCAGCCTCCACTGTGGACCGCGATTTTGGCTTCATTGGCCGTCACATCTTCCACGGCATTATTGAGTACCACGTTGTTCACCACATGTTCCCGTAAGTTTGCCTTGTACCGAGCCACCGCCATATCTTGCTCGCTCCATATCTTCGCGCCGAAACCAACTGACGTATATTAGACGCATTCCCTTCTACCATGCTGAGGAGGCCACCTGGGCTATTGCCCCTCTTCTTGGCGAACGCTACATCCAGCAAAAGACCAACTTTTTCGGCGATTTGTGGCAAAGCTTCACCACTTGCAAGATTGTTGAGCCCGGAACTGGCGTCCACGCTGGAGGATTGGTATGGTCCAAGACCAAGGCTTAAGGTTGCGCAGTTTGGTTAGCGAAATGAAACGAGGCAAATGAAATTAGACTCTAGACAATAGAAGGTTTAATCCGATTCTATCTTTCAGTAATCCTGTGTACATGTCTGAAGGCAACTGGGCGAGACGATATATTGGCACAAGATTTGGTCGGTGTTGGCTAGGTGAACTGCCGCCGACTCATGACGTCTTGTCTTGGTAATCTCGGATCACGTGAATAGCCAAGGTGGTGCAGACATTCCAACTCTTTTGAGCTGACTGATCTAGAGAACTCCCTAATCTCCAGAATCCATCTCAGAGACAAGACTATCCCTTTCGTGTTGCCAAATACCAGGATCCTGTTCGTGTGGGGGGTTTTTTTTTGTGGCTGAAATGTCACTATCTATCTCACGTTAGCTCCCTTCACCCGCAACTATTTAAGTCTTGCAGCCCACGTTTTGCCTCCTCCATGATTCGTCCAGTTTCTCCTTTCCCATACATACCTTGACCGCAACAGGTTAGTAGTCATCTGAAATGAAATCTCCTACGCTTCTAGGTTCGCATGGCCCCTCATCGAGATCCAGCGGGCCGGGTATGCGCAATGACTATGTTCTTACAGTCGGGCCTACCCGAAACTTCAGGATCTCTAATGCGGGGGTGGGGCGTCTGTATCCCTCTCCACCACATCGGCAAATGTCCCACAGCTTCCACAAAGACTTCTCGTGAGATGCTTGGGCAACCTTTAAAAAGCATGTCTAAGCAAGAGAATGATGCCCAAACTTCAGAACTCAATACATTAGCAAAATGGCCACCGTGGATGTTCAACAACCTGTCGTTCCACCGACACCCCCTAACGTCGACTCGGAAGAAACGCCCCAGCGAAAGACCGACGATATCTTTCACGGACTCACCTCAAAATGGCCCGTCGCTCTAGATCTCGCAGGCGGAGGTGCACCTTGCCGTCTGGAGGGTGAAGTAGGCGATTTGGTCGTCTTGGGCGAGATTCCAAAGGAGCTAAACGGCACCTTTTACCGCGTCATGACGGACCCATTCGTCCCGCCCCACCCCAACAATGTTCCTCTTGATGGAGACGGCCACATATCCGCCTTTCAAATCCACGATGGAAGAGTGGATATGAAGTTGAAGTATGTTGAGACAGAGCGCTATCTGATTGAACGCCGGGCCAACAAGGCCATGTTTGGCCTTTACCGTAACCCTTATACGCATCATCCATGTGTGCGGGCCGCAGTCGACTCAACCGCAAATACAAACCTTGTTCTTTGGGCAGGACACCTGCTAGCACTCAAGGAAGGAGGGCTGCCTTACTCGGTAGATCCTAATACCCTCGAGACTGGAGTATATGATCCCTTTGGCCAAGTCAAGTCCAAAACATTTACCGCACATCCCAAAGTGGACCCGTATACGGACGAATTAGTCGTATTTGGCTACGAAGCAAAAGGTCTTGCGACAAGAGACATTGTCGTGTATACGCTGGACAAGGAGGGAAAGAAGAAGGATGAGCAATGGATCCAGGGTCCTTGGGTTGCTGCCATCCACGATTGCGCCATCACTCCGAACTGGCTGATTCTCGTGCTGTGGCCTTTTGAAGCCGATGTCGAACGCATGAAGCGTGGCGGTCAGCACTGGGCATGGAACTACGACCGCCCCGCAACTTTCGTCGTCATACCGCGCAGAAAGAGCACCAAGCTCCCGCCTGGCTGGAAGCAAGGCGAGTGGAGAGTGTATCCTTGGGAAAACTGTATGCTCGTGCACACCGCAGGAGCATGGGAAGGCGAAGACCACAAACTCTACATCGAAACCTCTCGCGTTCATGACAACGCCTTTCCCTTCTTCCCCCCCGACGACGGCAGAATGCCCGAGCCCGACGCAAAAGCCGATTTTGTGCGTTGGGAACTCGACCTCACCAAGCCAACCGATACCCGCCTCCCTGATCCCGAGATCATTGTCGATGTGCCCTGCGAGTTCCCCCGCATCGACGAACGCTTCAACACCAAGCCTTATCGATATATCTTCTTGGACGCCTTCATGCCCTCGCGCTCCGACGGCGGCAAAAACATTTTCCACGGTCTCAACGCGCTCGCTATGAAAGACAAACAGACAGGCAGCATGCGCTTCTTCTACGCAGGCGACGGCTCCTTAGTCCAAGAACCGGCCTTCATCCCCCGCTCCGACGATGCGCCCGAGGGCGACGGATGGATCGTGACGATGGTGGAGAGGAGAGAGACGAACAAGAATGATATTGTAGTGATTGATACGCGCGAGTTTGAGAGGCCGGTTGCGATTGTCCAGTTACCGATCCATGTTAAGGCGCAGGTGCATGGGAATTGGGTTGACGCGGGGAGTTTGAAGGAAAATAAGAGTTTGGTGAGGGAGCCGAGGGTGGTGAAGGTTAGTGGAAAGGGGGCTTTGGAGCCGATTGAGTAAGGGGGAGGGGATGGATTTGGCTGATGGTTTTACTTGGCGCTATTCGCAAGTTGGTAGTTTTTGCAACTTTAGTGGCTGTTGCCTTGGTGTTGGTCTTCCAATTGTGATTGTGATCGTTTTTTTTGCTATCCGTTTTGGTTTTACCTCCATGAATCTTGGCTCTATCCTAGCAACTACATTATCATTGGGTACTTTCGGAAAAGTAGTGATGATGAAATCAATAATGTATAGTGTACGCGACTCTCGCAGGGGGCACGTAGAGAATGTTTGATCGCGCCGATGCAAAGTCTCTCGGTTCTGGTGACGTGGGGATCTTTAGTCAGAACAAAGCATCGAGCTAAGCTGTTTGTATACGTGTACTTGGATGTGAATTGATGACACGACGGCGTAATTGCCATCTTTGCTTCTCGGCAAAATCTTAATGGAATACGATCCTGTTTGATTTTTGTTCTCGCATTGAAGATACTTTGTAGTAGGTGGCTGCCAAAATCGCTGTGGCATTACTATACAACTGCTAGACTGACTATGTTAGTGGGCAGAAGCTATTTGCGATATCGAAACCCTACATGCGGGAATGCCTTCGAGATTGCCAACGCTATACCCCTGAATAACTTGTAGTTGTCTTGCTCCGCCGATTTCAGCTTTCTCCATATTACAGCCGTGAATACGTAATCTGTAATCATACCGGAGGTAAGAGAAGCCTTGGTACTCAGTGCTTACGGTGCTAAGGGCTGGATCCGTGCGGTACCTCTGCTAGTCACCATAGTGCGACTATAGGCTACTAATGACAAACATACTCTTCTTTGGATAAGTCTTTTCCTGATTCAGAAGAGAGGAATACGAGGTTAGTTTCTTGTAGTAATTTTACAAGACGCTACGCTATAAATGGCATAGTAGTTTCCAACTTGAGGTATGCCATCACACTAGTAATTTGTTACCCACCTTACTAGTGGCTTGGATCTATGGTTTTGCCCTACAGCTATAGTAGTCTCGGATCATTTGTACCAATCGAAGGCTGTTTCGATAATTCACTCCTACTAATAACCCGGATCTTCTCGGAGCGGCGGAATCTGTTGGTCGCAGTGGCGGTCAATGACCTCGGCGGTTTTTCTTTTTATTGCGCATACAGCTAGGAGAGGGAGATGCCCAAGATACAGTATAAATATCACAACGTCCTGACACCAAACAGTTATCATCAATCTTACTCATCTCTCTCCTCGCACATTGAAACCCTACAGCTCTTCACACTTCTTTACCAATCACCAACATGAAGCTTTCTTTCGTCCTCCCCTTAGTCTTCGCTGCACTTGCAGTCAGCGCTCCAATTGAACCCAAAAACGCAAACAACGAAATCGAAGCACGTAATAATCGTGGGTGTCTTGTATGTTTTCTTCTCTTCAGTACAACAAAGGCACTATTCTCACTTGTATTAGAAAGTTTTTCGGTGCCGCGGTACTATGTAAATAAAGCCTGACAATGGCCAATAGTCCTATGGAGTTCTCTATACGGTACTACGTGTGCCTCTCAACAGAGTTGTGGTTTGGTGGACTGTCTGCAGGTTATCCGATTTGGTAGAATCGGTGAAGAATACAATCAATTCGCCATTACTCAACCTGTCATTTCTTCACTAGCTTCTTTAAATTCCTTAGTCTTTCCCATTTCCTCTAAACCTTTGCACTAGATCAGTGAGGAGAGGATTATTCATAGGAGTGTCTTTTAGAAAATAATCATTAATGCCGAGACTAAGACTCCAACGTGCAAGTGAAGATGTAGATAGCTGCGCATATGTGGAAACTCACTTAGACGTATTTCTACCGCTCCTTCATCCCAAAGACAACTTGCATAATGGAACAAAACATAGAGCATCATACCTATTCTTCATAAGTGCTAGTAAAATAACTAGCACTTCATAATAAACTTTTCTCAAAAAGTCAAATCTCAATATAACATAGCGGTTGTGTAAGCCATCTGGAAGTCGCATCAGGAAGCGAACACAGCTCGCCCCATAGACCAAGGGCCTTCAGTTAGCTAGAAGTCCGCAAACTAGCCGATCTCTTATACAACTGAAAAAACCGGAAAATCAAGTGAGTAGCTATTACCTACCAGAACTCACTATTCGTATCATACTAGATCATCTGCACCATAAAGTGCTTATTTGAATATAAAACACATAAAATCAATGCGCAAAGTTTACTTTCACTATTGCTAGATTTTTAATAGTAATTGAGTTGACGCTTAATAGAGTTGTAGCCACTAAAGAAATGAACAGGTAGTGAGTTAGCGATGTATTAAGGTGGTTTTGCACTGCTAAGAGTGGTCGCTATTTTTCACTCTCGTTGGATGCATGATAGCTGATGTAAGAATCGCAGGGATTGTGACAGTAGCAGTGCACTAGCTAGGGTGAAGCGAGATTTTTCGATAGAGTTATCGTTGATGGAGAAACTGGATATTTCTGCCCCACTTCCCTGCCTTTTCGTCAATTTTATGGGTTATGGCGCAATAGTCAAGTTATCAGCTCTGTCACCCGACTAGTCTACTGCGATATAAGATGTGAGAGCAAAATATGTTAGAGAAAGATATGTGACACACTTCCAAGAAAAATGAAGTTGAGCAATTATCTCCTCGCTACCAGTGCATACCTGGAGTATTTAATTCCGCTTGCAGAAGCGACGAATGTTTCGACATCTTGTAACAGTGCTGCTCAAGACGCCACAGCATTCGCAATTCAGGTACATGGAGCATGATAAAAAATACATCACCTCTCTCTTAACATTCATTCAGTATGCATATCCCATTTCTCAATGGCAACAAGCTGTGACGAACATTCTCGATGCCGTCGACACACCGAATACTCTATGGCCATACCATTCGCTTTCCGGCCCTCTAAATCGCACTATAGTTGGGCCAAATGCAGACACGTTATATATCTGGGCCGCTATCGACTTGTCGCATGAGGACCTTGTCTTGACCATTCCCAATATCAGTGATGGAAGGAACTGGATATGGCCTTTCTACGACATGTGAGTGCTGCTAGATGTCAATAAGATAGAGAAAAGACTGACTCATTCAAGCTATGGCAATAACTTTGCTGGAATGTCAATTAACACAAACTCTCCCCCGGGAGACTATTTGATCAGACGTGCAGACGATGCTCTTGTCCAGCCCGGAATCAGATACACTGCTCCGGCTGAACTATCAGCCTACAAAGGCATAATCTCTTATGCCACGACCTATGGTATTTTGCTCGGTCGTATTCTTGTACGTCAAAACACTACGAGCGACATTGCGGTCATACGCAATTATCAGGACCACATTTTCCTCAGGACAGTTCCTCGTACACTATCTCAGCCGTTTGCAGCACAAGCACCTAGACTGTCACGTGAGCTCATTGACACTTCTAACGCACCGAACAGAGTCACAGGCTATCTAGACCTGCTGGCCAAGATTGGACACTCCAACCAACCAGATCTATATGCCGATCGGTATCGAGTAGCATCTAAAATTGGTCTTGCTGGTATTGCAGATGGAGTCTATACCCCACCTCCTGGGATCAATTTAACCGCTGCCATCATTGCAGCAAATGCAAGCATCTCCGCGGCTTATTCTCAAAACCTGGTTGATGTTGGCAACAACTGGGTAATTCCCAAAGTGAAATGTCAAGGCATCTTCGGCATTGAATACGGTTGTCGTGCATATCGCGCACTCCATGGTTATCTTGGCCTGGTACAATCCGAGAACCTCTTTATCACGAATAAATCAGACAATCTGACTTTGGGTGCGACATCGGCATTTCTTTTTACCTTCTTTGGCAAGCCCCCAATCAAATCGACCGGGTTTTGGAGTTTGACTGTGTATGGCGCGGACCAATATCTGGTACCCAACGAGCTAGGAAGGTATGTCATTGGAGACCGCAGCACACAGTTGAAATTTGAGAACGGAGGTTTGGTGTATGGAAATGGTTCCAGCGCTGGTCTTGGAACAGCGGATGGCAGATTTCAGGTCCTACTGCAGCCTGCTGATATTCCCCCACCTGATAATTGGACCAGCAAGTAAGGTCACCCCTTCTTTCGATTTTTCAATCATCTTCGATTGGCACCATGGGAAATTGTTAAATAGTATAGAACATGGACTGACTCAAGACTTCTAATATAGCTGGCTTCCGGCCCCGGCGGGTGGTGGTAAGCTTCTGTACTCGATTCGGTTCTACTCACCAGCTGAGGCATTCACTAATGGCGAGTACATATTTCCAACTGTTGAGACTATTGAGGCTATCAGGCCTTAGTAACAGCTATCAGTAATTGGAATTAATACCTTTTACGGAGGCGACTTAATCTAAGGGAAGGGGGGAGGCATTGCAACATCTCGGGTATGATTACGTGCCTAATATATTGCCGTGAATTTGACCTAATTCGCTTAAGAATGGCTGTACACTTTATACAAATTATTATATAACTAGTTCTATTAGTGGAATATATAGATAACATCACTAGTATATCGACTGAGCCTACTGACATGGGCCCCTACTTACCACGAAGTCATTTATCCTCTGCCGCAACGCCAAGAGTGGCTTTTCTTAGGTAGCCCGCGCCGTCGATTCATACGTTGCATGCAAACTTCATATTCTCGATTTCAGATATTGTTCCCTCCCGTTCATGCTACCGTTCGAACCACTAGCTAGCCGCGTTTCTGACTAGAGATAGAGCATCTACCCCTGCTCGCTTAAGGTGGGCAAGAATTGCCGACGCGCACCCGAGTACGTGCTATTCAAGGTACAAATCGGACGGACGAACATATTCGGTCGAAATTCAGTGTCGGAGCGCAACTACAGCACAATACTCAGTTTAATATAAATAACAACAGCTCCCGAACACACAAACATACGGAAACACCATCCTTAACATGCCGAAGCCTAAAGTTTTAATAGTTGGTTGCGGTGCTGTCGGCTTGTCCCAAGGTTACCACATCTCGTCTAATGCTGACTGTACCTACCTTGTCCGCCCCGGCCGCAAGCCCGCTTTCGACCCGCCAAAACATCTTTACTCCTATCAAGACGATGAATTATATGAATTTTCATCCTACCGCGTCATCGAGTCAGTTTCAGAAGTCAAGAGCGAAAAGTTTGCATTCATCTTTGACACTTTGGACGGACATACTGCACGGTCAGAGTCTGGGATCGCGACAATCCGTTCAGTCGGCGACCTTCTTAAGGAGCCTCAAAACGCAAATTCCTTCGTCGTCTTCGATGCAGTCGGTTTAGACATTGAAGAACACTACGCGACCACTTTAGGAATCGCTCGGAACCGTCTTTTGCTCGCCTCAAGCCTGCTTGCGCATCAATCTACACCTCAGATTCCAATCCCAGAGACAGCGAACAAAGCCTTGGTTTCGAAAGCAAACGTCCTTTATTCGACTCCATCACCGGGCGCGGTTTTGGTTGTATTTAATACGCAGCCTTCTCTGACGAAGAAACTTGAAGCATTCTACGACGTCAACGGCAAACAGGGAATTCGGCGAGCTCCAGGATTTCTAGCACCGTATTCCATTCCTCTCATCATGTTACAGCTAGTGACATGGAATATTGATGGTTTTGGCCCATTCGAACAATTCCGCGCGAATACTGAGCTTTGGGATTTGATGCTACGCGCACAAACGGAAATTCTGACCCTTCCACGGTTTGGTTGGACAGGCTGGCTTCTATCCTTTGTGGTAGGAGGCTGGGCCGCCATCCAGATGCATGCGCCTGTCGAGGTGAACGCCAGACCACTCGATTATCCCAAGTTCAACGCGTTCCACCATGGCGGAAAGGTTGCAAAACAAGACCGCAGGATGCTAGAAGATGTATTGAGTGAAGGAGAGAAGTCTGGAAGGAAAATGCCAGCGTTGAAGGAGATAATCAAAAAGGCGTCTGAGCTTAGTTAGTGGTGTGCGAGTAAGGAGTTCTTATTATACAATCTTGACCCGAATGTTCGAATCTTATTAATTAGTCGCCAAAAGCTCGTTTGCGTAGCGCGTTCGTGCCTCCTGGTCACTTTTGATTACAACTTCAGGGCTTCACAACTTTTGAGGAATAAGCTACTGATCTATTTCTTATGCAAGGTTCGGATCATGGAATCATATACTCAGGCTCACAACCAGGAGATAGCCTGTTGGTATCAACAACGTGATGCTTTCATGAAAACATATCGAGGTATGAATCCACCAATTTATAACTACTTGGAAGAAAAGACGCGTAGACCAAGAGCCAGTTATCAAGGCCCCGTTATAGGATATTCGTAGTAGCAAGCTGCGTGCGAACCACCTGGGTTACGACATCACATCAACTCGCGATTTAGATATTGTGTTATGAGCTCTTGTTCGACAGCTTTGCCTCCTAGTAATGCTTAGCGCTATTTCAACAGGAGAGTCAACGTACAGGAAAGTTAACGGCCTAACTATAGGTACATAAGTTGGAGAGACAGCCCTCTGCCTCCCATTTTGCGTCTGTGCAATCGCATTTACCGTTTACAGTTTTTCTAGGATGGCGAGAACGGCCACTATCGGGATATTTCCATATATCTCGACAGCAGGACGAACTTAGAGCGAAGGCGCAAGATCTTGCAATTTTTGAAGCTCTCAAGCTATGAAGTTAATCTTTTCGCAGGTTCGCTGCATCTCGTACACAGTGTCTCACATTATATAGCTTACAGAACTACTAAGCAGGCGCCCATGGTATTAGTGAAATGACGGCAGCTAAGGCGGTGATGTGTCAAGATACTAGATTAGATGTCATTCTCTTATCACGACATGTATGGATAGTTTGACTGAATGACAGAATAGTGTGGCAATAGTGTTAGACTTAATTGAGCCGGGATAGGCAGATAAAAGCATTTTTCAGGCACAGTTATCATTGGTTGCGATACGTTTATTCCATAATGATCATGGAAATGGCATTCTAGGGCTGACGCCCTGGTAGAGTGGCCCTGGTAGATTGAAGATTGCGATCACAGCTGTTGACGATGATGCTTGGTTGAGCGGTCGACTTTTATTCGGCCTTGTAGGATCCTGCAGTCAGCATCCTGATAGATAGGCTAGGTAACACCATTTCAATAAGCTTAGTGTTGGTTCGCCCCGCATGACTGAGTTGCCAAGTCAGACCCCAAATTCGCATCTCAGGGCTGGTCAGTCAGCGCATCTCCATTGATGATCCATTACATCCAAAACACCAAGATAGTCTCATCGAGTGACAACCCTTGTTGTGCCAAAAACTCCTCAATGGAATTTTCTCTCTCGCGACATCATAAACATGCCTATTAGAGAGCATTTGTTCATATCTATGGTTCCAAAGCCAGTCTCCATTGCGCCCGATATTCACAAGGAACTATTCGATCGTATTTTTGATGCTGAGGTATTCAGTCGATGGGTGCGATATAGAGATCGCTGGCAACTACATGTTATTGGAGGTTTAGGCTCGGGCAAGATTAGTCAAACGTGTGAAAAATGGATATAGCACTTACTGTATTGCTAGACCACGTTCCTGTCTCTAGCTGCGCTACGCATATGCAGCATTGGTGTTGGTCACCCCCAGCGCGGGTCATCTCTTGCCACGATTTCCATCGATGCTGTTCACATCGGAAACGAGCTGAATCTTTTCGAGGATCTAACGCATAGCATATACAAGCCACTAACACCTCCGTTCATTATGGTTCAGCTTGAAACACGTGCTACATATGCACAGTACAATGACTCTCGGTGCGCTGCCGAAGAGTCTACGCAACGTATGGATCTGATTTCTCATACCGTAAGGTTAGGAGTAGCGGAGCTGACTGTTACTGCACCTGCGTTTCTACTCATCGATCACATTGACCAGTGCAGTATATCATTGCAGCAGACAATACGACATAAACTACAGACACTGCAGAATGGAGGCCTCAAAATCCTCATCACATCGCGGTTGCCGAATTATGAAATCCCAATACATAGGCTGTGTGACTCCATAAACCACGTCGGAGATGAGTTTATAGTATGTAGTATATTGGCATTGTACTAGCTGTGGTGAGTACATATGTGCGACCTGTAGAGAAGAGCGTGCCATGTGCCCCAATTGGTATGAGAGCTCCACCTCCGAGGAATGTACTACTTCCTGACTCAAGAACCCAGTGACGATACCAAGCTGCAAGAGCCAGAAAAGGTTAATTTATTCATCGACAATCTTCCTAATAATTCTATATCGAGATTTCTCGCCTGGGATATAGAGAGGGAACATGGAGATCTGGGACTAGAGCTAAGGACAGATTCATAAGCCTCCACTGTCATCCTTTGGCGTCGCTTTCCAAACAACTTACCTAGGAGCAAGGGGTCTTGAATGGACACAAAGTATAACGCTTTACGTCGAGGGTAGTCTAGTGCAGGCAAAGTTAGCACTGGACCGGATACACAGTGCAGGCTCGCCTGAAGCTGTGGACCTAAATCCCAAACGTCTACCAGGAAACGTGTAAGCGCATTTCAACAAAGCCATCCATAACTTGATGCAGCCCAAGACGAAAACTCAGGGTACATCAGCACTCGAAAGTGTTGCAGCGGTTGGGAAAACGGGTGATATGATATTTAGCTTACAACTGCCGTCCTTAGTAGACCTGCTTCGACAACGGCATCTGAACACTGAACTCCAAGGCCTCCCGACTCTCAGCCCGGAAGATATTCTATGTTTCTCCAACGGTTATGTAAAGCTTGTACCACCATTTTTTAGTGGCGAGGAATGTTGCATTGCTACTATCCATCGGGTGTTTTGGCTCTTTGTTCAAGATGACTATAATGAAGTATTGATCTTGGCTTACGCGAGGTTAGTAACGGGGAGGGTATCGCTGCATAGTTCAGCTCCTCCGCACAGAGATCCTCGACAGAACCTATCATCCTAAAGAAGAACTATCCTATGAATAGTGCATGTGAGTAGCAGTTCTATAAGTGCTTGCAATAGAGGTTCGGCGAACAAGCCATCGCAAGTTTCCAGCGTGGAAGGTGATAGCCTCAGTGCCAAAGCAGCAGGCAGGGCATCGAAGAAAGCTCCTGATCGGCCAGTCGCTAGTTCCAGAGCCAAACCTAGGGAAGCTAACAAGATGCCACAAAAGTAAGACTACAAGTAGTATAATCGCCACCAATCACGCCAAGCACTCAGGCATCAGAATATGACTCAGAATGCTTCAATGAATGACATGCTATATGAACACCTCGAACAATGGGACAGAGTTCACACGCCCAATACTACACATAGCTACATTATCAGGCAAAAGAATACCGCGCAATCGATCATGGGTGGAGCGAGATCCATCGAAGACTTGGATAAGTGGAAAGCTTGAGTCGAACGCATATTCGACGGGCAAGATGAGCAGGCTAAGGCGACTGAAAAATACCAAGAGGTAAATGAGGAGTCTATCGGCGGCGATTTTGTCATGGGCAGTGTAGAAGATGAGTTTGCCACGTCAGCGGCAGAGCGCATAGCCGAAAATACAGCTTCTGTGCCTGCTCCCTCTTCCGAGGCATCGCCGTTGGCTCAAACTGTGAAAAGCCTTCTTTGATTCAAGCTTCTCCTTGCATATGACTCATGTTTCGCCTAAGACGCTGATGCTCCTTCTCAGCATACGTGTACATAGCCAGGGGCACTATCAAACGCACATAAATATATTATGATGTAGATCTTGAGCATCTATTCATTTCACAACATGAGGGATGGCGTTAGGTTGATAACTATGGGAGGATGCGATGCCTGATCAGCTTTTGATCATGACCGCGTTGTCATTACACTGGGTATCGTCTTCCTGTCGGAGTAGGGCAACACTTGTTGAAGAAGTAATTGGGGAGCTCATTACGGATTTTCTATCGATTAAGGGCTGAGCTAGGGCTGACACTGCTCACTGCAGTCCAGTGGATTTCTTGTTTTAATGAGATTCTAGATTTCCCGGAAGCTTTTCCTCGTTATCTGACTGGCATATACCTCATTGTTTATATAAGCATCGATTACTATTGTTGTTCCATTAGAGTCTATCTGCAGTTGGTGAATATGGAAGACTTTGGAGCAAACGACGTTCAATTTTGTTCCCTCTACTTTCTTGTTGAATGGTTGGGCATCTACTATAGTGCGTTGGTTCGTGATTGACTGGAAGAGGAGAGAGAGACTCTACAATCAGTTCCCTTCTATCTCTTGTCAACCCTTCTTTTACCTTATTCCTTACTATCCTGATTGCGTACTCTGAAAAACCTGAAAAAGCTCCTAAGGGAAAAAAGGGTTATCGGAACTTGAACCTAGTGTTGTGTAGTGGCACTTTGTAGCGAACTATCGTCTCGGTAGTATCTTTATGTGAGTTCCGATATAGTAAGGCGGCTAGTTTTAAGGTGCAGGAGTTTGGTGGACTTTTTCTGAAGACTCGTTGAGGTAGCGTATGAGCCGTTCAGATGGTTGGTAGCCATAGAATGGCGGTAAGGGGAGGAGGATTCAAACCCCCCACCTCTGCATACAGAGATGTTCCAGGCGCTTTGCCGCTGCACCGTCCCCCCTCAATCATGTAAGCGTGAAGAAAACTACCACAGTCGTAGAAATGTGACTTCGTTGGCCGTTTTTCAACATTTCCACGTCTTCTCCAGTTTCTTTATCCTGAGCCGTAGTCCTTCTCCATATTGCACATGCGCCAGCCACTTTGCCTTCTTGCTATGTTGCATCATCAACAATGAAAGTCCAGCGAGTCGTTGCAGTTGGCAGGCGATGATGGTTGCGAACACAGCTCGGTGCTCTTCGGCAGTATCAATCTGATATTTCCCCATTGTGATCCGAGTTTTTTGTTGGAGTTGCCTCGACCCAGACGATCTTTGCTGTTGTTGTGGCTGCTGTTGTTCTTGTTGTTGTTGTTGTTGCTGCTGATGCTGCTGCTGCGTCTGATGATGTCTTTCTCTGCGACTACGATTATCGCTCCGGGCTCCCTGAGGATGGCCCTGCTTGCCCCACCATTGCGCGACATCCTCGAACCCAGTCATGAGCTTCTCATATATCACCAGCGTTAACATACAGATGCCTGACTCTTGTCGGCACCCGCGACATTGAGACAGGACGAGGCATCGAGAGATGTTGTTTTTGAGAAGAAACATTGTATTCTCCGCCATAGCCCAGTCGGCACCTACGGGGGGTATGACGACTTCTTCGAGGATCTGTAGAGCTGTGCCCATGCACTCGCAGTCTCCATCATCGTAGCTGTTGTTGGAGTCCTCATATGAGTCTGTATCGATGTCCATGCCGTTACGTGACGAGTTTGAAGATGGTGTTCGATTTGAGTCGGATGTATTTGACTTGGAATAGAAAACGCTGCTAGACTTGGAGTAGGAGACGCTGCTAGACTTGGAAGAGGAGGTCCGCATTGATTGGTCTAGAGGAGCAAGCGCCTGGTATTTGCTTGAGTCGTAGCTAAACGCGCGGCTTGAACCGTCTGAGCCTCTGTCCTTGGTGTTGACATTGCAGACTTGGGTCAATGGGGAATTGGACAGAGTTTCAACTATTGCAGTACGGAATAAGCATGCGATGCAGCGAGCGCGTCTCTCACGAGACGAAACATGTCAGTTGGAGCTTACCTGGCATGTGGTTGTGAGAGAGGAGCCCATCCGGATCGAATGGGTCAAGTAGTTCAGTAAAGCCACCCTGTGGATTGTTCAAATATTCTTCCGCAAAGTCAAGAAAGAATCCGGTATCAGAGTCTTCGGGACATGTTGCAACAGTCTGAGTACTTTGCTCTACGGCATCTGCTTGAGGAACAACCTGCTGAAAACCTTCTTGCTGGTTTTGAGGCCCATTATGGCGTGCAATCTCTCTATTGCTACGATTGCTGCTGCTTCCCTTGATGGCTGTGGCGGCGGCGGTGGTGGTGACGGTGGTGCCGCTGCCTTTGCGTGATCCGACATCCGAGCCGGATGACATCGCTTGATCTTGAGATTGCTGTTTCTGTGCCGGTGCTGTGCTGGGAACTGCCACTTGGATGCAGGATATATCATCATCATCCCAAGATGGTCCGCTCCCTTGAGCAACTGTCCCGGGTTGCTGATCGCTACCATTACGTCCACCTGGTGTCTCTGGACGCTCAACTCCAGCTGGCGCCCCTTCTTGCCGCTTGCTGTTGCTACCACCTCGACTCTTCTGGACATCGTATACACATCGTGTGCCACGCTGTTGGCACCGACGACATCCCACTTTCTCGCGGCTGCATCGAAGCTGTAGTCACAGTCTTAGATTTCAAGACAAGATATCTCGCCGGGGGTTTCAGGAATGGGAAACTTGCCTTTTTCTTGCGGCAGGAATTGCACGCTACATGGGATGTGTTATTCGGCCGGCCCATGCGATCTGTCGCGTGAACGTCGTGCATTTCGGTTGCGTTTTCCTGGCTACCGCATTTGAACGTCATGAACATGTTGATCAGCCATCACCTAGTGTCACGGATGTCTAACGTACGCATACGAAAGAAGTTGAGGATTGACTGAGGTTGTACTGTAGAAGCTGGGGAAACTTTATGTAGGTGAGTGACCATAAACAGCGCTAGTCTCAGATAGGCATCGTCCCATCTCGTGAGAAATCAGGGTCCATTCACCGAACCAAGCAGGCGAGCTAGTCAATCGATGGGTCAGGGTTCGTTCACCCAGGCGAGCTCTTAGTCTGACTAAATCCCCAGATAAAAACTACACCCCCTGCAAAAGATGTAAACTCACACTAATAGTATAGAATTGTGTAACCTTTTTTACATCATATAAATATATACGTACAACTCTGGGCCTTTCAAATACAAGACATGTCTTCTCAACTATGTCGTCGTGAAGGCGGCTGGTGGCGAATGATACTTTTGTTTTGACAGGGGCTGTTCTAATCCGGGTATTGTGTCGGACTAAGATGCGAGTTGACAGGATCCTATTCCTTGACCCTGCACTCGACAGACCGTTCTAGATGCGCTTTTTGATCGTAACACTTTCTCTCCCTTAGCCTAGATATTCACATAGAGGGTAAAATCGTACCTGTTGGTGTTGGATCGATTGTAAGGGCGCGAATAAAATCTTGGCTATCGCATTCTTGTTTGTGTGCTTCTTGCTGTAGAGTGATACTTTGTAGGATAAGGCAGCTCCAGAGCAGTCACCTTTTCTTGCGACAGAGTACCGGTGAACTCGTGGTTCGCAAACAGCCTGCAGCTTGAGGACACGTCGAGCGGCAACAGTCTGCGGAGTGCTGATCTTGAAAAGGAAGCTGGATGGAGAGTGGGAAGCCTTAAAACATTACAGCGAGTTGGCTGACTAGCTGATACGTGGGACTGAGATGCCATAACGCCTACGCGCCGGGAATCTAGACCCTGCATATGAGGATAGAAATGCGTCCCGCATTATGCTAAGCATACTGTATAGATCCAAGCAGTCAGCGTACAGATTCGTAGGTAGATAAGACTTACGCTACTGATGTGAACCACTTGGCGATGTGGGGGCTCCGTGTTTGGGGCTAGTCTCGATAATGTGACGGACGGGGGGTTGTTGGATTCGAGTCAAACGAGATTCCATACTGCGTTAAAATCGTTGCCTGCCCTGCCACCGTGCGTGACGGCCCGCCGACCCCGACGGCCCAACCGCCTCCTAAGTACCAAAAAAGCAAGTGCAGGTATAGCTGTCGAGCTACACACAACAACTGTAATCACAAGAAATGATGCCCAATGCTCATGACCGGGAACAATCTCATGCGAGATAAATCGCCCTGCTTGTTGACCTTGTCAAGAGGCGTCTTTTAGAATATGATGTTCCCGCACAGGATCCCTGCGCTTACATACGGTAATAACGCCTGCAGCTAATAGGAGAGAAGTTTTGATTAACCTGTATCATTTTCCGCTTCCAACAAGCAGGGTTACATTCGCTAACCGTCAAACCGAAAATCAGTAGCTGCTTGTTGCAGGCGAGTGAGTTCTGTGTTCTCTAGCCCAAACCATTTGGTCCTCAGGGATGCTATGGGCCCTTCAAGCTCCGTGTATCGGTCCCCCAAGGTTAAGATCGTTCGTCCATTCCAGCGGCATGGCTTCTTCGCCTGGCTAAGACTGTCTTTTCCATAAAGCTCGACCGTATGCTGCTGCGTCGCAGTAGCAGAGTACACGACAGCAAGTCCAACAAAGTCAGCCGAGCTTACAGGAAGGCCAGCAGCAATGATGGGGTCCGCTAAGTGTTGAGGCAGTAAGCTGGTGATGGTGGCGGCGGGTGCAACACAATTTATTGTGATGTTGTCATTGGCCAATAAGGACCTTAGCGCGCGCATTATTCCTACAAGCTACATATTCAGAGGACAAGCATGTCAGCGAACTCGAATCTAGACTGATCCCATGACAAGTCGATCTTACAGCTAACTTAGACCCACTATATACGGGAAGGGACTGTTCAGGCGCATATGCCGTCGCGCTGGAGGTAATGACAATGCTCCCTTGGCATGCACGGCGACGGAAATGGCTGATCGAGAGTTTGATAAAGTTTGCAACCGCGCGGAGGTTGATATCCAATACCTGATACTCGGGCTCAATCAGGCCTCCGGTCGAGTGATCAAAAGTATCGGCGAAATAATCGACCTCTTCTGAAACACCTGCGTTGGAAACGGCAATGTCAATGTTGCCAGCATATTGAAAGGCACCCAGAAGGCTGGCCCAGCTTGATATATCGCATTGATAAAACTCAATTCCCTCCGGCTGTTCGCCTGGAGGCGGGTTGATATCGAGGTTGAGGACCCATGCTCCTTTCTGTGCGAAAAGATGAGCTGCAGCGAGTCCAATGCCAGAGGATGCGCCGGTGATGATGACTCGCTTGCCACACAAACTTGGGATGTCGTCCAGAGTGAAATGAAGGGATGTCATGTTTTCGGAAAAGGCGATCGGAGTCACGGAGCTTCGGATTCGGGTCAATGTCTCGATTTTCGGTTGTTCGAATCTGTCATCGGAGATGCAGCAAATTTGAGAGATTTTGAATGCTTTCGCCGGGCGATACATCTTTGTATGAGTAGCAAGAGGCCGGGAACGTCCCAAATAGGACATTGCCGAGCATCGCGATGCCACATACCAACTCGCAACATCGACGTACGCAAAAAAAAGGCCGAATTGATACCAAGTGATTCAGGGCCGCGTGAAGAGTTGTTATATCTTGACTGCAGCAAAGATCTTGTACGATATCTGAGAACTTTAGAATTATCATCTCATCCATCCTAACCTTTCATACAACGCTTTCTTCTGTCACAATCACATCGCACATCTCAAAATGTCTCCATCCATTTTGCACGATTATAATGAGACTTCCATCTTCCTCGGCAAGAAAGCCGATATCAAACAGAAATCTGATAGCAGTGCGCCGGCAGTATCCCTTCCCTCTGCTGCAGAATTCGTTCCGCCACCCTCTCGTTTCGTTGCGGAGTGTCATCCGTTGGAAAAGCAGATTACAGCTGAAGTTGATGGGTACTTTCTCACCCACTGGCCTTTCAAGACAGCCAAAGACAGGAAGAAGTTTGTCGCTGCAGGCTTCTCGCGTGTCACATGTCTTTACTTTCCCTTGAGCATGGACAATCGCATCCATCTCGCCTGTAGGCTTCTAACAATTCTGTTTCTGATTGATGGTACGTTCATACCAAGACATTAGTCAGCCTACGTCTTTGACTCATCATTTCTTTAGATATACTAGAAGACATGTCTCTCGAAGAAGGATGTGCCTACAACGAAAAACTTATGCCCATCGCTCGTGGTGACGTCCAGCCGGACCGCAATGTCCCTGTAGAGTGGATAATGTACGATCTATGGGAGGATATGAGGTCTCACGATAGGCAACTAGCCAACGATGTGCTGGAGCCGACATTCACTTTCATGCGTGCCCAGACCGACAAGGCCAGACTGACGATTCGTGGCATGGGCCCCTACCTGATCTACAGAGAGAAAGATGTCGGAAAGGCGTGAGTAAAATTCCGTCGCGGAAATGTATGGTCACACTAACATGCCCTTCCACAGACTTCTCTGCTCTCTGATGAGGTTTTCAATGGATCTCCAAGTTTCGCCCGAGGAGCTCGCATCCGTTCAACCCATTGAACAAAACGTCGCCAAGCATCTCTCTGTCCTCAACGATATCTTGAGCTGGGACAAGGAGCTTTTGGCTGCGCAGACGGGTCATCCCGAAGGTTCGGCGCTTTGCTCGGCAGTGCAGGTTTTGGCAGACGAGACGTCTCTCACATACGCAGCGGCAAAGAGAGTACTCTGGGTCATGTGCCGCGAGTGGGAGTACGAGCATGAATACCTCGTTGAGAAGCGAAGGCGAGATGAGAGGTTCCCACATAGCGAGAATCTAATGCGGTACATCAAGGGTTTAGAGTACCAAATCAGCGGAAACGAGATTTGGAGCAAGACTACACTCCGGTACAATGCACCCACCACCGCGTAGACCTATCATTGTGTCAAGATAGTATACGAGCAGATAACAGATGCGGTATGCAGATTGTTGCAGCTCAAACATTTCTTTAAGCGCTACTGTTAGATTGAATTTATGGCAATTTTACTCGAGTTGAAACTTTGGTCTTGGAAAAACAATGTGTCATGTGGTTCTCAATGACGCACCTGTCTCGAATGAGCAATGCCGCCAATTAGTGGCCATACTGTTCTAGGCCTTTTGCGATTCTTGCATCGGTGGACAGCCTGAACCGAGCGCCACTGTTACCATTGCATCGGGTAATGCTCAGCTCAGTTAGCGCCAGCATGGGTAGAGCCTGCATTTCAAGATTCTTCACTAGAAGAGAGAGTCAATTCAGCTCCAAGCATACATAAATCAGGGGCAGTTACCACATCTCAAGTACTGGAGACAAAATTGGTACACTTTGTGACAGTCACACGGATATCTGCTCCTTGAACGCAAAATGATTGGGCAAGTGGGATCTCCGATGGAGAGTCTCTCGAGTTATCTATCGGCCGCTGCAAAAGCATCTTCTCCAGTTGTTCTCATTATTCCTTCCCTTATTGTGAGTTGCTTCAACACCTCTCATTTGTCATAGGAACAGCATCCTAACTAAGCAGCAGTTCGGTTTATATATCTTGGCTACCGGCATCCATAATGTTCATCTCCACAAACTTGCGTCCTTCCCCGGGCCATTTTTGGCAAGATCCAGCTTGGTAAGAGAATCCAGAACCCTGCGCTCTCAGTGGCCTTGGCACTGACTTAGAGTAGCTATGGCGCATCTATCATTCGCAAACTGGTCGCTATCATCTTGCTATCGAGGAACAGCACCGGAAATATGGTAGGCACTTGAGAGTCTCCCTGAAGTAGTCCCATTGCTAAAGCTTCTAAGGCCCTGTTGTTCGAGTATCGCCCAACGAACTGTCTTTTGCGTCCGTTGAGTCATGGAAAGCTATCTACGGACACCGCGTTGGCAGTACACCCACTCCCATCAAGAGCAAGTTCTACGATATATATGGGGCTGGCTTTAAATCTTTGTGCATTGGAAGCGAGCGTGATCCGCATGAGCACAGTCGGATGCGCAAGATGCTTTCCGCAGCATTCTCCACAAGGATTTTGATGGAGCAAGAGGACATTATCACGAAAGGAGTTGACCAATTCGTTGCTAGACTTGGCACGGACGGAGCGCAGGTGAACGGCCTCAACATGACCAAGTGGTATGAAATGGTGTCTTTTGATACTTTAGGCGAAATGGCTTTCGGAGAGTCGTTTCACAGCGTGGAAGCTGGTGAGTTTCTGGTGAGCAAATTAGTTCGTGTTGTTCACTAACTTGGCCACATTACAGGGAAGCCACACAGCTGGTCAGAGATTATAGTCAGCCATCTCTACTTCATCACCCTGATTGATAATCTTCGCCGTTTGCCATTCGTCGCGAGACTGGCTAAGTTACTATTCCCATCAACATTGGCCGTGCAAAACCAGAATTCTCAGTACAGTCGTAGAAAGATTGAACAGTAAGATACCCAAAACAATCCAAGATTTGCTGTCAAGCTGAGAAAATGATACAGGCGCCTAGCGAAAAAGACCAGCCGAAATGACTTCCTTTCCACTGTCGTCAAAGGGTATGAGGAAGGGACCGTAGGCAAGGAGGAAATGACAGCGCACGCCTCCACTTTGACGTATGTAATCAACCCCATAAACGCTCTCACCAGAGAAGCTGCTCTTATATTGACAGGTTTCTAGTATTGCGGGTGCAGAAACTACTGCGACTTTCTTGGCTGCGGCAACATATTACTTGCTGCGGAACCCTGCATGCCTTGCTCATGTTCAGGAAGAAATACGGAGCAGGTTTTCATCTTATGATGAGATTAATGCTACAGCGGCTAGACAACTCACCTACCTTCAGGCTGTCATTAGCGAAGGACTCAGAATGTATGCACCTGGCAGCCAAGGCTTCCCTAGAGTGTCCACGGGCATGAACGTAGGAGATGTATATGTACCTGCCGGCGTAAGCACACCTTTTCTGAGAATACCTTGCATACTTTACTTATTTCACCTCTAGGCTGAGGTGTTCACACACGCCTGGACATTGACCCATAGCGAGCAGAACTTCACTGATCCGAACGAGTTCAGACCCGAACGCTGGATAGATCCTGATTCTACCGATATAAAAGCAGCTAGTCAGCCTTTCTCTATGGGATCAAGAGGCTGCTTAGGTCAGAAGTATGTTCAAAAAAAGCCATGCGACTAGCTCTTAGGTTATCACATAAGTTTCGGGGCTAACATACATTCAGCTTTGCATATATGGAGATCAACTTGATTTTATCCAAGATGTTATGGAGATATGATCTGGACCTCGTAAACAAGAATTTGGACTGGGAGCGAGAGAGCCGTTTGCATGTGATGTGGTGGAAGCCTGCATTGATGGTTCGATTCAAGGAGAGAAGGTCTAACTAAGTGGTGCGTAACATATACTCCACTCACGTGAGAACTCGAATTCTTAGAACACCCGGTAAATGAGAGTTCAGCGCGTAGGATGCACCCAGGCAAGATTGCTAGGATTTCGACCCTAGTTGGTGATCAGTCATAAGCGACAATGAGCACTGCGGACATAATTGGAAGTTGTCTAATCTCGTCTGTTGAGTCCCGTTCACAAATCTTGTCGTTGCATCGGAGTTGTCCAGAAAGAGCCATAAGCGAAAACGACCTTTCCAACTCCACTAACCAATAGTATGCTCCCACCTGATCCATATGCCGACATCTTCTTCATCCGTGAAACAAGGCTTGCAATCTTTGTCTTGCGACGTCTTGTATTCCCTTTTGCCAAACGAAATTTCCAGCGAGGTGCGCCGGCGGAGCACTGCGGGTAGCACCATGGATGCAGCAAATACCCCACTTCAGGAAAAGCCATCGCTCAAGGAACCTGGGTTGATACTTGGGCAAGATGAAAATGCTGTTTTGCAGGGCCAGATGGCCAGTCCAACTTCATGGCACAATCCTGCTCGCTTTTTGCTAAGCTGCACGAGTAGTTTGGATGGGATTATCATCATTCTGAGCGCTATTGCTGCCATTATAGGAGGTGCAGCAAACCCTTTTGCGCTGGTAAGTATTCTCCTTGTGTATTCGAAATGTCGAAGTAGGCTGACATCAATTATTTTGAAGCTTCTTCTTGGAAACATGGGTCAGTCATTTCGAGGCTTTTTCGTTGGCGACACCACGTTGGAAGACTTCACCCGAGAGGTCAATCAGCTCAGTCTCTTCTACGTCTACCTAGCCATTATTGAATTTGGAACAATCTATGCTGCAACCGTTGGTTTTACCCTAGCGGGAGAACGCATCGGACAACGTATCCGTGAGAAGTACCTTGCAGCCATTCTGCGCCAGAATATTGCCTATTTCGACGGGCTCGGCGTCGGCGAAGTGAACGCGCGCCTTACGACAGATATTAGCCTCATTCAGGATGCCATCACAGGCAAAGCGTCAACCACGATCTCCGCAATTGCGATATTTGTCTCGGCCTTGATCATCAGCTTCATAAAGAGCTGGATCTTGACACTAGTTGTATTCCCTGCTCAGATTTTGATTGTCGGAACCATGAGTGTAGGCGCAAAATTCATGATAAAGTATACGGTGCAGTCAACAGAAGCGTACGCGCCAGGGATGAGCATAGCAGAAGAAGCGATTAGCTCTGTGCGGACCGTCACTGCGTACGGTATGCAGCAGACGCTGGTCCGCCAGTACGAAGAGCACGTTGCGAAGGCGCGTAAGGCTGGTTCTAAGAGTGGTATTGCCCTAGCATGTATGATTGCGGTGATGAACGGCATTATCTTCTGGAGTTACGGGCTTGCGTTTTGGCAGGGTTCGCGCTTCCTCGTTCAAGGCAAAGTCTCACTCTCTGCTATTTTGACGATATTATTCGTCAACATTACGGGAGCATTCGCACTGGGTAACATCAGTCCTCATACTCAAGCATTTGTAAATGGTATTACAGCGACAGACAAGATTTCCCAAGCGTGTTGTCGTCAGTCGCCGATTGACTCCAGCGTCTCTACAGGAACGAACCCGAAAACACGCACGGGGGCAATCGAGTTACGGAATGTCCGCCATATATATCCATCACGCCAGGAAAGTTTGATATTAGACAATTTTAGTCACTCCTTCCCACCAGGTAAAATGACTGCTATTGTGGGTTCATCAGGTTGTGGTAAGAGTACAATTGTGGGGCTTCTTGAGAGGTTTTACCAGCCAGTCAGCGGCAATATCTGTATGTACATCTGTGTCAACTTTTTATGCGGCTGCTAAGTAAGTCTGAGACTTGGATGGTGTTGAAATTTCTACGATTGATGTCTCATGGCTGCGTCAGCAGATCGGCCTAGTTAGCCAAGACCCCAGTCTGTTCTCTACCACCATATTTGATAACATACGGTTCGGGCTTCTCGACTCCATTCATGAGAGTCTGGATCCTCGGCTGGTTAAAAAGATGGTAGAAGATGCGGCAAGGGTAGCTAATGCCTACGACTTCATCATGGCCTTACCAGATGGCTTCTCAACCAATGTTGGCGACTCAGGATCATTGCTTTCCGGAGGCCAGAAACAACGTGTCGCTATTGCAAGAGCCATTATTGGTAATCCAAGAATACTGATATTGGATGAAGCCACATCAGCTCTCGACGCTGTTGCGGAGCGACACGTTCAGCAGGCTCTACAAGCTGCCTCTCAGGGCCGAACGACTATCGCCATCGCTCACAGGTGACAAAGCCCGTGACGAAGAAACTTTGAGAATAAGTTTAGTACTAACTTAATAATAGATTGTCTACAATATGTGCAGCTGACAATATAATCGTTATGCGCAAGGGGCGTATTGTTGAAGAAGGTACGCATGTGGAGCTCATGGAGTTGAGGAAAACATACTTTGATATGGTTAATCATCAGGGAGCCCACAAGACTACAGACAAAGAGATTTTGGAAGAATCATCCATTCAAAGTGATCTCGAAGAGAACGCTGTATCAGAGATACTGCCATTAAACTCTGACGATAAATCTACGCCAGTGACAACCACGCTGCAACATGATCCGCAGAAACCAAGCTCAATGTGGAACTTAGCAATTTTTGTGCATAGCCTTAACCCAAAAGATGGTCTTTTGGTTGCATTCGGTCTTGGGTTCTCTCTGGTTGCTGGGGCAAGTCATCCTGTGTAAGTAGTCCCCAAAGCACACCTAGCCGACAAGATAATAACTCCAGTCTCAGCCAGTCGATATTCCTCGCAAAGATTATCTCCGCACTATCCCTGAAGTCCTCGGAGTACAGCGCGCTACACGAGTTGGTGAACTTCTGGAGCTGGATGTACTTCATGATTGGCTTCACAACAGTCTTTGGTTGGTTAGGCCAGGGTGTCTGCTTTGCTGTCTATTCGCAACGTCTGACACACAACGCACGTGTAAAAGGTCTAGAGACTATCCTGTACCACGAAATCGGTACATTTTTGCGCGAAGATCATTCCACTGCAGCCCTGACCAGCGTTCTCTCCAGTAGTGCAGCCAGTCTCCAAGGGCTATCAGGTGCTGTTCTAGGAACGCTTCTTGTTGTTCTCACCACTCTTATTGCCGGTCTCGCTCTGGCAACGGCTATTGGGTGGAAGCTTGCCCTTGTGTGTGCGAGCACTACTCCTATCCAGCTCGGTTGTGGTATACTGCGCTTGAAGTGCGTTGCACTGCTCGAAGGTCACTCTCGTCGTGCATACGAGGCCTCCGCGACTTACGCCTGCGAGTACAGCTCTAATATCCGCACCGTCGCGGCGTTAAACCTAGAGACTAAAATCCAAAGAGACTACCATCATATTCTCGAAGAGCAACGGAAGAAGTCATTGGTATCTGTCAGTCAGTCCTCGCTGTTGTACGCTGCGTCGCACTCGCTAAACTTCCTGTGTGCGTCGCTGGCGTTTTGGTATGGTAGCAGATTGGTGGCAACTGAGAACTACACACTATTCCAGTTCTTCGTCTGCTATACCGCCGTGATTGCCGGGTCGTACTCTGCTGGTGCTATTTTCTCATTTGCACCAGATGTTGGGAAAGCAAGGGACTCTGCAGAACGGATGCAGGCGCTATTTCGCCAGCCTGTCGGCATCGACGCAAGGGCAAGTGATGGGGCTACCTCGTCGACAGCCGAAGGGTCTATCGAGCTCCGAAATGTATCCTTTCGCTATCCCAACCGTCCAGACAGGATAGTTCTCGCTGATGTCAGCATCGTCGTTCAGCCTGGGGAATATGTTGCCTTAGTGGGAGGTAGTGGTAGCGGCAAGAGCACCATCATTTCACTCATAGAACGCTTTTTTGATCCAGACAATGGTCAAGTCATTTTCGGCTCAAACAACGTTAAAAATCATAACTTGAAAAACTACCGGAGTCAGCTGGCCTTAGTCAGTCAATCGCCAACATTGTTCGACGGGACGATACGCGACAATATTGTGTTCGGCGTGGAGAATGGAAGTCCCAGCGAAGAAGCGGTGATACAAGCATGCAAAGACGCCAACATCTATGGTTTCATCTTATCTCTGCCGTAGGTATTTTCTCTTTCTGATTTTTATGATTTCAGGAGCTGACAAAAATCATCATTCCAGAGACGGATTCAACACGACGGTTGGGGCACGAGGTGTCATGCTATCAGGCGGCCAGAAACAACGGATCACGATTGCGCGAGCGTTGCTTCGGAACCCGAAAGTTCTACTACTCGATGAGGCAACCTCAGCGCTAGATTCAGAGTCCGAAAGGGTCGTCCAGGAGGCGTTAGATGCTGCTGCACGTGGCCGAACAACAATCGCCGTGGCCCATCGCATCAGCACTGTAAAGCATGCCGATTGTATCTATGGTAAGTTTGCTATCATGAAAAATGAAACAACAATTCCTTCCTTTGTTCTCGATATCCTAACTGTAACTAGTGCTTGAACATGGCCGTATTGTTGAACAAGGAACCCATCGAGCCTTGATGGAAGCGAAGGGGAGGTACAGCGAGTTGGTTAAACTGCAGAGTCTCGGTGATTAGAATGCACGCAGGTTGGGAACTACACTGTTCCTGCTGTATGTGTTCGTGTCTCGTCTTTTACCTCGAAGCGAATCTGTAATCAGATCATTGGCAGCGATCAATACTATATAGAACGGATAAAAATACTACTTTCATAACGTTTTCTCCGCAACAGAGTAAAACATATCTTGGACGATGCTATGTTCTGGTTTTGATCTTCCTTGCAGATTGAATATATGGTGAAAGTTCATGGTATTCCTTCTATTTATTCTGTCACCATTCAAATTACACTGAGATCATGTGTCTGTCGAGTGGCGTTCATAGAGTCATCTGGCGTCAGGACCCACACTTTGATATGTAAACAGCCGGCCGTCCCCGGAGCCACTGATCTTCCAGGGTGCAAGATACGTGCGGCGTGGCTCTGGGATTGGAAAATGTCAAATCAGTGCACCTCTTCCAAAACTCAGCACGTAAACCCTGACATATCGGATTTGCAGTGCTGACTACCTGCTAGGGCAGCCGCCAAGAGATCCCTTTTGCCATCTAGCAATTTTTCTTAGCCGCCATTGTCTCAGTGGGGCAAACACAGTACTTAATGGGAATGCCAGTGCAAGCTGCGCCACTGACTTGCTGGGAAATAACAATCGTGTTTTCGTTGGTATCAACTCCAATCACATTGTCGAAGAAACGTGTCGATTCCCGCGTTGTTTCGCCGGGACTGCCCAAACTCGACCTCGGCCCCCCGGCGTCCTTAAATATTATTGTGATACTTTGATATGGTCTCGTACAGTGCCATCGGGTACAAAGCGCAGCCTTCATCGTACCATTCGGCCTGAATGCTCTTTTAGGCGAGAAAATAGGGTCTGATGCAACTATGAGTGCCATAATATTTTGGATTATAAGCTAGCGTCATCCTTTCTCAAGATGTCTTCATTGATTTCTTGGAAGCTATGCAAAATACCTATATGTGTCCAGTATTTAGCAAAATAATTGTTTTACGACGGTATAACAAGTCATCAAGATATTCTTTCCAGGGCGCTCTCTCGGGTTTGGACGGATTAGGAAAACTCCACTCCTAAAAGCGACAACCGCCAGTCGAACAGCTACCTTATCTTGGTGCAGTTATCCATCAAAACTCTTCTACAAAGGCAAAAGAGCTTTATATCGTTTTTAGTTAATAAACATTCGTTCTGCATTCTAAACTCCACTCCAGTTTAACGCATCCATCAAAATGGTTGGTGCCGTCACGACAGACCTCCGTCGAACTGACAACGAAAATCGCGAACCTCTGTTAAAGACCAGTGTCCTTGATCTTTTCGACCAGCATGCGAAACTCAGTCCAACTAGCATCGCCGCTGAGTTTCAGGGCCACACTGTCACTTACGATCAACTGTACAATGCCTCCATTCGAGTGGCTTTGGAATTGCGTAAACGAGGCTTTCGCCCTCGAGATCGCATTCCATTGATCACGAAGATGAGCTTGGAGATGGTCGCCTCGGTCTTGGGGATTCTGCGGCTGGGTGCTTCTTACTGTCCGATAGACTTCAACGCTTGGAGTTTAGAACGAGTTGTCGCTACTCTGGAAGCTGTGGGCTCGCGCCTGGTACTCAGCACCGTGGAAACGACGATTTCTGGTTACGAGCTGGTTCGGATGCCTGAATTGTCGAGGCATGTTGACTCTATTACAGATGAGGAGATTGAAGGACTCAAAGTGATCAGACATGATATGAGACAATCCGATCTCATTTACATCATTTTTACGTCTGGCACCACAGGAAAACCAAAGGGAGTGATGGTCCCGCACAGCAGTGCTGTCCATCTCGTGCAGCAAAGCTTCTCCGGGGCTATGAGAGGAAGCCCGGGTGAGAAGGTTTTGTTATTTTTCTCAGTAGCCTTTGACGGTTAGTCAATACCCTGCCCACAAATGGAAGACCTCAATAGAACAAGACCGCGATCTCTAACACACGATATAACTACAGGATGTGCAGGAGTCATTTTCTCGACCATTTGCCATGGTGGAACTCTTGCAATGGCTCAACCATCCGACGTCATCAACACGGCCTCATCATGTAGCACTCTCATCTTGACACCTTCAATGCTGGCCAGTTTAGAAGCAACACCGGAATTCGACCGTGTACACAGCATTTATATGGGAGGTGAAGCTCCCAACGAAGCCCTGGTCAGACTCTGGACCAGCCCGACGAGGAAGGTCTATAACTGCTATGGACCTACCGAGTGTACTACAGCGGTCTCTACCGTTGAGATGATACCTGGAGGCCCAATTGTCCTCGGACGTCTCATCTCGGAGGTTGAGATTGTGCTGTTAGATGAGGACCTAGAACACGAAGTCCAACAAGGAGAGATCTGCATCAGAGGGCCATGCTTGGCGGTTGGATATCTCAACATGGAGGATCTGACACAAAAGAAGTTCTTCTTCCGAGATGGGATCCGTCATTATCGTACCGGAGACCTTGCCCGCCGTGATGAGGACGGCCTGCATTTTGTTGCTCGTGTCGACCGCATAGTCAAGAATCGCGGATTTTTGATTAACTTAGAAGCGGAAGTCGAACCTGCTCTTCGAAGCTTCTCTGGCGTCCAGAAAGCCGCAGCATTTCTGCTGCAAAAGCAGCTAGTAGCATTTGTGACACCTTCTGAGGTATCGGTGGAGATGTTACGCGAGCATCTTTCTCAAAAATTTGATGTGTTCATCGTACCAGACCTCATATTCGCTATCAACGACTTCACGTTGACACCGAACGGTAAGGTTGACACAAGGGCCTTACAAGCAATGGTCAAAGACCAAGTGGATGATCGACTACGGAGTTATCCACGTACTCAAAACGACGTATCCGCTGCCTTGGACGTTGTTCTCCAAGCCTTCGCAGTTATTTTCGACCGACCAGTGAGCCAGATACCGTCTACAGCATCTTTCAGATCGCTTGGCGGCCACTCTCTCACAGCTGTGAAACTTCAATCTCACCTTCGCCGGGAAAACCTCAGTTTAGCGTTGAGCAAGATTTTCGAGTTGGATACTGCAGCAGCGATAGCTCGAGCGGCAGTCTCTACTAACGGTATTGCATCTGCCGACGTGAGCTCATCAGCTACACCACTCACGCCGCATCAGTTCCAGCTCTTGGAAGAAACCAATGCTGATCCTTCGAGCAATTACGTGTTTTACTGCCTTACCAGAAACACTGCTCACAGTCCTATCAACGCCGAAAACCTGCGAAAGGCATGGGAGATCATATTTACCCGTCACGCCATCTACAGAACAAAATTTGACATGGATACCAGAGTCCAAACAATTCACGACGCAGCAGATATAAACTGGCGAGAGTTCATCACACTAGATTATGAGAATATGGAAGCAGTGTCTCGGCGGGAGAGGGAGGTCTTATGGACAACACTGCGTTCGCAAAGGTGCCCAATATCTATTCTGAAGCCCCATTTCTGGATCGTTGAAGTGCCTGGAGAGGCCGTTCAGATGAACTGGCTTGTTCATCACAGTTACACTGACGCGTGGTCATTCGGAATTTTGTTGAAAGAGCTTGAACTTATCATCAATGGCAACGCAGTCACACTTCCACCCGCGTCAAGCTACGATATGGTCGCCCAGCACCTGAATGGGGAAGCTAAGCGGCAGGCAACAACCATCACAGATTTCTGGAGCACTTACGCAGAGCCGTGGGCACAATTGAGGCCAATCCAATTGCTAGAGCCCGAAGAGCCAAGTGACCTACCGTGGAACAGGTGGGAATCCGATATCCCGCTGAAAGTAGACAACCTTATCATGTCTGCGCGTCAGCACGCAGTCTCTCCAGCGACAGTTGTCTACACTGCTTGGGCATTAGTTCTCGCAGATTACACACAGTCCAATACTGTGGGTATGAAGATTAGTGTTTCTGGACGAAATATCGACCATCCTGCTGTCGAGAGTGTAGTAGGATCTCTCAATGGCCGGTGTCCACTTCTGTTCCAGACCAGGAAAGATTCAACGATTGGCGAGACACTGAGGTCGCTACAGAGCACTTTGCTCCGCGTCAATGACTACCAGTGGACTTACCCACAATTGAGAAGTCATGTTGGACGGGCATTTGGCAATCAAGCTTACTGGTTTGATTCTCAAGTCCTAGTTCTATTAGACATGCCGGTCGACACAAGAAATTGGCGCATTTTCGAAGAGCAAAAGCCAACTGCTCCCATCGAGCTTAATTTCATTCAAAAAGAAGATATATTCAATATGCGTATGCGATATGATGGTACTCATTATGCACAGAGTAGCATCGATGGCATGGGCAAACGATTTATCGACAAACTAATCCAGTTGGTTGGCTCTCCTCTCGATAGGAGGATTGGGGATCTGGGCCACATCACGCAAAACTGAGGACGCGATTTTGACACATCAAAATCGCACGGCATGAATCATAGAGTCCGATAGATTGAATACGAGCAAATGCATCTTTTGACTTGACATTATGAGATGGAGCCCTCTATGCGTGATTTACCTGATATTGGCGAGGATTTTATTTGGTCCGAAGGCGCGGCCCCTGGAGATTCGCGGATTGGAAGATACGAAGTTCGGTATTATCTTTACTAGGTTTAGCGGGTTCATCGGCTCAAAAAGATTAGAGAATGTTACAACTTGAATCGATGGACACAGATTCTCGCCTCATCGTCTGCCTGCATTCTTTCGAAGCTCTCTATTCAGATCAAAACCCCACAATCCTGCGATGGCAGCCAACTTTATCGGATATGCCATTCATCATTCTGCCGCGAATCCTGCCCTGACTGCGGTCGTTGGTTTGACGCTTTATCTCTTAGGCCTCGCCGTCTACAGGCTGTACCTTCACCCACTAGCAAGATATCCTGGTCCAAAGTTCGCAGCACTTACGGTATTTTACGAATTTTACTTCGATGGTATCAAGCGAGGACGATATACCTTTGAAATTCAACGGATGCATGAAAAGTATGGTCCCATTGTGCGTATCAGCCCTAACGAGCTTCATGTCAATGAGCCCTCCTTCATCGACGAGCTTTACGCTGGTGGTGGCAAGAGACGAGACAAATACCCATATTTCAGTGCTCAGTTCGGGATTCCGGACAGTGTATTCGGAACGCCCAGCCATGACCTTCATCGGCTCCGGCGCGGTGCCCTCAATCGCTTCTTTTCTAAGTCATCGGTCAGCAGACTAGAGCCAGTCATCCATAACGCGATTGAAAAGCTAGTTTCGCAGCTCCAAACACATTCCGGAAGTGGCAAGCCTGTTGCCATTAATATGGCGTTTAGTTGCGTAACGACAGACATTGTGACGGAATATGCATTTGCGAAAAGTTACAACTTCTTGGGATCTCCAACCTTTGAGCCGAATTTCCACCGCGCTATTATTGCTGGGACGGACATGGGTTCATGGTTTAAGCAGTTCCCGTGGCTCATCACGCTGATGAACAGACTCCCTCAGAACCTTGTCATGCGGATCAATCCGGAAGCAGCGATTTACGTGCGGTTCCAGGAGGATATTAGAGATCAGATTCGACTGACCCAGAACGACATTGCTTCAGGAAGCATTGGCAGTGGATCTGAGAGAACTATTTTCCATGAGTTATTGATGGGTGATCTCCCAGAGCAAGAGAAGAGATTGGAGCGTCTATGGCAGGAGGGGCAGATCGTGATCGGTGCGGGAACAGAGACCACAGCTTGGGCACTTTCGGTTATGCTTTTCTACGTCCTTGAAGACTGTCAGGTCTTGAAAAAACTGAGAAGTGAATTAGAGGCGGCCATTCCCAACGTTGATGAGAGGATCAGCTGGAACCGGTTGGAACAGCTACAGTATCTCAGCGCCGTTATCTGCGAGGGGTTGCGTCTTTCCTATGGTGTAAGCACACGGCTACAGCGTATCAATCCTGTAGGGCCGCTCATAGTAAAGACCCAAGTCTCTTCTAGCAAGAACGAGGAGAAGAGCATCATGGTCGAGCATGAGATACCGGCAGGAACACCTGTGGGAATGACAGCGACTCTTATTCATAACCACCCAGAATTATTCCCGAATCCTAAGAAATTTCAGCCAGAGCGCTGGCTGGATGAGCAAGGCCGGCGCCATCATCATTTGGACAAGTATGTTCTGTCATTTTCTCGCGGCAGCCGACAGTGTATCGGGATCAAGTAAGTTTTCTTGGTCTTCATCTATGGATCAATGTTCGCATCGCTGATATTCGATTTTAGTCTCGCATATGCGGAGCTTTACATGGTATTTGGGTTGCTGATCCGCCGTATGGGCTCTAGCATGAGCCTTTTCGGGACGGGCAAGGAGGACGTCGAGATCCACTATGATCGATTCGTCCCCACCCCGATAGATGGAACAAAGGGAGTTCGAGTCGTGATCTCCCCTACAGAAACTCAGTAGACTTGTGCATATATTAAAATAATGGGACCTGGACTACTTTAGGTCTGCTAGAATATCAATGTTAGACTGGCTCTAGTTATGGCAAAGCTCATCGATATTGTGAAACATGGCTTCCACGCCTAGGCGAATGATATACGCATTTGAAAATTGCCAACGCTTGCCAAATGTGGCAAGACTATTCTGTAAATCGAATTTTGTTGATCAACTGTGCGCACCACTCGGCTGCATGACGCCAACATTACTCATAGCTCAGCCCGACTCTCATCGGAAATCGCCCTTTCAGGAAATTCCGCGAGCAAGTGCAAGCGCCTGAATTTCCGACAAGACCACATGTGGAAAAATGAAGGAATATTGTTATGTTCCCTCCTCTAAATAAGCCAAGTAATGAAGTCTATAAGTCGAGCCCAAAAATATTTCATGAACACCGAAGTTGATCTTAAAGGTGCCAGCTTCGCACTGTCACATACCTCATTTACTGTGAACACACTAGTTGACATAGTCTCTTTACCTCATCAATATTTCTATTTTGCGAAACCGCTATAAGGCCACAGGAATCTTCAAACTCTTCTTATAAGCCAGTCTCTTTGTTTGCGATGGCCCCTCACGCTGATATTGACGTCAACCATGTGGCCCAAGTACTCGAGCCGCATTGTGAAAATGCGGAACTCGTCACGATATCTATTGGCAAGATAATGGACTGCGATAGAGTGACAGAGGAGATTCTACTGAATGCGTCGAAGGATCTGGGGTTTTTCTACCTTGATGTGAGGGATCATCCTTCTCGCGAGGTCACGAAACAAATCGAGATGGCTACATCGGCAGCTCTGCAGTTCTATCAACTACCGCAGGAAGAGAAATCTACATGGGAGGTCAACAAGGACCATGTCTCTGGAAAGGAAATCATTGGCGGGTAAGAAATCACATGCACTTCTTGGAAAGATCGAGAAAGTTAACGCGGTTGGCCCGATAGATACAAGCCCGCCGGAATTCAGACCGGATCTGTCGCTGGTAAAAGTGATGGATTTGAAGGATTTCTCGTAAGTCTCTAATATCATGTTTCCGAGGCAACACCAGCTCGACATTTTAACTAAACTTGTGCAGATATTCGAGCATGCCCTGCATAATGCACCTCGTGATAAGCCCGCCAAATTGCCGAAGGAATTCCAGCAAAGACGCGAAGCATTTGAAGCTATGAATCACACACTGGGAGACATGGGAAGAGTCATTTTGGACAGCCTATCACGATCCCTAAATTTGGATGACAAACAGAACCTTGCCAAACATCACCGCAAAGGTCACGCCTCTCCTACCGCTCTCGGACTTCTCAAATACCTACCTCACGAACCCAAAAGCGAGGAAGTCGGCCACGTTTCCCACACTGATATTGGGAGTCTTTCCATGGTGTTCTCTGACATTGGCGGGTTACAGGTGTATCATCCTGGAAAGAAAACGTGGATGTTCATCCCGCCCAAACCAGGCCATACTGTGTGCAATATCGGTGATTCAGCCGAGTTTTTGTCCAAGAATTTGCTGCGGTCATCACTTCATCGCGTTATCCCGCACCCCGCAGAGAAGGGCAAGAGCAAGCTGACTGTGGTATATCTCATGAGACCTGAGACAGATACCGTGTTTGTTGACCGTGAAGGCAAGGAGTGGAGAAGTGTAGATTGGCATAACATGAAGAACCGTCTGTTTGCTGAAGATCTGGAGTCGCAGGCTAGCAACCTCGCTCTCACTGGCCGTCTGGGCCATGACGATCTTTGGGACGAGAAGGAGGTGTGAGAGAACAAAAGCACAATGCAAGTTTATGGATCTAAATTGTTAGAGTAGTTGATGAAGCCCAATGTCATGATTGTGTTCAAATATATAACCTGGCGACCGTGAAAATTTCCGTCTGATATCGGACAATCACAGCCGGCATAACCCCCGCTTTTCGCTGTCTGGGATGGGTTGGCGTGTACACGAGACTGAACCTTTTGACCTTTAGATAAGAATAAGTAACATCAACAAAATTAGGTTCCATTTGTAGTTGAAGCTGGTAAAGGGTATCATTTCTTTATGTATCTTCCAGATTGATATCTGTTGCATAACGAAGAACAATGTCTTTGCCAACTTTCGTCAATCTTCCTATGGCTACCTTGATACTTCTGGCTAAGGGAAGAAAACAAATTGATGAAGCGCTTCACATGGCGAGACATGTAAGATACGCAAACCATGCGCCACATCAGTACAGCGCTGTTGGTTTTATGACCTTGTTCGCCAGCTTCACACCTGCAGCTTACAGCTGACCTTCTCATGCAACTTCGACTCTATCTCCGGGGTCATAAAACTAGCAATGACCCCAAATCCACTGAAGGCGAGGGTTGTTAAGAAAACTGTCGAGTAAGCACGCGCATTGGCTACCTTGAACATTTCTACTCCTATCTCAATGATCGTGGAGTTCGTTCCAGGAACAGAAGCAAGCAGACTTTGGTCCACACTGAGCAGCCGCAAAAACTCAGATACAGATGTGGCGGGCAAACCAGCTTCGGTCAACGCTGGGGGGACCAGCTGGGGTATTGTGGATGTGAGACGGTTGTTGAGGACAGTGGTAAAGATAGCTGCAGAGCAAGTGGAGATGAAAGTTCTCAGCGAAGTGGCAATACCAACCCCCGTACCAATCACGCTTTGGTCTTCCAAGGTAACAGACAGCGAAGCGAGACAAAGGGCATCCACCCAGCCCAGGGCAAAGCCTCCAGCGACAAGGAGAGACACAACAGTATCGCGATTGTGGGTGTTTACACAAGCCGTTGCTATTGGACGTTCGCCAGTCATGTTAGCCAGTCAAATTTCACTCTTCATACAGAGCATGTGATGATTCGGAGGTAAAGATGACTTACCACCATATAATGCTGCTCCGATACTTGCAGTAGCAACGAGCTGCCATTTAATGTGTCCGATGCGAGTAGCTAGCAAACTCGCGATGATTTGTCCTACTAATGGAGGGGCTGTAATGACGCATTTGAGCCAACCCTGGTTTGCTTTGCTTTCCGAGTTGTAGAGGACTGCAACTTGCGTCGGGAAGACAATACTGAAAGCGTAATACATGCTAGCTGCGCAAGACAGTGTGAGTAGCACTGCCACCCACCCCGTGTTTCTGAACATCGCCAGTGGCACAAGAGGTTGCGGTGTCGGACAATGTCGCTCATAGAAGACGAAGCCGACTAGTATGACGCTGCCAATGATGATGGTGCATAGAACCGCTGCAGACTTCCATGGGTATAATGATCCACCCCAGGAAATTCCTAGCAAGAACAGGAGAAGTCCGGATGAGAGCAGTAAGAGGCCCCCATAGTCTATGTCTCGAAGTGTGTTCTTCTTTTCTCGGGTCTCTCCAAATTTCTTGGCTACCAGGTAACCCCAAGACGGCGGGTGGTAGAATGCTGCCCAGCATAGAAGAGCCAAAACATTAATAGCGATAAGGATGTAGTAACAAGATCTCCAACCGCCAGGACCACTAGCTACAAGGGAAGTTGCCACGACTGGCGCAACGCCCGATACAGGTATCAGAAGTGCATAAATGTAGCTCGACGCAAAGTAGCGGTAGTTCATCGGTACAAGCTCCGAGATGAGATATGGAAAGGAGACCTGAGTTGCTGACCCAATACCGATAAGTACATTTGCGCCGATGAGAACATTGACTGTTTTAGATGTGGCAGCGATGATGCAACCGATGAGAGCCAGAGCTGTGCCTAAGACTTGGAAGTATCGCCGACCGAACATGTCAGAGAGCCGGCCAGTCATAGTCAACATGACTGCCTGAGCAAGGTTGCTGGCAAGAGACACCCAAACGATGTTGGGATCAGGACCGATAGACTCGTTGACAGAGATCAGAATTGGGGCAACCAGGGAGAAAGCCCCAATACCCGCCATCCCAGCTAGTCCGATAGCTGCGAGAGAGCCAATGTAGTTCATTGACAGAAAGTAATCCCGCCCTGCTTCGAAAAACTGCTCTTTGTGGTCATCGATAACCGTAGTCCCAAATGTTCCATCCGCATTGTTGGCAGTCGTAGAAGTGTTGTCGGACGCAACCTCTATATCGTTACTTGAAATCGATGTGTTGTACTTTGTATCGCCTGTGGCACCTGAATGCATTGGTCTCCGGTCTTGCATTGTGATAATCTCGTCGCTGGCGGGGAAGAAGAATTCAGCTCAATTCGAAAGGCACACAAGGATCAGCTCTGTATCAGGATGACTCCATGTCGCGTCTCTACGCATTGACTATATCCTTCGGAGTGATAGTCGTAGAGATATCACAGTCTTGTCTATAGGCTGTTTGGAAGCGTATCAAACCTGAATTGCGGAAATCGCCCAAGGCAGTCAAATCCGTTTGTCATTTATCGGGAGGTCATTTTTTACCCTTGTAAGACACTAGAACAAAATGCTACATCACCGAAGTAGATCCTGAAGGCACCATTCTATGCAGCTGCCCAACGTACAAATTTGGTTTACTAGTATGGGTAGCCATGGTAGTGACTTACTCAATTACTGGGTTTCTACAAAGGAGTTCATGTCGCATGCGCCAGTAAGAACGTGCTGACTGCGACAACATTCCAAAATTCATCCTGGTCATTAGTGAATTTTACCTTCGCACTTGCCGAAACAGCCGATCAGAACCCGAAATGTTTTGGTTCTTTTTTGCTGTTCTATTTGGGCTACATGATGTGGGGTATGCAGCTCCTTTGACGACCAAGACGAGCTTCACAGTGGACTTGGGCTACACCATCCAAGAAGGCCTACTCGATGTGAGACTTACTCTACTGATGTTTTCAGTTGCAAAAGATCACTTCTAACTGCGACATAGACTAGTCACGGAAATACTCGCTATGTCAACTTTACCAACGTACGTTATGCAGCTCCACCAATTGGTTTGAACCGATTCAAACCTCCAGCACCACCTGTGAAAAACCGAACCACTCAGATAGCAGGTCTTTACGGAGTTGAATGTCCTCAAGCCCAGCCCGGATGGTTCAACTACATAGGATCAGATGTTGGAAACCAGACGGAGATGCCTTCTTTCACGAAAGATGACGTCTACCCGCCTCGGCCGGGCTCAAGCGAAGACTGCCTTTTTCTGGACATTTTGGTTCCAGAGAATGTATTCAAGCAGAGAAATACGGCTAAAGTACCAGTTCTTCTATTCATCCACGGGGGTGGCTACGTACAGGGCTCGAAGACGGAATACGGATCTGGTGTCGGATTGTTGAATGCCGCAGCCCAGAATGACCAAGAACTCATATACGTGTCCGTAAACTACCGCCTAGGACTATTTGTGAGTACTACTCGTGAAACATGTGGTCGACATATAATCGCTAATACTTATATTTCATCAAGGGCTTTCTTGCTAGCTCGGACTCGCACATTTCTCCCAATCTCGGACTCCAAGATCAGGTATTTGCAATGCAATATATACAAGATTATATTCACCTATTTGGAGGAAACAAAAGTGCCCTCACTGTTATGGGAGAGTCAGCGGGAGCAGGATCCATTCTTTATCATCTTACCTCACCTGACGTTTCATCTCTTTCGTTATTTCAAAAAGCCATCGTGCATAGCCCTTACACGTACTTCATTCCAACAATTCAGCAGGAAGAAACAATGCACCAGGTTTTACGAGCCTCGAATGTTTCTTCGTTGGTTGAACTACAATCTCTGTCCACGGAGACCTTGCGGACTGCCAATGGTGTTGTTGTGGGCAACTCTCGGCCTTACGGCACATTTGGGTTCGGTGAGTATTATGGTGCATCCTTCAAACCTTCAAACCTGACTAAATCATGATGATAGGCCCTGTATTAGATAACGACCGTTACACAGGATATCCCCCCTTTCTTCTGCGTCGAGAACTATTCGATCACTCGATACAAGTAATGGGCGGCCACAACTCGAACGAAGGCCTCTTGTTTGCGTCCCCTTTCATACACAACAACAGCCAATTCGACTCGAACATTGCCCTCCTATTTCCTCAAAAACCTGAATCTGCGCTCTCAACCATTGGGCAAACTCTGTATCCAGCCAACTTCGATGGCTCATTTGGCTATGTGAACCAACTGGGCCGCATAGCTCGCGTAGTCGCAGACGCTACCATTACCTGTAACAACTATCTTATAAACAAGGTTTTTGAACCCCTCAAGGACAACTTTGCTTATCAGTTCTCCGTACCGCCGGCATGGCATGCCAATGACCTGGGATACACTTTCATGAACCCTAGCAACCCGGGAGCCGGAGTGAACGTCACTTTGGCCGTAATTATGCAACGTTACTTTGCAAGCTTTGTTACCTCAGGGTTACCTAATCCAGTCAGTGGAAGTTTCCTTCCTGATTTCGCGTCCAGCGAGGGGTTGATTGTGCAAAATCTCAATAGCACCTTGGTTGGACCAGTTCTAGATACTGCTGTCAATGCTTCGAAGTGCGACTGGTGGCAGGAAGGAAGCTTTATCTAGGCCGTTTGTAAGATAACTTAGTATAAGTTTTGTCATATTGTAGATCAACAACCAAATTTTGGAGGTACGGTTACACTTATATAGTAATCTCTGTGACCGCTGAGGAATTCTCAACGTAGTAGTCAAATGCACACAGCGGTATTTTCCACCCAGGTAAACCAGATTGAAGTTAAGCAAAGCTCTGCATAGACATCGTTTCTTTATGTTGCATGGACGACTCATTTACTTTTCATTTTCCGCATTTTTTTCAATTCCTTCCTCCTAAAGTCACTAGTAACTAAGTTATTTCTGCACGCTTTTGGCCTACTTTCCGATCATTGTTATTTGACTTCCGTATGACTAGCTACACACACTTCTTCAATCTCACCATTAGAGGGGGTTTCTCCCATAGAGTATGCATTCTCGAATCACGGTGCCAGTCGACAGTGTCATCAACTAGCTCCATGTCGTACCGGTAAATGATCTTCGCCATGATAGTTTGAAGCTCCATCCAGCCAAGACTTTGAAAATCAGCACTTGATAACACAACGAGCATATAGAAGGGACATACCTCCGTCCCATGCAGGATCGCGTTCCGTACGAAAAAGGCTGGCTTGCGTCGAGATCATCGGTACAGTTCTCATCAGTCCATCTTTCCGGTTTAAATTTCCAGGGCTGGCTGAAGTTGGCCGTCGACATGCTTGCCGCGAAAGTGCTTGTCGAAACAACAGTCTGCACGTCCGTGTTAGATGAAAAATATTCGGGGAGGAATGTCAATCGCTGGTAAGTAAACGTACTCCACCTGGTATAAAATGGCCGTCAACAGTGCATCCGCCCAGAGGAACAACACGGGGAAGCGCGAAAGGAAGAGGAGGGTACACGCGCATAGCCTCTTTTATAACTGCTTTGAGGTATTTGAGAGGAATCGTGGTAGCTGCAGTGATATCCTCGTATCGGGTAAACGATGACCGTACTTCGTTCTGCAGCTGCGACAAGATGGAAGGGTTTTGAAGCAGGTAGTAAGTCATGCAAGAAAGTGTTGTGGCTGTTGTTTCACTGCCGGCAATACTTTGTTCCTTCTGTTAGAATAGTGGGTAGTGTTACGAGATATTATAATACGTACACAAAATCGGAAGAGTGAGCAGCAATCTGCGAATCTGAGATGGATTCCTCCTCGCGTGCTTCGATCATCTTAGTGAGAAAATCTGCGCGATCTGAATGACTCGCTAATCGACTATTTTCAAGTCAGATATACTCACAATTAAAGTGCATAGCTGTTGAGATTGAAAACTTACCTCTGGACCAAGTCCATGGTATACTTCTGATGCTTACGGTTCTCTGTCATCAACTTCTCGATGAACCGTGAACATATCTTTTGCACAACAACAGAAACTGCCGGAAATCTACGAAAGCAATCGGCGAGCGCACCCAAACGCAGGCTTTTCGTCACAATGGCGACCCAGAAATGCTCTTTTCCTGCTTCAACGCCACCAAAATCTTTTCCGAACGCAAGGCTGCCGATGATGTCGAAGGTGACTAGATTGAACCACATGACCATATTCGTACCGTGTGCACCATGACCGGCTTCTTCGAGCTTTTCAACAAGCCGGTCCACGGACTCTGCAATGAGAGGCTCCTGGGACTTGAGGGAACGGTCGGAGAAAGCGCTGCTGAGATAACGGCGCATCTCGGCATGCTTCCTTGGATCACGCTCGCTCACGATGGAGAGCGACTCCGCGGCAAAGTTGCCTCCATCGTAGAACTCACTTTTGACGAACGGCTCTACATCCTTGCGGGGGCCGTATATATCACGCCATGAGGAAGATGAGCTGAAGCTTAGCTCGTTGGGTGCGACGCGAACAACAGGTCCTACTAATAATGAGCCACACTCTGGAAAGGACAGTAAGAGGTTGAATTGCCGTATTTTTCATGGAGTTCGAGTTGCCAATATGGCTGTCTGCCTTTCATAAATTTCCACGAGTACAGAACCTATGCCACTTTTGTCAGAAGAGTGCTCTTTCAAGATCGTGCATCATTCAATGTGGATGGTAAAGGACTTACATTGCTGAAAGTTGCCGAAACTGGGCCCGGAAATCTCCTCAAGGGATGAAACCACCAAATTGAGAGCTTGTATAGCAGCCCAATGGCTAGCACCTGGGTTCAGTCAACATCTCATGTCGCAGTCAAAGAGATAATGATTGGGAAATTCACCAAAATGACAATTTCGAGCTTCATTTCAATATATCGATGTCTTGAGTTGTGATCCAGAAAAACCCAAAAAGCGACGATATGTACATAGGCTTTGATAAGATTTAATCATTCTCGGTTGATGTCGGTTCAACCGGATTAAACCCATCATGGTAGTTCGGATAATTCCATAGTCGGTACAGGCCGAGGCCCCACTTCCAGCCCGTGCCTGGTGGGTGTTCGCTTGACGACTTGATTGCGACAATGTTGTTAAACCTCTCGTTGGGGTTTCGACGCTGAGAGTGACTATTTCTTACCGGTCGGACCATTCTTGACGACTGTGGGGTTTGCATCGTCAACACGTCTCCTAAGCGGCACCTGGAAGCTGCATTCCGACCCTATCATGCCGTCCGCAACCATGCCGCCCGACGTGGATATCAGAGTCACGATGACGGAACGTGTGTTTCCTCAAAAGCTAACGCAGCATGAACACGCAATTCCACTGTCGCTACTGGACGCGACTACCGCCAACTTTGCTCTTACAAACGCTATATGGCTCTTCGAGCCACTCGATGAGAAGGATGTAGTGAATGTCGCCGAGCACCTCCGCCAAACACTCAGCACTGCGCTTACTTCGTATCCTCAATGGGCCGGCCAGCTGAAGTCTATCGCTGTTGTCGACGATGCGTCGGTTCCCGCTGAAGCGCAAGAGTTCCCAGCCCACGCCCGTCGCTTCGGCCGCGTCTATGCGCATTTCGGGGCTTCCGCAGACGTCGGTGTGGAGTTCATCTCAGCAACATGCTCTGCCACCACGGACTCCCTCTACCGAACAGAGCGCGTCAAGACTCAGCCACTTTGGGATCGCAAAGACGACAACCTCGGTGGGTTTGTGCCTGCTGTCGACATTGCGCATGCTCTACAACCTAACGAGCCCAATGTCGTGACGGGATTGCGCAAGCCGATCATGGCTATCCAATGCACCACGTTGTCAGATGGTGGTTTTGTCCTCGCTGCCAAAACGGCGCATCCTTTCGCGGACATTACAGGCCTTATCCGCTTCGTCAAGGACTGGGCGAATGTGAGCAGTGCCGTCATCAAGGGCCTCACAGCCCCAGCCCTGACTCCCGTCTTTGAGCCGGCGCGTCTGGACAATCTTGCTGCAGGTGACATCAACGCCGAGGAGTCGGACCCGGCCATAATTAGACGAACCGAACGTTTACCCTTGCACAGGTATGATTGGTGGGCTGCGCCAGGAAAGCCTCCCGCGCCATTCCTCGATGCGGCCAATCTGGTTTCACCAGCAGGCAAGCCTATGCCATGGACTGAATGGGATCTTAAGGTGCCTGTTTCTGACTATACCATTCATCTCAACACAGCGCAGGTCGATTTCCTTTTGAACGAAGCTACGAAGGGTACTGACAGTGATGGCCCGAGAATCAGCAAGCATGATGCCGTGTTGGCACACATTTGGTCCTGCATTGTGCGTGCACGTCAACTAGGGAAGGATGACAGCCCTGTCTATTGCGATCTTGTACTTGGCGTTCGATCCGCTTTCAAACTGGGTGAAGACTTTTTGGGTTCTCCGATTATCATGATGAAAGTTGAGCTGCCGGGCTCTGAGGTTGGCTCCGAACAATCAAGTAACGCTACCGCAGCGATGGTTCCCATCGCCCGAAAGATTCGGCATACGATTTCCACTGTCAGCGACCCAGCAAATCTCGCAGATCATCTTCATAGCGCTGCGTATGAGAAGTCTCCTCAGCGTATATGGCAGGCGTTCCTTGGCCGGCGTCATATCCTTGTGACGACCTGGGCGCGCGCTGGCATCTACGATGTTGACTTCGGTCTTGGATCACGCATTCGATACGCGGACGGTATCGTGCCAAACTTGGATGGCGACATTCTCATTAAAGAAGCACCCCCGTCTTCTGGAGAGTTCTTGTCTGGATCTCGGCCGTCTTGGACCGACAGCGGGGTGGATATCTCTGTCCATATTTGCACTGAGGATATGGAGCGATTGCTCAAGGATCCTTTGTTACTACCACGCTTTGATTAGACAACTCAAGATCGCTTCAGCCCATCAATTGTTCACTATGAACCTGCTCGCAGGGCTCTTTGGGTCGTGATTGTAGTCGTGAAAGTGTCATGTCTCATTGGCTGAATACAAATTGCCTATAAGTGGCTGCAGCCGCTCATTGTAATCGGACCCTGGCAGGACGGTGCACTACCCCGTCACATCCTAAACATTTCAAACCCAACAGATCAATTCTAAAATTCAAAGAACGCCGCTTGATGTAATCTGAAATGTACACATCTCAATTTTCTTAGAAGCCAACTCAGGTTTAATTCTTTTGAATTTGTCGGTATGACTGTAGTTATATCATGACGTATATTCAGTAATTACATTGATCGTAACAGTAATATTCAGAAGAGCAGACCTTGAGAACAGGGTTCATTGGTTTTTAGTTTACTACTCTGCGTCGAGTCTTACACTCAAACGCTTTCTGAAAGTGACCAGAACGAACCACCATACGATGTCGAATATCGTTCATCTCCTTTTGAACATGATACGACCAGCGGGGTTAGGCAAGTTCTGCGTCTCGAAAATTAAGCTGGCAGGTCTTCCAGCCTGGTTATCTGGAAACTTGAAGTCATAGTTCCTTAGAAGATAAACCATAATTGCCTTGATTTCGGCCGAAGCGAAAAAGCGGCCAGGGCACGCGTGGCGCCCGTATCCAAAGGCCATACTCGCGGGATGTGCAGCAGCAAAAGCCATCGAGGACTTTGCCTTTTCACTCAGAGAGTCTGGGGATGTCTTTGGAGCTGGCTCATCAAAACGGAAGCCTTTGAACTTTTCAGGTTCAGGAAAGATCTCGGGGTCCATCGAGATGGCGTGGGCGGGTACGCCGATAGTTGTGTGGGCCGGAATCTTCAGGCCGTCGGGAAGAGTGTAGTCTACTGTGATGACTCTCTCAAATGTGACTATGGGTGGTCAAAATACATAGAGGTTTTAGTAGGCGTTGTGTCTTTTATGTTGTAAACTTACTGAGAAGCAAGGGATTAAATCGTTGGCTTTCTTTCATGATGCTGTCCAACTTGGTCAATCTCTGGAACCCCTGGCGGTTGAGCAATCCATTCTCATCAAGATTTTGGTCGATTTCTCTCCTGAGTGGCTCTATGTATTCGGGCATATCGCAGAGATCATACAACAGTTGCGTAGGTGCTGCTGCACTAGTATGAATTGCAGCAAAGCTAACTTTCAGGAGAATACCGGCGAGGAAGGCGAGGTCTTTTTCATCTCCCTTGGCGTCCTCCGCCATCCAGTAGAGTAGATCAGGCGCAGCAGTGCCATTAGCCGCACGCTGTTCGAGAAGCGGAATTGCGGCCTTCTCTGCGGCAGTATAGTGCCTTTTGATATTCTGGATAGCTGGAACAAAGCGGGCAATGACCGGTTTGAGAAATTCAGGATACTTCTTGAGGGCCTGAGCGCCTATGAAACCGTCGGTCGCGAAATCGATGGAAGATTGAATCCATTCTTTGTTGCGGCTAAGGGTAGTGCCACCAAACATTCGACTTGACACGCGGGCCACAATTTGTGTGATTCGGTCGACTACATCTACCTCGGTCCAGTCTTAAATGATCGTGTCAGGAAACGTTCCTCGAGTTGATTGTAGAAGGCGAGAAAAGAATGCTGATCTTACCATGACAGGGTGGGAAAGAATCTTCAAAAGCGTCTTTGATCTCATCTTGAATGTGGTCCATGACGGTCCCTGTGTGCGAAAATTAATAAGAAATACTAAGACCCAGACTCCATTTGCCAGCTCACACAAGTTTCGATTCAGCTGCCCTCTGACAACGCGGGGATGAAGAGTCGAGCGGCTACCCATAGTCGTGTATTTGCCTTCGAACATCTGTAGCCCAATCAGTCGCAGGCTGAGGATACCATGGGGCGAACTCGCTGACCTCAATGAATGTGGCGACGAAATCAACCTCGGTTACTGGTGCGGACTTCAGATCTTCCAGGTATTTGACAGGAATCATCAGGCGTTCTCCCAGTTTGCTGGGAACATAGTACAGCCCGCGGTTTGCCTAGTACACGATTAAAATTAGAATCACCTCTCCCAGCAACCCAAGCGTATTACAGATGAGATCGGTTTGGAAATATGATTACATACCTGCTTATAGCCCTCTAGTAACATATTCTTACTATCGTTCACGAACCGGATCCGGTTCTTCTTGATTGCATCTTCTTCGCTTCCGCCAACAAACGGAACGCCTTTTACGTACGTTTGCCTAGAATAGCTCGATAACCAGTAAACCGATACAATGATAACTCCTGCAACACCGAGCAAAGTTCCGACATCGATATTAGAATAGGAGTTCCTTGCGAAGGAAACTCTATGTGCAATAAATTTCAGTGGATACGCCGGAGGCTGGAACGAAGTCATCTCGATAGATTCGACGACTTGAAATGTCAAAAACTTTGTTATGACGCTACCAAGGTTAAAACAGCCAGTTTGGCTGAAGCCTGGATAATCATGGTGTAAAAGTCGAATCGCGAACAAATTCGGGGTTCACCAGATCCGTCGATATCCGAGAACCCCCATGCCCCAACGCTGGCTCTCGAATGTTGCCCGATGTAGTCAGTCCACAATATCGATCTCCCTCACGAAGCTGGTCAAATGGGAGATATTCCGGATATGCACCAATCTTACACCAGCTCACACATTGTGGGACGGAAATCGTGGAATATCGAGACAACACCGAAAACATGATACTCAAAGCTCCGAGTAGAAGTATCGCCAGTATGCCGACACCGAATGAATATTTCGGACCGGATCTCGGAGCATACTTACAGCCTCGCTCACAATTTCTTTTTCAACCTTCTGACAAAAGCGGAAATGGCTGACGCATTTGCCCCTTTCAAAGTAGACGTTGGCTTGGAGTCAGAGCGCGCGTTTGACACCCGCCAAATTCACGCCGGAGCAAAGCCGGACTCGGCGACGAAAGCGAGGGCTGTTCCCATCTATGCCACAGCGGTGAGACCTTCCATCACCTAGTGTTGAAGTCTGGCTGGACTAGTTTATTGACAAACCCGAATAGTCATATGTCTTCACTAGTAGCGAGCATGCCCGCCGGGTGTGTAGTAACGAAGAGGCAGGATATGTGTATTCCCGGATATCGAATGTGCGTACCATACTCCGAAATTCATTGCGGTGTTCCAGAGACTCGCAGGACTGATTTTTTGCTGACATGGAGTGATCGTTCCCTATGACAATAGCCCACAGTAGAGGTCTTGGAAAAACGTATTGCGGCTCTTGAGGGTGGCACTGCCGCTGTTGCCTGCGCCTCCGGTCAGTCAGCAGTGTTCCAGACCATTATGTGTCTGGCTCACACCGGTGATAATATCGTTGCATCAACAGCGCTGTACGGAGGCAGCTACAGTTTGTTCAAGACATTATTGCCGCGTATGGGAGTGTCTGTCCGATGGGTGTCCACCGACGATGCTGAGGCCTACCGGCCGTTGATCGACGATAGAACAAAATTGATCTTTGTTGAGACAGTTGGAAATCCAGTCGTCAGCATTCCGGACCTTCAAGGTATTGCGGACATTGCACATGAGCATAATGTCCCTTTTGTAGTAAGTGTAGAGCCTCTTAGAGAAAAGCCCTGATAGAGGTATCATGTGATCCAAGGAGGTAGCTTTAACGTCAGATGAGACTTACCAACCTCGTTTTCTAGGTTGATAACACCTTCGGAGCAGGGGGTTTCTGGTGCCCTGTTGTGTCTTTCGGTGCTGACATCGTCGTCCACTCGGCGACAAAGTGGCTCGGCGGCCACGGGACGACGGTCGGCGGTGTAGTTGTCGACTCGGGGCGCTTTAACTGGAAGAAAGCGGGCGCACGCTTCCCGCACCTCACGCAAACGAGCGATGGGCCTATGGGCTTTTCTTTTGCAAGCAACTTTAACAATGTAGCCTTCGCAATGGCGCTGCGTATCGAGGTTGTCATGGAGGTTGGCAGCGTGCTGAACCCCTTCGCAGCGCAGCAAATTCTACTTGGCATGGAGACTCTGAGCCTCCGCTGTGATCGTATTGCCGCCAACGCCTTACATATTGCGCAGTTTCTAGCCGATCATGACCGGATCAATTGGATAAGCTATCCGGGTAAGTGAATTCCCGGGCATCGAAAGGGTGTTGGGAAAATCCAAGAAAATTGTGATGAGAATGGTAGCTGACGATACGGCATGGCTAGGGCTTCCAACGAGCAAATACTACGAGAGGGCTAAGAAATATCTACGACGGGGTTTTGGAGGAGTGTTGTCATTTGGCGTTGTAGGTGGCACAGTAGGCAGTAAAGCCTTTGTGGATGGGCTTCGTTTGATATCAAACATGACAAAGTACGTTCCTCCAGACCAGGGGTTTACGAGATCAGGAAAGACGATAAAAAGGCATTAGGGCTAACTGTTATGGGATTACAGCGTTGGTGACTGCAAAACCATGGCAACACACCCGTGGAGCTCAACGCACACCATCATGACTGAGCAGGATAGGTTGAATGCCGGCATCACCGAGGTAAGTCTAGACTGTTTCCGATTGCTCTGAAAGAGGCTCTCCAGCATGAGATGTCTAACATTGGCTTCTTTCTTTCAGGATCTTATTCGACTTTCCGTGGGAACAGAAGACGTAAACGATATCATAAATGATCTTCTTCGAGGGCTTAAAGCTATCCCAGATCAGTTTATCGCGCCCTAATGACCATCTTAGCATTCAGGTCCTTGGAAACATTTAAGAGGAATGAGAATGAATTTACTAGGGTTAATCACGTAGAATGCGATATATAGATGTCGAAGATTGTCGACGCATCTAGGTCGATGATTGTGACGAGCGTGGGAGTCGTTACCCTCCATCGGCGATTCTATATTCTCATCAACGAGTATTGCAACATCAATGAAATAATGAACTATGTGCACTGTTGCTGTCTTTGTGTTCCCTTATATCCATCTTGGGCCCTATTTCAGAATGTTTTCGAAGATTCTCTTTGTATGAACTAGACAGATCTGGTGAGCGCTCCCCGATATCGCAGAGACATCAGGTCGAGCTTGAGAGCAGAATTCACAAAGTATATCTCTCTGTGCGCCAATACACCACCCCCTTGCATAGATTTCCGTCCTCTATATACGCAATGTTTCTTATCTCTGTATTCCGTAATGAAATATATCTCAGGTTCCATTGACACCTCATGATGTGTTGTCTATCACCATGCTATATCGGCCGTGAAGATCCTTGGACAAGGGTCTTATCCCAACTGTACCTTGACTCATATTGTCCTGCTCTTGCACATTGCCTCACATTTTGCAATATCTGTATTGATTATGCTTATCATTCTATCTTACGGCAAAGCATACAGGTGTATCGCCAAGTCACGCATATCTGACACTGGCTCAGAAGTGAGATTCTCGGGCGCTTGCTTCGCGTTAGCGACATCAAAGAAGTCTTGTCCAAGTGCCTTTTGAGTGTTCGCATGACCTTTCGTTCCTCGTCGGCGATTGATCCAATTGCAGTTACATTACAATGATTGCCTACTATAGCGCCTTCTGCTACAAGTCACATTGAGCATTTGCGTTGTTGTCTCGAACTTCTTTAATGCCATTGACATTAAGCTCTAAAACGTTAGCATCTACACTGTAAGTTTTGAAATGTTCAACACTAGTGGCGACTGGAATGCTCATCTCTGCAAAACTAGTAGTGAATTCCTTTAGAGTAATAGCAATAATAGTGTTTGTAATGCCCATGGGATCGCCTGACGTTGCTCCACCATCATAGTAGGTGTATGCAACATCCTGTGTGTGAATAGCTGGTGGCACAGCAAAAAGATAAGAGTAGGTGTTGTTTCCGTACGCTTTTGAGAGGTGACAGGTGTTGTACGTGAAGCCGCTCTCAGCGATAATAGGGCTACCGTGCTGGACATTGTTTGTGTAACCCTTCGATCCGTCAAGCACGGGTGGGTACAGTCCATCCAGAATATAGTCGATTGACGATTGAGGTATATTTTCGAATAGTCCTCTAAGTAGGTCTTCTAACGCAGCAGTAGAAGAAAGCGTAAACGGGGTAAAGAGGGCCCCTTCATTAGCGTTGTGGCCGACCATGACACGTACATTCTTGTCGAATCATCATTGAGAGAGGGGTTGTGAAGGCTGAAGTGGAGTGAAAAGGCTATCAACGACAGGCCCATACATGAAAGAACCATACGTGGAGTCGTAGGCTATCTGTTGAGCGTTGGCGCGAATAAGCTCTTTAGACGGCAGTACGCGAAGCTTAGCGAGAGATGTAGTGTTCGTAAAGCTAAGGAATTTTTGGTAAATATCCTCCTGCGTAACAATGGAAGTAACTGGTCGCCAGCCAGGGCTTTGTATAACTGCTTGCTGGAATGGGGCTGAGTCTTTACCACTATAAGCAGTGATCTAGTGCATGATAGAGCTCCCACCAGCACTTTCTCGAAAGACTGTAACCTTAAGAGTACCAGTTATGTCGAACATACCAGATTGCCTCTTTCAAGACTTACTCGGTTCTTATCGCCTCCAAAATGATGGATATTCTTTTGAACCCATTCAAGCACCAGTCGCGGTTTGTAGAATCCCAAGTTAAAGACGCCTCCCTAAGCTTGATACGAGGGTCAGCCCATCCACCCTAAGGCATCAAGTCGTTAATTTATAGCAACGTAAAGAACGTTCCCATGCGTGGAGTTTCCAACAGCAAGGAAACCAGCAGGGTTGTTATTATGGCCTATAACATATCCAACACCATGGATCCACACCAAAACAGGAGCTCCACGTCCTTTACCAGCACGATTAAGGATATGCCAGTGCACAAACACGTCCAAAAAAAGACAACCTTCAGACTCCTGGGGGGTGCTCGCATTGGCACCTGGTGTTGGATAGGTTACATTGGAAATTGACAGTCCTAGTGCTTGCCTCATTACAGCCTCAGTGGAGACAGTAGTCCATGGGGCATATGCTTAAGGGTAGATTCTGGGAATGTTAACAGGAGTTTTCATTACCATTAAATAAAGTATGCACTGAGACATATCGTCGCTGTTGATGGACGATCGGCTTTTTGCTGGAAGCTGAGGAAGTTTAACTATCAATTCCTTAATAGGAGGTGCTCTATATCGTATATTTGAGAAGTTGTAAAAGTCGCTCGATTCCTATTTAGAATTAGAGACACAAGGACTAGGCTTCTAGTTAAACGCACGTTGAAGCCAGAAGCACGATAGACTTGGTAGCTAAGGTCAACAGTCGGTAGCGATGACTAGTTTTGTGAGTATGCAGCACCCAAAAGGGTCGCAGCAGCGAGGAGGTGGATCATTATGGCAGGCCAAGTATTGGGTTATCGAAAAAAGTACAGATGGATGCAAAAGCAAACGACTACCAAAGTATTTATTTCGCAGGATCCCAAGTCTTGCGAGTGATCATTTAGATGTACCGAGGTATTACAAGACGTGGAGAAATCCCTGAGCCAAATTCAGCTCCTGTCGCTCTTGTCGCTCTTGTCTCAAAGTTTGGCTCTATAGTCTGGCCGAAGCTAGTGGCGCTTGTATACGTAGTTTTAAAACACTACGCAAATTACAGTTGCAAGAAACAGGCCCAATCCGTGCCGAGGCAGCCAATCATCGCCCTGGTTTTTCCAACTGTCAAACATATATCTCCGTCATGTAATGGAAGCCTCGGTGGGATAGCGTATGATGGATTTTTCCTATAGGTGTTCACTTAGATTTGGTTGAACACAAGGCTATTTTTTATAGATATGGAGATGTTTTGACGTTGAGGTAGCGTATTGCTCAGCTCGCAAGTACGCGTTACCTATAGATTGCATTCTTGGCAGCCTGCAGGAAAAACACTATCGGACAAGTTGTCCAAGTGGAATGGGACCCATGACGATTTCGGTTGCACGACGCATTTATGCATTGCCAATTTTGGCTGGAATATTTCCGGTTAAAACACCATGCCAGCAGAGGCACTGCCATGGGGCAAGATAATCGTGCGCTTTTGTCAACTGTTGCTAATCAGCCCTGGGAGAGAAAACGGAGAGCACTAGGAGCGGCCAAGGATTCGGTCGAACTAACAATGTCGTTCGAAAATGCTCCATGTTGTACCTCACTGGACGGCGCAATGATTGCTCCTCCCCGCCAGCCGCTAACGTTAATGATGGATGAGTTTACCAGACGGGCGGATTTGCCATGACGCTAAAACCCGGCTAGCTTCAACGTTTATACCACTATTCTGTTAGTGCACAGAGTGATTCACTACTTTGCCTATGTCTATGCTAGTGTCATAATACTCTAATACTATGTATATCCGGCCAAGAACAACCCTCGGGGATCTGCCAAGCACCACTCAGACCCGAGGAGTCACTGGCACGTGTATAGAGTGCATAGCTTCCACATATGCAAACCCTTGAAGAACTATCAGAATTTATCTCAATTTCGACTTTACTGATATACTTACTGTCACCTACAAAAACACGATACAACTTGATTCGTTTTAACTCTTCATCAAAGATATGCTACCAGGCCAAGATAATAGGGCGGTTAGTAGATGAGGCATGAATGAACATGCAGGGGTTTACTAAAAGTCCTTAACACAGGCTTGGTATCACGTAGGTCGCCGGCCAGTGGCCTGCGTCAGTACTGCATCTGTGCGTAACATACCCCGAATTGTAAGTGATTTAACTTAATATAGTATTATACTAAGGTTAAATAATGTACCTTGAACGCAATTGATGGAAAGGGAAGAAGAGGAGGAGAGTTTAAGGCTAAAGGCCGAATTTCCCCAACATAACATTAGTTAGCTAGACTTCTGAACACCATTCTCTCAGAGCCTGGTGTCATATCGAATATCGCTGCCGCGCTTGATAGAAATTTTGCTCCTAGAGTACAACCCCACGGTTGAATTTCTGTCCAACAATAATGAGTTATCCCATTCTTCCCGCTCCATGGCTAGCTCTGCGACAGCTCGAAAACTTTGGAGTCTTTCCAGAGGCGGTTGAGTTGGTACCTCAGCCGCAGAGAGGAACGCCTTTCGTGCTTTTCGACGATACATCTGCTGATCCTGTGCCTGTACGAGCATCATGGAGTTCTTCAGCAACTTTGAGCTTCTCTCCCCATGTGCTGCGGTGCTGGGAATGTAAATCTGGTAGTGTAAGAGTAGTTTCCAAACGAGCTATGGCCTCATCCAAGTCCCTGTGACTCTTTGTTTTCAGGTGGCGTGCTTGCAGAGCATCAGACAGCATTTCGAGTAAATACGGGCTATCATGATGATCCGTCAGTGCATCTTCAGAATATCTCTCCTTCCAATTCTACCATTTCCGGTGGGGTGGAGCTTCTGAAGATCACGTCGTGCTGCATCGCAATCAAAGCCGTGAAGAAATCAGGTAGACGAGAATCGTGTTTGGACATGGAAGCAAGTACCTCGCACCCGTAGTTGATCGCTGTTTGTCGGTCAAAAACATCCTTCGTTTCGCAAAACTTCTTGTCGTAGTTTGCGACCAGGTCACACAATATGCGAACGCGCTGTTTCTTAACGTGGACCTTAATGAGCTGTTGCTCCAGGGCAGCAATCTTACTGTTCACAGGGTGCATCTTGCTTTCGGTCCTCAGTCCTTGAGCGGAGATGTGTTGAGAAATATGTCTACATTACACATCAATGGGGTACTCTATCGTTAATCTCCTGCTGGAGAGTAAGGACAGATATGCAGCAAATATCTAGCAAAGCGTGTTGCAGAAGCCGCGAAATGTATTCTATGCTGCGTATGACATGGCGAATGGCGAACTGCGAAAACGAGGCTAAGATATGCCGGCGAGATTCATGCAAGCCGGCAATAAAGGTAAGTATCGAGAGTCTATCATCGGGTCCTATGCTTGCTGTGTTTGGAATCTAGACCGGTCGAGACTTAGCGGGCTCGGCTCCGCCCTGGTGCGGCTGAGACGCTCAATAGTATTATCCGCGGATCACGCTAGCGGGCTCTCGTTTTTTGGGAGCACAAACCTCTAGTATAGAAGAGATAAGTCCTACGCAAGCTTGGTGTTCAGCTACGATTTCGCTGACCGACGTCAAGATGGTTTATCTAACTTTCACGTTCACGAGTAGACCCTTTACAAAAGACGTGATCGGGTTGGGGACGCTCATACCGGACAAAAGACACCCTAATCGCGACTCTATCCGCAACGAAGAAGTCGCCGAAGATGACTACTCGACCACACCAGAACGGAACTTTGATGCCTATCTCAACACAAGCTCTGATTTGAAGTTTCGTGCGATTCTGGGCAAAATCTTCACGTTCAGTATCTCCAAGAACTCCCACAGAACTCTACATTAAGCTTCTGGAAATGCGTAGCTATACGAGCTACATCATCCGCGAGACGTACTTCGAAATCTGTGCGCCTCTGACAACACTCGGCAAACGCTCGAGCAATGGAACGAAGAAGGCAAGGAAGCATACTTCATCATAGCATACCGCACACTCACAGACGCAAAACTTGTTGAAAGCTCACAAAGTCGGGGCAGCGAAGCCAATATCCAAATGTCTGTAGCAGCGCTTGCTGGCATGGGTGCGCCAGGGGGCGGGGCCTCTGATGTGGGCGTAACCGCAGCGCATGAAGGGAGACAAGAGAGGGGTGAGCACGTCATCTGCGAGGGGGAGCGAGTCTATGCTGTTTGTTGTCGCAAGGTGAAGCTGGAACTAATTGATGGATTTGTGGACGATGCTTGCCTTGCAAGCAAAGATGTCTGGGTATCTTACTATCCTGCGAGGGCTGTCAAAGAGGGGGTCAGTCTTACGCAAGTGGTTATCGACGACAAGGAGGATGTGGAGAATTCAAGCGAAGTCAAGGAAGTCTTGAAGTCTTGTGAGGGAGACATCTTTGAAACCTTACATAGTGACGGAGGGGAAAAAGAAGATTAGTACATCCTGTCTAGTGAGCGTTAACTAATCTAAATTCCGGCATTAGTAATCGAGCTTCGTCTTGGATGCCGCACTTAGCTTTCGTATTCTGCACTAGGCGGAACCATCCTTGTATAGCCTCAGGGTCCTCACAGAGAGCTGTGCTATGATCGTACTTTCGATCGAACTTGACTTTGAGCTCAGGGCAACGCTTGACGAAGTTTGCAGCCCAGTTCTTGCCAACTACCTTCTGGTGGCGAATAGTGAACAAAGAATTGGCCATCTATTCGATGTCAGCAAGTCGGGGCGGGTATCCTTGCTCTGATAGCTTCAAACATGCCTAAGAATCGCTACCTCTTCAAATCCTTGAAGAGCCATTGAGTTGGGCTCGCGATCGCGTCGTTGAGGCGCCCCAGCAAGCCGTTTTCGTAGTGTTGCGTCAGAGACGTTGTAGATAGCTGTAGCGCGTCTTATTTTCAGTGTCCCGCCTTGTTAGATAGGTTTTATCGCAAGCTATATATTTGTTTCCTTTGAGACCTTCTTTACTGTGTTGCATTGAGGCATCACGACTTGATTGAAGTTTGATAGGGTCTTGGCAAAAAGTACGTCACTCGCTTGTGGAGTACATACGTTATATCGCAATTACAAATCTACCTTATATTTGAATAAATAGGTTCCGGATCCCAGAGTTTTAACTGTAGGACCTGCTAACACCACCTCAGCTGTAGCACATGGCGGAATCACAACCTCAAGCCTCACTGTTCCTGCCTCCTTATCCAAACTCCAGGCACTCTTCGCGAAGCCCAATGGCGTCTCTAAAGAAGCCTCAGCGTGCGTTAACCCGCCCCCAATCAAGGGCTTTATCCTGATCTTCCTGTAGCCTGGCTCAACTGCTGTCAAACCCGCCACGCTCTCCTGCAACCATGATGCCACAGTGCCAAACGCATAGTGATTATGCGACATCTTCGCGTTCCCTTTGCCGTCATATCCTTCCCAAGTCTCCCAGAGAGTCGTTGCGTCCTTCTGGACAGGATACAGCCACGATGGCGCTGTGTCTTGCATCAGGATACGGTATGCGATATCTGCCCTGCCGTATTCGGCAAGTACAGGGAGCAGCAGCCCGGTGCTCATGAAGCCAGTTCCCAGATGGTAGCCGGCTTGCACTATGAGTTCTACGAGGCGCTCTAAAGCTGCTGGTTTTTGCTCTGGCTCAATGAGGTTGAAGGCGAGGGCGCGGAGGTAGTCGTCTTGGTAGTCTCCTGCGATGCGGGCACCGCGTTGTCGGACAAAAGCAGTGCGCCACGCTTCCGATGTTCTTTTCGACAGTGCGAGATAATGTTCAGCGTCGTCCTGTTTGCCAAGAATATTGGCGATGTTAGAGAGCAGACGAGCTGAGTGGGCTAGATAAGCTGTGGAAATAGCGGCGCTGGGGAACAAGACGTCTTTGATCATTGTGAGGATCCCGCTTCCAGCCCGAAGCCATTCCCCCCAGCTGAAGCCAGTGTCTAAGATGTACTCCTCGAGGTCCCCACATCCAGCACCGAATTTAGTGCAGAGCCATCGCCCCCAGCTCATCTTCTCTCGTGCTCGATGTGCCAAGCTATCCACCCACCTTGTCATGCTGTCGTACTGTCGCGAGAGGACTACGTCGTCATTATAGTGCTGATATAGGGCCCAAGGCATCATTGTAGAAGCATCGCCCCATCCCGTTGATCCTGAGAACATCCTCCCCATGAGCGATAGCTGGCTACTGAACTGTGATGCACCACTGGGGATATATGGTGGGATGGTTCCGTCAGCACGTTGCTCCGCAGCCAGGCAACGCAAGTACCGACGCAGGAAATTCTGACTATCGAATAGCAACGTTGCAGTAGAAGAAAACACCTGGATATCTCCAGTCCATCCCATTCGTTCTCGAGTCGGACAGTCAGTTGGGGTGTCTGTGAAATTGCTGCGGGCGCCCCAAACAACGTTCTCATAGAGCTTATTAAGGCGCGCGTCTGAGCAGGTGAAAGATCCCGTAGTTGGGAAGTTGGAAGCCAGGACAACTCCGTGGACGTCGGAGGGACTAAGATTGTAGTCCAAACCTTGAACTTCGGCGTAGCGAAATCCATGGATGGCGAACCAGGGCTGGAATTCAACTGCATTATCTCCAAGCGTGACAACGTCCCGTTGTACGATATGTGGAACGAAGGGAAGCTTCAAGTAGTCGACATCAAGCTCTCCGTCGCTAGAAAGGACTTCGCTATATGTTATGGCGATCTTGCAACCTGCCCGGCCGCGGAGCTTTATTGCCATGATTCCGGCAAAGTTTTGACCAAATTCGATTACTTGTGCCCCTGACGTGGCATGAAGTACGGCCTTGGGTGGCAAGCGCATGACTTCCTCGACGCGTTCGACTTCTTCTGCGATGAGCTTCTTCGTCAAAACTGGGACCTTTTCGGCAAAATTAGTAGATGGAGCATCGCACTTCCCCAGCCATTCGTCAGAGATTCGAAAGTCGGTTTGTTCGCCCCATACGGGGTCTGATCGAACGATAGAACCTTTAAAAGGCCTCCATGTCTCGTCTGTACAGAATGTGACAGTTTTCCCATCATCTGTATCCACCTCGAGTTGTATCAGTGCAGAAAGCCGGTCTCCGTATCGACAGCGCCCTTCGGTGATGCCTATCTGACCTCTGAACCGCCCATCCGCAATAACGACACTGATCACATTCTCGCCAGTCCTGAGATATTTTGCAATATCGTAAGTCTGGTATTCAGTGAATTCATCAAAAGGTGTCCAGCGTGGCACCAACGCCGTACCAGTGACGTTGTTTTGATTGACGAAGAGCTTATACCATCCACAAGCCGTTGCGTAAGCTCGCCCACGGACTGGTTCTCGCGCAAGCTGCAAGCTACTAGAGAGGTATATAACTCTATCATCTTTTCCTGATGTTCCAGTCGTTGTCATCACTGGAGCGCTAATCCAGGATGCTTTCCAGTCCGATGGCAGGAGCAGACCTGTTTCGAACCATGCTTGCTCAGCCGTGTCCCAAGTTTCGTCGCTAGGCTCGTCGAGTTGATCCCATATGCGGAGGCGCCAATGATACCTCGTGCGACTCTTCACACTGCTCCCCGCGTAGATGGCGGTCAGTGATGGATTTTTGCTTGCAGCCGTCTTTTTGCTGTCCCAAACGATAGTGTTGGATTCGAAGGATAGAGATGTAGAAACTTGAAGTTCATAGGAGGACTGCGTGACATCACAAATGCCTTGATTAGCTGCTAGCTGCCAGCTGAATTCCACGGGGAACGCATCGATCCCAAGCGGACGTGAAAGTCTGTTAGTGCGCAAACAGTACGGTCGTGCTGTCATGAGGAAAGTCGGTAAGAGAAGACAATATGTGCGGATTGACGAAATAGATGATCATGAATCTCAATTTTGGAGTAAGGCTTTTATGATTATACCGAGCTTGCCTACTGACTGGTTTTGAATGTTGTTGCGACGGTCCTAGCATGGTGACTGTGCCGGTCCCCTTCATGCTAACATTACCGACGCGTTCTCCGCTAAAACGCGTAAATAAGCTTCGGCTAAGAAATTTATTCTGATTGGAGGTTTCTCGCCCTTCCTCCATCCTGCAACATTCTTTAATTGGGCGTCGACGCGAGCGCCTCTCGGCCCCGGGTACAGCTGTCATCCGTCCTCAAATCGCCGCGAGCGCCTTCCGGCCCCGGGTACAGCTGTTATCTGTCCGTGAAACGCCGTAAGCTACAGTATCACCGACAGCAGCCACTGCTGCCTGTTGATTGTTGATTGTATGAGTCGCTCTCAGAAGAACAAATAAATGGTCTCTAGCTCATTCGGATGAGGAACGCAGGCTCTCCAATATCCAACTGTTCCTCGGCAAAGATTCCCGCGTCAGAGTGGGTCTCGACTTCTGCGATAAATGCAGTCCCTATACCGACAGGCAAGGGGGCGACGGAGGCGAAGTCAGGCTCCTATTTGAAGGCTACGGTCCAGGCAGTAAATATAACCTCAAATATTCTCTCTTCGCTATATTCTCTTGGAACCATGACCCGGTCCTAGAAGAAGATCCAACAAGACATTGTGCGGCTAAGCGAGCGCCTCGACCAATAGGCCGAATATCTGCCGCCAGAATCCAACTGCCAAAGTCGGGGAGGGACCAACACGCCTCCATGCTTTAATCGCAAACGCATATTGCTAAGTTTTTGCTTCTGTAGCGACCGACTATTCCTCACACGCCCGTGCCTCAGTGGCCTCAGCCAAGGAGATAAGCACCCCGGCGTTGCGACAGTCTTCACGTGCCATGTGGCGAATATCTGCATTGGCACGGCGAAGATAGAAACTGTATGCAGAACCCTCTGGTGGAGCGCGCATACTGCATGGCCCTCAATACGCTGCGCGCAGTGGCAAATTGACTCTCTCTCGGCATTTCGGATCTGTGGCTCGAGGACGCAACAGCCTTTCGGAAATACGATCCAATTGTTGGCAGCACAAGTGGCGCGAGGCAGTCTCCAGCAGGCGCAGCGATGGCCTTGCAGACGCAAGCCCCAGTCTATAGCCCCCGGTTGCCGCACGCATGTCGATAGCGGGGGCGCGACGTCCAAGTTGATGTACAACAGTGAGGCTGAACTGTTGCAGCGCGACCTTGGCCGCCAACGCCGTTTGCGCTGCCTGAAAATGCCTCTACTTGCTCCATATTATCTCTAGTCTTCTGCTACGCTGTTCTCATGAGCAAGGATAACGTCAGTGCGATTTACTCCCTAACTTGGTCGCTAGAGCGTTAGTAAGCTAGCAAGCGCGGCGTGCTTGGATTCACCTCTTCCTTCCTGCATCACTACAGGCCAGGCAACATCATCGCACATTTGGTCTTAGCTAACCTGCTGAGCTCGCAGCGCCAAAGACGCGCCCAACATGGCTGCAGCCGCTCTACAGCCTTGCGGCTGACGTTCTGCATGCGCATAGAGCCACATCTACCCCGCCTGAGGCCTGGTGTGATGCCGTTGCCAGACTAAGAACACAATACAGCGCGTTCGCCTCAGCTCGCGCTTTTAGGAACACTGTTCTACTATCAAGGCATTTAGAGCTGCACGGCTATCCATTGTCCTCCTCTTATGCCAATCTCTACAGCGCACGGCACGGCACAGCCACTACACCCTCGTCCTACTAGACTGCTACGTCGAGCCTCTCGCGTCTCGTTCCTACCACACGCCCACCACACATCCACACGAGCCGATGCGTCTTCTAAAGTACAGAGAAGATGGCTACCTCACGATCACCAGCTTCGAAGATGGCGCGATACCCCCTTATGCGATACTTTCACACACCTGGGGGAAAGATGCAGAGGAGGTGACTTTCGCGGACCTTGCAAAAGGCGACGGCAAGCACAAGCCCGGCTACGAGAAGATTCGCTTCTGTGGGGAGCAAGCACAACAAGACGGACTGCAGTACTTCTGGGTCGACACTTGCTGCATCGACAAGGCAGATAAGGCAGAACTTTCTTTGGCTATTCAGTCCATGTTTCGCTAGTATCAAAACGCAACGAAGTGCTACGTACACCTTTCCGACGTATTAATAAAGAATGGGAAAACTAGCGGTTCGTCTACTGAGTTCACTTGGGAGCCAGCCTTTAAGTCAAGTAAATGGTTCACGCGTGGCTGGACGCTCCAAGAGCTTCTCGCGCCAAGCATCGTTGAATTCTTCTCCCAAGAATGGGAGAGGCTTGGTGATAAGATATCATTAAAGTCTCTAAATAATAAGGTTACTGGTATTCCATGCAAAGCGCTCGACGGAGTTCCTCTTTCTCAATTTAGCGTTAACGAGCGACTGCGGTGGAAGGGCGATAGGCAGACTAAACGCGAAGAAGACGCATGGTACTCATTGTCAGGCATTTTTGATGTCGAGATCGCGCCAGCTTACAGCGAAGGGGCGGTTAGCGCATTTAAACGTCTAAAGGACGAGATTGATAAGCTCGAAATATGCATTCGAGACATACGTCACATAGATCCGCGTGATGATAAGAAGCGCATTGAGGATACAAAGGGCGGACTACTAGCAGACTCCTACCGCTGGGTTCTTAGCAATACTGCTTTCCAGCAATGGCAACAGGACCCGCACAGCTAGCTGCTATGGGTAAAAGAAGATCCTGGAAAGGGTAAAACGATGTTGCTCTGCGGTCTTATTAACGAGCTGTAGAGTTTAGTGCCGGAAAGGGCTCTACTGTCGTACTTCTTCTGTTAAGCGACTGACGCGCGCATTAACAGCGCCACGGCTGCGCTTCGAGGGCTGTTGCACATGCTTATGACCTAGCAACCATCACTTGCATCGCATATCCGTAAGAAGTACGACTGCGCCGGTAAGGCCCTATTTGAAGACGTGAATGTCTGGGTAGTTTTGGTAGAGATCTTCAAAGGCATACTTTAAGACCCATAGCTGCGCCCAACGTATCTAATTATCGACGCGCTAGATGAGTGCGTTACTGATCTGCCAAAACTGCTAGGGTTTGTCGCAAAGCAGTCGTCCGCGTCTCCCTATGTTAAGTAGGTTATTTCTAGCCGTAACTAGCCAGACATTGAAGCATAGCTGGAGCAGGTAGGACATAAAGTAAAGCTAAGTCTTGAGCTGAACGCGCAGTTAGTTGCGGCTGCGGTGGATGTCTTTATACAGCGAAAGGTGGATTAGTTAGCGCGGGAAAAGCAGTACAAACCAGAGGTCCGACACGCCGTGCTCTAGCACCTAAGGTTAAACGCTGACAACACCTTCCTTTGGGTGGCGTTGGCGTGCCAGGACCTTAAAACGACACCAAAGTGGAACGTGCTAACGAAGCTAGCCCTATTCCCGCCTGGCCTAGACTCCTTATGTAAGCGGATGATGGATTAGATAAGCCAATCTGACGGCGCTAAGATCTGCCTGCATGTACTGGCTTCGACTGCGATCCTATATCGACCTGTTACGATCTCTGAACTAGTTGCGCTCGTAGAGTAGCTTGAGGACTTGGACGACCTAGAGTCGGTGCGGGAGATTGTCAGCTTCTGCGGGTCGTTTCTCACTCTGCGAGAAGATACAGTCTACTTTGTGCATTAGTCTACGAAGGACTTCCTCTTTATAAAGGCATATAATAAAGTCTTTCTAGACGGGATCGAAGACGTTCATCGGACGATCTTCTTAAGGTCGCTAGCGATTCTATCTAGGACATTGCGTAGGGACATGTACAGCTTGGAAGCCCCGGGATATCCTATTAAAGACGTTAAGCTACCTAAGCCAGACCCGTTAGCAGTATCACGCTACCCGTGTATCTACTGGATCGACCATCTGTGCGACTTAAAGCCCAACTTATTAGTAAATAGAGTGGGCGACCTGTAAGTCCTAGGCGTAGTCGACGAGTTCCTAAGAAAGAAGTATCTCTACTGGCTAGAGGGGCTTAGTCTATGTAGGGGCGTAGGCAAAGGCGTTGTCTTGGTGGAAAAACTGTGGCTGTTGGTGTAGGTAAGTTATCCAGAATCTGTGTTTGCGTATAGTATGATCTAGATACTAACGCTAGTAGTAGATGTGTGGCTAAGGTAGACTCGCTGAGCTTGTTTAAGACGCACGGCGATTCATCATGTACCACAAAGGGGTAATTGAGGGTTACCCTCTTCAGGCTTATGCGTCCGCACTCCTGTTCAGTTCTATAGGTAGTCTAATTAGACAGCTGTTCCAGCACGAAGAACTAGACGTAATTAGTATTAGGCTAGCTCTGAGCGATGAGTGGAGTGCGTGTCTGTAGACGCTCGAGGGCCATAGTGATTGGGTTAGCTTGGTGGCCTTCTCGCACGACTCGACCCGGCTGGCGTCGGCGTCTGAAGACAGTACTGTTAAGGTGTGGGATACGAGTAGCGGCGCATGTCTGCAGACGCTCGAGGGCTATAGAAGTTGGGTCAGCTCTGTGGCCTTCTTGCACGACTCGACCCGGCTGGCGTTGGCGTCTGACGACAGGACCGTCAAGGTGTGGGATGCGAGCAGCGGCGCGTGTCTGCAGACGCTCAACGCTGGCAGAACTCTCTACAACCTGTCTTTTGATCGTGACGGTTCTCGCCTCTTGACTGAAATAGACACTTTCGACATTCAGAGCACGGAGGCTTCCAGCACGATAGATCTTGCAAAACCCGCCCGCCCTATACACCTAAAGACTGGCTTTAGCTCAGACGGCATGTGGATCCAGAATGTTGGTAACAACATGCTATGGGTACCATCAGAATATCGACCGTCGTGTTCGTCTGTGTGTGGGACCATGGTTGGTGTAGGTGTTGGGTCTGGAAGAGTGTGGATTTGTGGTATAGCCCTTTAAATTACTTTTATGTGTTTGTTGCAGCAAGGCAAAGTTCCATTCTTCTTTTATACAGTTTATTTCTCTCAACCTCTATTCGGTCTTGAGGGCTGAGGGTGCACACGAGTATTTATATGGTCTCTGCATTACCGCCTAGAAGCTTCGAGCACGGTTTGAGAAGGCAGCTATCGTTACATCGCATTAATTACTCGATCAATCCAGAATAACGTGCATCGCCCGTAAGCGAGAAACGCCCCCTCAGCGAGATGAGCCAACTCGACAGGCACCTCACCCATCCCCATACACTTCTAGAGATCTGAAACTGTCGTGCATCTGCAGTTTAGACTCTTCTGCCTCTTCTACCACATTGCAGCAGAGGAAATACGATAGTTGTGGTCGAGCTGTGGCGCCAAGCGGAGGTCCATTTGACACGGAGATAAGCTCGGAGTATATGTTCTCCAAGCTCAAGCATCTTGAAAATGACGGACGATGTGCACTTCAGATGCATCTATCGCCGCAGCAGTTGCAGATTGCGGGAGATAGGGCTAGTAGTAGTCAAGCAGGGGTGAGAACTAAAGTAGTTCCTATCGCAGCGCGCAATATGACAGTTATTGCGACTATAACTACCATATTTCAATTATTATAAGATGTAGGGCTACAGAGAAAGACCTATGTAACGGCGCAGGCAAGACTACTCGGATCAGTATCGGCGGTAGTGTCACTCAGAGGCATATGGGAGTGCGTGGGACATTAAACGAGCCTTGATTCGAATAGACACCTATAGGCCTTGTACGAAAGGATATTAAAAGTCTATAGAGCTAGTTACAGGGAGTGTCTTCTTATATACTTATCTTAGTTAGATCCGAATCGGATCTGACTTTATAACGAGTGGTTAATGAAGAGGGCGGCGAATGCTACCTCCGATCCGGCTCTGGGATTAGTCCGATACTTGGCGAAGTTGTAACATTGTTACAGTGATCGGCTTTGGTATCCAATACTATACTATCGCTATATAAGCCTACGCTTTACTTGAAGAGGCGTATCTTGGTACTAATGAAGCTTCTCTTCTAATTAGAAAGAACTGGGCACGTCGTTGGCTTCGCCGTCACCCAAAATACAAGCGCGTTAAGGTAAAACTGATAGAGAT